ACATACGACCTAGACTTTGCAGAGGAACCTTCCATTTTTATCTCGCATAACAGGCTTAAGAGACCGGATACAACAAACAAAACATGGAAAAAGAAGCCCAAAATCTATCAAGAACAGTAAGATACGATTATATTTGAAAAAAAAAATCATTTTGAATTTATCCCCCCCCCCCAACTTTAGATATTGCTTCCAAACAAAGAGGTAGCAATGGTTTAAACATTGGGAGAAGGGGCAAACTCCCAGAGAAATCTATCAAGTAAAATTTAAACAATTAAAAAAAAACTTTGAAAATCCTATTTTGTGTGTTCGTGTGTGGGGAGGGGTGGACTTTCTCTGTTTGTAGATTTTTTTTCAAGTGCTGGAATATTCGCCAGCGCTCGACCTTACAGCAACAGAGTGTAAGAGGGGGCAACATCTAAATGAAAATTTACATAATAGATCCATTGGAATAGACTATACTAAGGGAAAAGTCTTTGCTCAGAAAAATACCCCCTCCCCCCCTTTTCGTTTTATGGACCTGTAAATGCGACGTGAAAAAAAGTTCTCCATGTTTAATATAGATTAAACAAAGCTTAAAATGTTAAAATGTGGTGTAAGTGATGCTTCAATTAAGTGCAAAGTGTTAGGTTAAAAAAAGTTATGCTTGAAAATAATTTATAATAAATTATTTATTACATGTACATGAAAAAGTATTTAATTGTTTAGTGCCTTCAATTATAGCAAGTATTTAATCAATAAGTCTGTGCTTTAGTTCACAGTTTTATCAGTAAATATTAAATTATTTTATTTTGGCTACTTTTTTCAATCAAGGTAACACAGGTAAACTCTACCGGACCCCTTAGAGGGCCTCTTAATTGAGTGTGATAATTAAATAGTTGTTTTAGCCAGTAGACGTTCGGGGAATAAACCCATAGCTGTAATGGCAAAACCGGGATTTTACAGTGAAGTATACGATTTTATTTAATCGATATAATGTATATACTGAAAGTCTCTTTCCCAAAAAAAATCTTTTATGAGTATCTATACAGACTATGCTTGAAGACTTTAGCTATAATATAACAATGTTCTGATTTGAAAAGGTAAAATTCTGCATTTAAAAAGCAGTGTTATGAAGATTCATTCTTTATATAAAATGTTTGACAAAAAATGAAAATGCTAAATATGCAATATATATAAGAAATAACGCATTTTGAAAATCATGGCGGTCATTTGAAAATGGCCGAAACTTGAATGGCCAACGATATTTCCTATTCAGGCACAAGACAAGGAACATATTCTTCCAAATGTGGAGATTGTCTCACCAAGTGAACTGTCTATTTTTTCAACTATCCGCTCCACACTGCAAAGGATACAAGATAGCAAATAGTATATACACTGTAATTATGATTCAAGTATTTGTACACTAGCATTATATTTCATAGCAAGGTGGTTTTGGCTAAAAATTTTCCTGAGTTACACTATTTCTTCTTTTCATTTTTTTTTAAAACTAAATAAAGTGAATAAAAGATCGAGAGCATTTATTTATCTAAATTATTTATGTAATGAATCAAAAATTTTAAAATAGTTAATCTCTCAACAGGTTTTCTGTTCGCATTGGTATTAGTTGAATATTTATGTGTTTGAGTTGAATGATATCGTACGCAACGAGGGCAAATGAATCGGCTGTTTCCGTATTTACGGAAATAACCGAGTATGCAATCTCGCGAGATATCCGAGAGTTTACGGCCTGCCTAATTGAAGACCTACAGGTAATTGAAGACCTACGGAAGACCTAGGGAAGACCTACAAAAGTATGGGCTATATACAGCAAAACTGATGTGATATTCTGATTAAACATGCCATGTATATATAACGTATACAAAAAAAATTATAAAAAGAAGTTTTAAAGTGTATTTTTCAAGCTCGGTATGGGGAACTATTTCTTCTCTCAGACGACCTACACAAGAACGGTAACTCTGGTTGACTTGTAAACAACAACACATGTTTATATTATCGGTAAAGGGGAATACACAAATAAAAAATCCAAATGATATTTGTTGAGTTTTTCAATCATGTTTATAATAAAGATATAAGCTTGAATATGAATTTTGATGAGATTTATATATAAAAATAATTATTTCACATCAGATGTATACTGTCAATGTTATCTATTATAGTCAATATTTAATTCATATTACAATTCTTCAAACATGTAATATGTTTTATGGGATAAATATTAAAGATTCTAATCTGAAATATTGATATGTATACTGTGGATTTGTCTTAAACCATGTCACTCTGAACTAAAGGCTTCAGCACTAATGTGTTATACACACACCCTGAGGATATATCCGTGTTTTGATTGCAATTATCAACATACCCCACTTGCTCTGATGAAGTTAATTTACAGTCAACATAGCAAAGATATATTTTAAAAATCCTTGAATTATATTATCTTCTTGCAGAGAAACTCATTGTCTCTGCTACATGAAAGAATTAGATTTCTTAATATAAAATAACTTTTTAAAGCTATTAAGTGAAGAAATAAAAAAAAATCAACGAGTTTTACATGTGGCTTGATAACATTTTGAAAAAAAAATAATTTCCAAGATGGTCACCTTTTCCCCTTAATCAAAAACATATTTATCTTACAGTGGCAAGAATAATTAAAAAAAAATAAATGTATTTTAAAATAACCTGTCATGTACGCCAAGAAATACTAATTAAAACATTAAGATTTTTTTCAACATGTAGAGCCAAAATCGATCTTTTACACATTTTTATTTAAAAATTTGGAAGGAAATGGAAACAGAAGTTCTGAAACTTACATTGGTTGACATCTCCTAAAAATAAGAACAATATATGTCATGAAAAATAAATATTAGCTGAAATATGAATATAATAAGACTTTCAAGTGGAATTCTTTGAAATATAAATTAACACAACAGTTTAAAATCTACAGAATTAATCAATGAATTTATGGATAGCAGCAAAAAATTATTCTGTTTGTTAATTACATACAAAGTATACAAATTCTTTTTATAATTAAACAAGTAACATGCATGTAATCACTTGAATGAAATGTATGCATATTTTGAATAAATTATTATTTTTTGCTGTTCAGGCTCAGTGAAATACAAGAAGATTTTGTAAGTGATTGTGGCTCTGATCTTTAAGAAAAATTACTTAAGATTTTTTAGTTAACTTATATTTAATAAGTTTTAACACTCTGTCAAAAGCATAAACATATTTATTTCAATTATAATATTTAATTTGTACATTGATATAGCAAAATAATTTTGAAAATAAATTTAAAAAAAGAAATAAAGGAATTCAGTAAAAAAAAAAAGTCCACTTATAGGATCTTGAAAATAATATCTAATTGAATATTCCCTTTTATTATTTCATATTTGATGTATTTATTTTTATTAATAAATATCTTCAATGATTATATTTTTCTTCATTTAACTATTGATTCATTTTTCTGATATGTTTTGGTGAAATTTACGCGAGTTATCGTTCTTGTGTAGGTCGTCCGAGAGAAGAAATAGTTCTCCATATCGAGCTTTAAAAATACACTTTAAAACTTCTTTTTATAAAAAGTTTTTGTGTATTTTATATATTTAAGACATGATTAATCAGAATATCACATCAGTTTTGCTTTATATAGCCCATATTTTTGTAGGTCTTCCCTAGGTCTTCCGTAGGTCTTCAATTACCTGTAGGTCTTCAATTAGGTATTCCCGAGAGTTTATTCGAGAAAATGGCCGCAGTTATTCAACCACCTGTGTTTGTGCCACAAACACAGCAAATAAATGGGGACATGATGCAGGTAATGCATTATGTTAATGTTTTATAAACTATTTAGAAGGCAATTTATAATTTTCGTTGAGGTTAAAGAAGGAAGAAGTAACAGAAATAGAATAATACCACTGTGCATGTCACGTGTGGTGTTCACAAAATCAGAAGTCATTAGTTTTATGATTTTTATCTCAGTAGACGATATCTTCATATATCACAAACAGGTTTTATTGTAGTCTAAGAAGATAAAAATTATTTTATTGTTTGAATGGTGTTTCTGTATGTTGAATAATTTTTATACTCTAGGTTTTTAACAACTCGGAACGTTTTCACAATGTAATCAAACATAAGCAATGAACAGGTCCAGTACAATCAGTATATTTAGCTACGTAGCTAGAATTACCTACCGTAGCTTTATTTACCTACCTACCAGACCTGATGAATTGTTTAAATTTTGTTGATTACACCATGCTGAGAATGATCTGGTATATACAGTTGAACTCAGTATCACAATACAAAGCACTTCATTCTCATTCTTGCACCTTTCCCCAAGAATAATTCAATATAATAAAATATCACCAAAAAAATACAAGTTAAGAGAATGATGGACAGTGTAGACATGCAGAGCTCTTGTACACCGCTTTTTGGGACTGGGGCCAGGGCTGTAAAAACTGGGAAAATTGGCGATCTTTTATGAATTTTGGGAAAATCATTATAAATTAAAATCATTGTACATTTGGTTTCTCAACTAAATTTTTCTCTTTATCTGTAAAGAGGAATATGAATAACAAGTTCAGTTATATCTTACTATATGTTCTTAAATTTTTTTGGGGGGTGGGGGTGGGGGGAGATGACTATTGGGAAAATTAACACATTCAATTAAGAAAAAGGGTACCTTTTTTTTGAATTGGGAATGAGGCCTTTGAATGGCCTCAAATATAGATGATCAAGAGCCCTGACATGTATGTCTATGTAAGTAAAATGACAACCATCTAGCTCTAAATCACATCAGGTATAATAATATATTAAATAATAAAAAAGATATTAAAAAAAAGGGATCTGGGGTTCCTCTGCTAACAGGAGATTGAGGAGGAATACCAAAGTAACTTGGGGATTATGTCATTATAGGTGGGGAAATTCCCTGGCCCCCGGGTCTTAGGGACAACCCTGATGCAAGGTAAATGTACATTTAAATTTTATTTAACTTTTCTTTTAAATAGGAAAATGGCCCGACAGAAGCAAAAAGAATAAAGACAGATGAAGAACTGATGTTAGGTATGGTGACTGGAGAGAGGGTTTTTTCAGCAAGTGACATTAAAATAGATGTTACTATTTTCATGTCACTTATAGAGAAACCCATGTAATAGACATTCATGTTTTATATGAAGTATACAGTGGAAGGGAAATCTCGGATACTGAATACATTTCCTATATTGTTTGTTTTATATACTGTCAAAAAATTGTTCTTGAAGATGTAACTAAAAAGTGGATTTTTGTAAATTGTAAAATCTGAAGAGTGTTGTGTGTACCGATGTGTTAATGTGAGATACTTGTTGTTCCAAAGAATGATTCTAGGGTTTGGAAGATTGAATTCTGTACAGCAAATGCACACATTTTTAAATGTATATACAAAAAAAAACATAAAAGGGAGAAACCTTTACTTGAAAATCTATGAAGTGGTTAATGAAGCAATATATTTATTAGTGTGTATTTGCTCTAAGTTTGAGAGAGGACTGGGTGTATGAGTGGCAGATCACCTTTTTAGTACTACAGTACAACCATGAATTGAAGGACACTCTCTTTTTTGTATTTTATGAGTAATACAGGCTGAGTTATCAGAGGAGAAAAGCTGGAAATCCATTGAAGAAAGTAGACTTAGGAAAACCTGCTACAATGGAAATCACCACCGCCCAGAACTGTAGCAATTCAAGACGAGTCTTGAGTCAGCATCAGGAACTTTAGTCAAACTTAACCAACATTTTTTTGCCCCCCAAAGAAATTGTATTCAGAAGTTTTTGCAGTGAATTTTTTATTTGAGAATCAAAATTGTTTTTAGCATAACCTATGACAGACTCAAAACAAAAATTCTTAGAAATATTTTTAGGGTACATGTTTTTTTTTCTTTAATTGTTTTATATGGGGAAAAAGTACCAAAATTTTAAGTGGATGGTCTCTGAGGTCTAAAATTATGAATTATTTTTACTGAAAACTTTCTAAAAAAATTGAATGATGATATTGGACATTGCCGTATCATGTTGAAGATTTGTCATGGACAGAGACTTAATGTGTCTTTTTTTCCCTCTTCTCTCTGTACTTTCAGTCGTCGTCTAACAAGTATCCCAGGGAAGAAAGTGTGCACTTTGCAGGAATGCCCACATGGATTACCAGCGAATGTCATCAATTTCATATCTACTCATTTGCTCACCAGTAGTGTCTTATGCATCATAAACCAAAAATGATTACATTTAAACCCTTTTATTTTTTGTACAACATTTGCTATTTGAATGAGACACATACATATACTTAGAAAATCGTAAACAGAAACAAAAAAAAAGATAAATTTGAATATATACATGTACATGTATAAGAAAAATTTTTCACATCAAGACACTTAACAAAAGTTTAATAAACTGTGTATGTAGAATTCGTTGTTATGAGTGAAAGTGTGAGATGGTGTGCATGTTTCCATATAACCTCTCTGTTTGTATTTGCAGAATTCAGCCAGACATGAAAGGAAAAGAATTTTAAATTTCTACTAATACTTCAGAAGTATCTGAATATTTAAAACATTAATCAATTGTTCTGTATTTTGGATTTCTAGAAAGATTATTTATTTTTTAGAATGCTGTATGCATTGTTTATTTCAGGTGAAACAGTCCTGTCATGAATTTAACATGATGAAATCTGAGAAAAAAGTGCTTTAATGTGGACATCCCACGAGAAAAATTCAACTGATAAAATGGACTGTGAATTTTTTGCAAATCTTCATATTTTGTTTGTGTCTTCGCATTTATAGACTCACAAGTGTATTATGTAAATGAATGTAAAGACTTGAGCACAAAGTTGCAAGGATTATTTTTAAATTCTAAATATTTTTAACAATTCTGTCTGTGACATGGCACACACTGTGCAGTCATAACTCCATACTTGGAGGGTAAGTATCAGGAATGAAAGGCACAAAACATGGCCCACCCGAACAAAATATTCTTTTTTTTTTTTTTTTTGATTCCCTTTATTGGTTTTATAGGGTTTTACATAAATTAAAATGTGGTCCTTTATATGAAGTTTGCAAAAAAAATGTCAGTTGCATAGACAGGGAAAGAGTATTTTGCAATGCTTGCATTTATGTGTTGAGAATATTTTGCCTGATGAACACTCACCCATGGTTCTTTTCTTTCCTTCTGTGTTTTTCATGTAAAAAGGAAAAAATGAGGGTGACCCCCTTTTCATGTGGCGACCAATATTTCATGATGCTGTGTTGCCATGACAACATGAATCAGACATCCTCCACTGGAGCGTAGCGGTAAAGAACGTTTACAGAAAAGTTTTCTGCTGAGAGAATTTTTCCTGGTCATTTGTTTTGCTTTTCAGAATATGCACACACAATGCACATAGAAAAATGTACACATTGATACATAACTATATTTACATGAATATGGATATACTATAAAGAGAAAAATCTTTCTAAATTTTAAAGAGGCCTGATTGAAATGACAATTAATTGTTCAAACTTTGGAAAAATTGGCAAAGGATTTATAAATAAACCATCAAAATTTATCCTCAAAATGGAAAATTTAGGGTTTCTACAACACTAAAATGGGAAAATTTAAGATTTCCAGAGCATTATGTATTTTTAAACTCGCATAAGCCACTCTTTTTATTAAAAAGTGTGAAAAAAGGCAATGTAAATGAATTTTAATTGAATACTGATTGCAATCTTGGTAAGACTATATTCACTTCATTATACACATATATATGCTTAAAAAGAAATTTTTGGATGGAAAAGGGGTTGGGGGAGGTAAAGATTTGATAGTTTGTAAATTACTGAATATATGTACGTACCTGTGTATACTTGATACATACTTAATTGTGATGGAGTTTTAAAAATAGATTTAAAATGAAGGAAACTGCCATATATCTATTCAGGCTCTAGGAAAAACATTCTCCATTACAATTGTACGATTATTTTTAACTTGTACTTACTATTATTTTTCATTGTTACAGAGAATGGAGTTTACATACCACAAGCTGAACAGATTGGGTCTATTCTGGAAGGACCAGGGGCCAAACGGGACCAAAAACCCTTTGTTCTTCCCAAACTCTCATCCTCCCAACATGAACTGGTACAGAAAGCAAAGAAATATGCCTTTGAACAGAGCATCAAAAGTGTCTTAGTTAAACAGACAATCGCCCATCAACAACAGGTGAGAAATTAAGAAAGTCTGCTGTAGACCACATTTTCTGATACCTCTATAATACCATACTTGGAACATACACGTAAAGATAAAAGATACATGCTACAACCGAACATGAAGGAGAATTCAGGCTATTTGAATTTTATTATCTTTAAAGTCAGCAGGAAGGGGTTGGGGTGAGTTTGGGCTAGAAACCAAAGTAAAAACCTGCTTTTGCATATAATGCAAAGGGGGGGGGGGGGGGGGGGCTTCTCTATTTGGGTAATCTTTAATTTCAACTGATTCAGACAGACATTTTTTACACAATGAAGATTAGTTCTCTATAATTAATCATTAAAAGAACTGAACTCATATTTTTCATAGTGTACCATTGAGAATACCATAATCAATGCTACTGAATTATTTTATTTTTAAGTTTTATATTTATTCATGTAGCAAATGCAGAATTTCCAAACAACTGTCCAAAGACAGCAGGCTCTGGCTTTGATGTGTCGGTAAGTTGTATCTCTTCTTTATTCTTATTAAACACCACTCTGTACATTGGCTCACTTATATCACTATGATTAGTCCATTAAAAAATGCATTTGTTTTAATTATGACCCCCTTCGAAGAAGGGAGAGCATGTTGCTTTGCTGTTGTCTGTCGGTCTGTCTGTCTGTCTGTCGGTCCACCAACAGTTTTTGGTCATTTTCTTTGCAGAGGTTGCACATACTGAAATGAAATTTGATATACAGATTTATCATAAGAATATCTAGGTCAAGTTCTGTTTTGGGTACCATCGGGCAATTTTTGAGTTATGCCCCTTGGACTTGGAAAAAATCCAATTATTTGCAGTTTCCATACATTTTCTCTGCAGAGGTTGCACATACTGAAATGAAATTTGGTATACAGATTTATCATAAGTATATCTAGGTCAGCTTTTGATTTGGGTACGATTGAGCAATTTTTGATAGAATTATGTCCCTTAGACTTTGAAAAATTCCAATTATTTGCAGTTTCCATTAATTTTCTTCGCAGAAGGTGCACATACTGAAATGAAATTTGGTATACAGATTTATCACAAAAATATCTAGGTCAAGTTTTGATTTGGGGATGGTCGAGCAATTTTTGACAGAGATATGCCCCTTCGGACTTTGAAAAATTCCAATTATTTGGGAAGGGGGGGGGGGCATAAGTGTTTCACAAACATCTCTTGTTCATTATAAATAGATGTTTTCTGTAATATTTGTTTTTTTAAGGTAGATATTTACTCTGTATATTGTATACAGGGAAATTTTGGCCCTATTTGTGTTCTTGCCCTTTTTTGTCCTTGTTTCAAGTAGGTGAATTTAAAATGGGGCAAATTCAAAGAAGACAGCATTAAATTTTAAATACAACTGTCCCTGGACCAATTTAAACTGGGCAAAATTGTTAAAAAGTGAGAAAGGGCAAAAATAACATGGGGTGAAAATAACCCTGTATCCAGTATAGGAACAAAATCCTTAAAAATCTTTTTCTGAAGATAAGCAAGATCAGGTGCTTGTGTTTGTTTTGGTCTATTAGCCTTTTCTATAACAGAAGTATTCAAGTAATTTATCCACATGTTTTCAAAGTGAACATGTGGTCTGTGATCTTTATTTCTACATTAGCTTTTACAAACACTTTCAATATGTAAGTTTCAAAATCTCTTCAGTTTTGTGTGTTTCAAAGAGGGTTTAACAATGAACATTTTTCCACCACAGGATCTATGTGGGCAGTATTAATTTTGAGATAAAGGAAGACACCATCAAGCAAGCCTTCATTCCTTTTGGTCCAATAAAAAGTGTAAACCTTTCATGGGACCCTGTCACCAACAAACATAAGGGCTTTGCCTTCATCGAATACGAAATTCCAGAGGCAGCCCAATTAGCCTTGGAACAAATGAACAGTGTCATGATTGGAGGGAGAAATATCAAGGTGGGTAGATCATGGCTGGTATATATTTCAGTATTAATGATCAGCATTCATAAAGATCTAATTCTCAAGTCATTTGTCTTGTTCTCAGTGGTCTGAAATAAGTTACTTTATCAAGGTGTAAGTGAAAAAATAATTAGAATTTCCTGTATTTTTCAACCCTTTTTTATCTGTAGGTGGGTAGACCCAGTAACATGCCTCAAGCTCAACCAATCATTGAACAGCTGGCACAGGAGGCCAAAAACCACAACAGAATATACATAGCCTCAATACATCATGACCTCACTGAGAATGATATCCAAAGGTTAGGGAACTGATTTAATTAAAAGTCTTCACATGATTTAATGTACTCTATTTTTTGTCTATTTTAATTACTTTAAAATAAAATTATATTCTAAGGGTGTTTGAAATTTTAGCCATGTTGCTATTTTCAGTGTCACAGCAAACTTCTTTGATATAGATGTAATTTTTCAATGTCAGATGCGATGTTGATTTAATCAGACATTTTTTTTTTATGCAGTGTCTTTGAGGCCTTTGGAAAGATCGTCAATTGTAAACTGGCCACAGAAACTGGAAAGCCAGGCAAACACAAGTAAATCTTTTATTTTTGGGTTATTATAAGAGCATACATTTGAATGATACATACTGTGGAATCATCATTGTTCATAGGGAACTAATGTTTGTGGTTTTTGTGAGTCACCCTTACCCATGAATTTATAGTCCCATGAATAAACTGTCAAAGCATTGAATCTTCATTATATGTGAGTTAGAAAAGAAAATGCCCAGCAAACCAGCCCCACAAATTAAAATGATCCCACAGAATTCATATTTAAGGGGCTCTTATTTAAAAAAATATATATTAACTGAAAATGATGTTACATGTATTTATATGTTTCTAAGTAATTGTATATATATACTAATATTTTTGTTAACAGGGGGTATGGTTTTATAGAGTTTGACTCTCAACAAGCTGCACAGGATGCTGTAACATCTATGAACTTGTTTGACTTGGGAGGGCAGTATCTAAGAGTAGGAAAGGTGAGTTTATTTGACAGACTTAGGATGGAGGCTAAATATGCTATTTCTTGAGAGGGAATATTTATGTATTATGTCATTGTCATGTAATCAATGATTTGAAGATATTCCTATTGATTTGATCCATCATTGAAATATTTCATTTTTGTTCATTCTGTATAAGTTAAATGTTAACACTTCTCCTTTGCTTAACCATAAATCTCTGATTTGTGTGCTGTTTAATAACAGGCCATCACACCTCCTGATGCACTACAGCCGATGGCCGGTCCAGGGACACTCCCCACAGCTGCTGCAGTGGCTGCCGCGGCTGTTACAGCTAAAATTACAGCACTCGATGCTCAAGAACAAATTAAGAGTCTGGTAAGTGACTTCATTGAATTATATCTTTCATCAAATATCAATATTAAACCACATTTTCTCTTGCTGTAAGAACAGTTTAATTTTTTCTTTTAATTGAAAGACTTGTAGTTGACAATTTTTGTGTCCTAGTCTAATTTTTGTTCATTCATGTAAGTCATGTGCTTCATTATTCCTTACCAAAATATTACATGTAACTCTTTTTAGGCTCCCCCAGGAATTGCCAAGCCTCTCAGTTTAGCAGACAGTCCCGCTCTTTCTAGCTCCCCTGTCCCCCCACCAGGTGTTGTAGCCCCAGTCCCGGTACCCCCTGTATCTGTTGTTGTCCCACAGCTAGGGTCAGTGGGCATTGTGACTCCAACCAGTCTTGGAATGGTGATGCCTCCTAATGTAGAGGGGGTTCCTGGAATTGTCCCTCCTTCAGTTGTGGCTCCAACAGCTTTAGGTTCTGCACCTGTACCTGTGCCAACATCAATACCAGGTAGGTTTTAATTAAAGTTATTGGTTAAGGGTGGGAGTTGAGGGTGGGGGGGTATGGGAAGGTAAATTTCTTTGACACACTGTATGAGTAGATTCAACTTTAATATAAGGACATACATGTAGATTTGAGTTAATAAGTAAATAAACTTCATAAAGAGACCTATTAAAAGAATGCTGATGAGTTAAAGTTTAATTCAATGGTGCTTGAAAATCTGAATTTGGGTCCATTAGGTTATATGTAAACTACAAATAAGGACAATTAAGATGTTTATCTTGGATAAACATGTACATGTATATTAATTCTTGTCACCTTTTTTCTCATTTCTTTATACAGTTTCAATCCCAGCCATGATCCCTCTGCCACCCCAGGATAAAGAAAAAGACATGAAGAAGGAGGAAGAAGAGAAGAAGAAAAAGAAGGCTGAAGAGGATGCAGCACAAACATTGGACCAACAAGAGAACATGAAAATCAGTGGCACCAATGCTCGACACATGGTTATGCAGAAACTGATGAGGAAAACAGAGGTTTGTTTCACTGTTTATAAATTACATACGTGTACATGTACATGTTGAAAAGAAAAATGTTTATTTACTTGGAGAAGATTTATTGCAATATTTTTACTTAATGATTTTGTACATTTACTACATTTAATGCTATCTCTCATAGGGATATATACAGTAAAACATGCTTATAATGAAGTGCCAGGGACAATAAATAGCTAGTTTGACTTAATGCCTGAAATGGCTCTGTCTGTACACCAATTAATTGACTCTCACCCATTTCAAGTATTGATAAAAAGTAGAGAATTACTGCTTTTATTTCCTTTATTTAAAGAAAATTTATTTAGAGTCTCAATGTATTGAAAACAAGCTTCATGAAATTGCTGTATCTTGAATTTTGCAGAAGACATGTTTATTTGAGTACCTTCAGCAAAGAATTAAAATACCAGCACACCCTTTCATCCAAAAAAGAAAACGTGTTTTGTAATCTTCAGTAACAGTGCTATCATTTTATAATTATACATTTTAGATCAGAGATTATATGCTCTATACAAAATATAAAACCAATTTCAAATATACTGTCCATATTTGAAGCAATTTTAAGGACATGGGGATAGTGATACAATTCATGTCATATTTGATCAGCTAGTGAGAAAGTTCAAATTTTTTAAAAGATATGTAGTCATCAGGGCCATACTTAAAAAAATTGTTTGGTTAGAATTGCTGCCTTGGGGTTTCACACCCAGAAGGGAGTGAGGTTTTTTTTTAAATTGAAGTTAAAAACTGTAGATAAAAGTCTCAATAAGCAGTGAACACTTTGTTTTGCTGACATTTTGTAAAAGGTATCTCCCATCATTTTTTTCAGGAGTGGCCATTTTGGCAATTCCAAACAATAATTTTATTTTGGCCCAAGTCAGGTGATATTTTATGCATTACCAACTAAAATTGTGCAGTTTTATTTTAAAGAAATTCACAAGGCCCAAAAAGACCCTAAGTGAACCTTGCACAGGAAGTATTTGGTACTATAAGTTTCTGATTAAGATGTAAACTACCTCTGTAAATTAATTACTTGAGGCTGTGTGCTGTATTTTCAGTGTAAGGTGATGGTCTTGAGAAACATGGTTGGACCTGAGGACCTGGACAGTGAACTGGAAAATGAGGTCACAGATGAGTGTGGAAAATACGGAAATGTAAATCGGGTCATCATCTACCAGGAGAAACAGAGTGAGGAAGAAGATGCTGAGATTATCGTTAAAATATTTGTTGAATTCACCGCTCAGTCAGGTAGGTAAAACATTTAGATGTATTGTATACATGTACTTACAAGTGATTGTTCTGCAATTTTTAGTGAAGGGAAATGGGCTTGCTCTTCAAAACTGGAATCTTGCCGACTCCCTCAATGATATACTTTAATTGTATACTACTGTGATGCAAAATAATCTGAAATGTGTACTTAGCATTGCACTTTGAGTATAAATTAAAAATGTAAATTGTATTTCTTTTTTTCCTTTTCAGAAGTGGAAAAGGCTTGTGCAGCTCTTAATGGCAGATACTTTGCAGGTAGAATCGTCACAGCAGAAAAATATGATGAGGACATGTTTAATGCAAATGATTTATCTGGATGAAGAAAGTGATTGTTCTGAAAATCTTGTGTTTGTGTACATGATCATCCACTCAAGTAGACATTGAACCCTGCCAAGGCTGGGGTATTGTTGTAAAACATTGAGATAATGATTCACTGTCTAGTGCTGCTGGTTAATCCCCATCTTGTACCAGGTATCCTAATGTTCATAATGATGTCATGTTTTATCATTGTCTTTTGACTCTTCGAAGTGGGCATATCTATTAGAGATTGACTGTTACATCCAAGATGTATGCTGTTTGTGTTGGCCCATAGAGAAGAAGAACATTGATTCTGTTCTAAAATAATAAAGATAGCAATATTGCTGGATTCTTCTTTTGTTTTTTTTTAAACAGATGATTCTTGTTGAGAAGTTATTTCGCTGTTATAGCAGAGACATTATAACTGTTAAATGTTTTTTATGTCTCTGGTTTGAGTTATCATGACTTTTCCTTCTTTAAATACATGTTCACTGTAGTTTTAGGTCAAATTGTGAATACTGTGATGAGGTGATTACGGATACATTTAGTTTAAACTGCGCAAATGCAGGAAAATAAAGAACTTGGTGGTGAATGATTGCCTTAAAAGTAATTCTTTGCAAATCAATCATCTTCGTGATTCTTGTTAACTTGTAGAAAGGCTCCATGTTGCTATTGTAAAACCTTGAAATAATACACATTAAGTGGTGGCCGCAATGCTTTTTAATATGAAAATCAGCCTGTAATTATTAGATTTAAGGGGTTTATATGTGGGGTCAATTGATGTCGGATTTTAATCCGTGATGGTGAATTAATGTTGAGGTTTTATCTTGTGGTAAATTGATGTTGGGGTTTTATCTGTGGTATAGTGACTGAGAGATGACCAAATCGTAACGAGTGAAGATATCGCAAGAGGGGAAAAAGATCAACATTGTCGTAGAATTGAAAGATCGGATATTGCTAAGAAATACAAGTATATTAGATCATTCCTGAGAAAGTCCTTATTTATTTTATCATTGTATTACAATGCAAGAGCACATTAGTTTAAACATTTTTTGAACAAATACCTGGTAATTAATATGTAAAAATCTTGAAAAAATACTTTATTACAAGAACATTGTTATACGATGATATAAACAATAACTATACAACATGAACTTAAATATAACAATATGAAATGAAATGAGAATGTATATATACCCGGTATGCTTTACATGGACAATTCATGTACAAATATAAGTTCCACAATCATTGTCCTTGGTTTGAACAATGACATGAAGAATATCCTCTGGTGAGGTGAGACACTGTATGATATGTATTATATTGTGTAGTACTGGCACTAGCCTATCTCTGCTGATCATCTCCACTTGCACAAAAATTGTTGTATACAAAACAGAAGTCCAAATAACACAACTGAAAAACTGAACGAATCTGAAAAGGAAAGAAATATATATATATTAGACATAGAATGACAGGAGAATTAAAATGACCCACTTGACATCCTTATTGAGAGTAAAAACAGTAACAAGTTTGTATTTGGAGCACAAGCTAAGTTTCCAGTTTCCGAATCCTTCATACAAATAAAATAGGGGTAGATTGTACATGTTTCTGTATACTTACCTTTAAGCTGAAAATAGTGCTTATGTAATTGGGAGTCATGAACGGTAAGTTTTAAAAGTTTAAGCTATAAATTGATTGGGGCACTTTTTTCCTGAATATATTTTGCTATAGTAAATTTTCCTTAAGATGCTGCCCCCCCCCCCCCCCCCCCCTACTCTTTTTGTTGCTGTATGGTGAGCACTGGAAAATTCTAGGATTTGGTTTTCAATTCATTGGTGTTTCAAAAATGAAATTATTTTAAACACCCTTGCAAATGACTCACTATAAGACTTAATAGTTTATACAATTCTGAATTTTCCCTTTATCTTTATTATTTTTGGCCATTGATAAAATTACGAAATTTCGTTAAAAATGAGAAATGTTCAGTATTCAAAATGATCTATTAAGCTCTCCCTCCCCTCCCATTTATTTTTTCCATTGTCATGCTTGCATTGCACTGATAACTCATCTGATTGCATGACATTCCACGAAAATCTTGTATAAAATCGTAGAAAAGATATTTGGTAAGTGAAGAGAAAAGGATAAAAAAAAATAGCAAAACACCCTCCCGCTATGGTGCCAGCTGGACCTATAGTATATATTATAAAATGCTGAATCCTTATGTTTTAGGCAAAGAAAAAATTTACATCCTTTATTTTTAAAATCTCCCATCAGACATAAGTACGTGTATATGCTTACCTGATCCTGAACAGGTTGGTGCATATGTACCAAGTAAGTTGGAATTTTGTCTCATTAAGGAATCCAGCTTACTATACAGTGTTCTAGATTCTGGGCCTGTAGAAAATATACAAGAGTTGTTTACACAACATAGCCTCTCCCTCCCCTCATCCTCGAATTTTTAATACTTTTTCTAGATTTACGCGAGGCATTCAATGTCATTTCCTTCAAATCGTATAGCATTTTAAACTTGTACCCATGAAGTAAACAGTGGCCTGCATGCAGCTTCCATCTACGACTGCATTAGAGGGCATCTGGTCTACCATAAGGTTATATGTCTGGGTGCCCAGTGCTGCAGCAATCTTTGTTCTCATGGTTTCTCTGAAGTTATTTAAATAAAGGTGTAGGAAAGTGTTTCACCAAGGATTATTTAAGACTTTTATTCATCAGACAGTGGAAAAAATGCGCCATAACAAATATAGTTTCAACCTAAAGCACACAAACCATGCAACCTGCTCTACAAAATCACTGAATTACAGTTTGATGGCTGCAACTCTATCTTGCGTGTCATTTGTAATTAACACTGTATACGAAAATCCATGCTATTTAAAATACAAAAAGTCAGTGAAATACAGCACTTACTTATTGAAATTGGATTGCACTGGAAACGACATTAACATTGTCATGCCATCCAAGGGCATGATATTAGCGCAAGCCACACGAGGCGCGCCCCCATTTTCTGCGTGCACAACGAAGGATCGGCTAATCACTGAAAAAGTGTCAAAATTCAATTATATTTTTATATAAATCATAATAGCGTAGTTAGGACTTGCATGCAATTGAATAGTCAGAAATGCAATGCTATAAACTTAAACATGCAAGATTATACTTTTTCTAGAAGACCCATATCAACGATAAATCTGATATGTTGCTTACGTTATTAGATAGTTCTAAATTATAACGATGTTATGCACGTATTGATATAAATAAAAAATGATTTTAAGGTACCTCCGAATTGACCCATCAGAGGAAGATAAACATCAGTATAGAATCGTCTACCATTTCCTACGTCATATTGTCCTAACTTTGAAGCCTGATCCCCCAGTTCACACCGAAGAGGGTTAGAAAAGCTACACTCATCATAATTATTCTGGAAAATAACATTCATGTATATATATTGCAATTGAAACAAATGTGTTTGTGAAACAATGATGCTCTGTATGTTGTGAAACAATGATGCTCTGTATGGCATCTCATCACTAAGGTTCAAGTCTTTCGAAAGTGGGTCAAACTCCAAGGTCGAGGTCATGTGGTCAGAAATGTTTGTACCCAAAAAAGGTCTTGTGACAAGGAATACACATGAAATATAAAATCCCTAGCACCAATCGATAAGAAGTAATTGCCAAAGTTGGAGTTTTTGAAAAGTAGGTCAACTCCAATTTCAAGGTCATAAATGTTGGTCTTGTCACAAGGAATAAACATGCAATATATTAAAGCCCTGGTACCAACCGTTCAGGATGTAGTTTATCAAAAGTGCATTACACTCATAAGGTCATAATGTTGAAACCCAAAGAAAGTTCTTGTCACAACGATATGAAAGCCCTAGCACCAATCATTCAAAAGTGATGACCAATGTTAGTTTTCTTTAAGTTTTTTTCAGAAGTAGGTCAAACTCTAAAGTCAAGATCATGAGGTAAAAAATTCTAGTCATGTCACATATGAAATACGAAAGTGTTAGCAAAATCATTCGAAAGTCATGGCCAAGGTTTTTTTCCCCGGTTGAAATGGACAGACAGACAGACGGACAGAATCCCTGAATACAGGAGCAGAATAAGATGGACAGACAGATAGCCGGACAGAATCTGATTACGGGGGTATAAAAATGGCATTTGAAAAATAGATACTTCTGTTGCCTTATCCAAACCCAATAAGACAATAACACATGCAATAGGCCTGGAAGAGTTCATGGCTATGTTCACAGAACGAAGAACAATTTGTACAGGGATGTTGTGGCATGGATGGGGTCGTTCATTGATGGATTAAGATGAAGAATGCCTTAGTAGTTTATTGACACGGTACAACGTATTTATGGAAATTACTTAACTGCCCGATCCAGTAAGATTTTACTAAATAAATATTTTTTAAACTTTTAAAACTATTACACGTAACGTTTTATCTTCTTAACGAATGTTCAGCCAGCCTGACTACTACTTTAACATAATTGAACTCGTTCAATTGGTTCAGCAAATTAAAAAAATAAATACCCTTTCTTCTTGTTCGCTATTCGTATCCATGTTTTATTATGAACATAGTGATCCCAAAGCACACAAAAACAGAATATGTAGACAATTTTATCTGGATGTTGATCTTTCTGAATACATTAATATTTGCATTTAATAATGGAAAAGCTAGTTCTAAGTCGACAAAAATTCTTTTGTTAGTTTTCAGTCAGGTAATTTAAGAAGGAAGGGGAAAAGGATGGATTAAATGTACCGTGCATGTAAATATAATCAACGGAAAATCATTCAATTCAAAGGAACCTTGAGAACATTATTTCGGAGAAGTAAGATATCAAGAATTGTTATCTTAAAATAACATGAATTCTCTATATGAAAACATTTATTAGCCACGAAATTGATAAAGAGGTCAGAAATGAAGTCCTGTGAGGGCAGTGGGGTAACAGGGCTACGATGCTTTCCAGATACACTTCTTGGACTAAATTCGATCACTGACCTTTGCTGTTCGTTCCTTGTCTTCCTTCACGTAATTATATCATTCTTCATTAAACATTGAACAGGGCTTGACAAATGAAGGTATTTATAATTTCAGAATGAGGGACTTTACTTAAATATAGTGATAAGGCATTGTTTACAACAAAGTAAACATAGTTTGAATTGAAGGTTGGACTGGCATCTGATAAAAGAACTTTATGCGAGACAGTCTTAAATAAATTCAAGATATGAATAATTTAACATAAAATATGAAATATTTACCTGTAAATCAGCTTGGAATGGGTTGTAATGACCTCCCGTAGAAGCACAGTCGGTGGTTACTTGTTTCTCATGAACATGCCAGTTATGTTTAGATGTCTGTAACGTGATAACACACGATGCGATTATAATAAAAGTAGGAATCAAATATTAAAATAAAGAAAGATTTAAATGATAGTGTATACATGTTACTTTTACTTTCATGAAAGAGAACTTACAATTTTACTTCGGTTTTGTGCGTAGTACAAATCAACTAAAATATCGGTATCACTCATTCCTCCGTCTGGGTAAGCATACTGCATCTACAACAAGACAGGGTATGCTTCTCAATATAAATAATCACTGCACGTTAATGAAGTGATCGAGTTCCATTTTAATGATTAAGAGGAAGAACTATGGTTTTAATGTAATGGGAACTTAATTAGTGCTGTTGAATGATAAGGTTTCGCGAATATCCAATTTCGTGGATCCCCCCTTTTTTTACCCACGGATTTTAAATCTCCATGAAGAATATTGAAATGTTGTAAATTCAAAAAAAAACAAAAAACAAAAAACAAAACGAGAGTTAGCCAACTCCATGGTTTATTCCCTCAAACCTGCAAATTAAATGATTCGGAATCCAGTCAATCCACAGTACTTAACTTACAGAGGAGTGATACATCTTACGTTGATAAATCAAAATATATTTTTTAAAATATCTTTCCAATCATCAAAATAAACTAGATATTCAATAATATTATGACGTGAATTATGGTGGCACTTCCACAAGACATTATTGACTCGTCCTGAGAATACTACTAGTATTTAAGGCGACATTTCTACTTGCATTTACATAGGGACTAGTGGTGCCAAAAGGAATGCAAGTTTCTGCAAATAAAAAAAAATCATACAAAAACGACCAAAGACCTACATATATACTAGTTCTAGTATTATATGTAAAAAAGATCTCTGTACACTTACTAGTGTGATTGTTCCTTGAATATCTCCCTGAGAGAAAGTCGCTCTAGCCTTATACATGACGCCCTTTGTAACTTCCGTGTCCTCCATGATGTCACCACAAAGCCATCGAGATGAATCAACTTTGTGTATCACAATGGATCTGCCAACAACACTTAGAGGACCACGGAGTGGTACATTGGTATCCATGTCGGTCACATCAACACTTGTCTGTCCGTTTAGTGGGTTGCCATAGCGACCACTTAAATCCCCCACCTCGTATTGATCGTCTGTCCCAGTTCCGTTAGCTGGACTTCTATTCACGTCTACTTCGAATGGATTGAAATGTCCACCAACACTTGCTGGTGAACAGGGCGAATTGCTTCCTGTAGGGACAGGATACTCGTGCACGTGCAGACCACCACCTTGTGTAGCCAGGTTGTTAAGATTTATTTCAGTTGTGGACACTCCACTCAAACAACCTGCAGAATCTTCAGTCAGTTTAACGTATCCACTCACACTTGAACTTACCATCTGACTCCATTTATCCACTTTTACAACACGTTTCGGAAGCTCGTATATATTTCCACACGACATTCTTTCACCGCCTTTGTTTGCACCATGAATCACCACAGACTTTCCAATTATGCTCAGCGGACCAGAAAGTGGAAGATCAACGTCCGTAAAGAAATAGCGCTGTTTTCCTTCAGCTGTGGTACCGATGTCTATGTTTCCATGTTTGTTTGCAACATCTCCAACCTCACATCTTAGGGGATTAGAAGAACTACACTGGGAGGCATAGTTCCCATCTAGATCCACTTGGTAGGGATTGTAATGTCCAGCTGTAGAGCTGCACCTGCCAGTTGAATCTAATGAATCTGTCCCAACCATTTTTTCATGGACGTGCCATTTGTGATCTGGAGATTTTCCTGTCTGAGCTATCATGTCAAGTTCTACGTATATCTGAGTTTCAGCATGGTACCAATTCATAAGAGGTTGCTGGAAAACCATGTATCCGATGTATGGGTAGGTAAACATTATCTGTGCTATCCTCATCTCATCGCTGGATTCAATATTTGCACAAACCCATCTTTCACCACCACTTTGCTTGTGGATGACAATGGATCGTCCAATTACACTGTTAGTGCCATATAATGGAAGGTTATAGTCAGTGAATGTATCTACTAGGCCTGTTTTTCCGTTTAAAACACCAAACTTTCCACTGATGTCTCCTATTTCGTACTGGTCTGGAGTTCCAGTGCCGGGACTTGGGGAAGTATTAACGTCAATGTCATTTGGATTAAAGTGACCTGCAACATACGATGGGTCGCAAACTTTCTCCATCTTGTTAAGTTTCTGTGGTACCGGCCATTTGTGTATGTGGTAACCTCCAGCCAAGGATTGCAATCCAGTTACATTCACATCAACTGTCGTTGGATCATACATGGATTCTTGGGACAATTTTATGTAACCTTTGACCCCGTCTCTACTGAACCGGGTCATTGTGCTTCTTTTCATGACTTGGCGGATAGTTCCACATGAGACGATTGTTCCATCGTTGGATTTGATCGCCAGGGATTTCCCAACCAAGGACTGCATAGTCAAGCTTTTATCAACAAAACATCGAACATTTTGTCCTTGTTGCAAGCTAGCACTAAGTTTGCCATGTTTTGATGTTAGATCTGTGTCTAGGGAACCAATGTTTGAACATCTTTGACTGAATGCAGTGTTCGAGGTGTCAGCAGAGACAGATTTTGTGAATACCTCCCAATTTAACTCCTCCACGGTTGTATTATCTGTGTTGGTCACTCTGTAAAGATCTACACACACAGACATTGGAGCGTTGTTCGGGTTACTGGCCTGTCGGAATGTGATCTTCCCGGCGATGTTGGATGGGAATATAGCAGATGCTGTATGATGTGTTTCGTTTGTTTCCAGAGTCGTGCAGACTGTGGAGTTGGAATCTGTTGTGTCCGTCAAGACTACAGATCTTCCTAAAAATAGAACATTTAGATCAGTATTTACCACATCTCTCTCGTTCAAATCAAAAGAAGTTCTTATACATTTACTTTGTGCGCACATTTTCAAAATCTTTAAAAGTTTTGCATTGGACATTCGTAAGCAAAAAGGAAATTATGATTTATTTGCACCTGTTAAATCATTGATATCGTTGAAATCGGTGATACTGTTAGTGCTTGCGCCATTACTGGGTACAGTTGCACTGAAAGTCCCCATTCTGAAATGAAAGATTTATCAGCGTTTGTTCAAAATGTAAACAAGATACACGTGTGTTCTCTCTTCAGAGTCACTTTCCTTTACAGGTAGTTTGTGTGTCTATCAAGCAATTCTTACTGACCTTAAGTTGACTTCACACCGTAAATTATGGAAAGAGCATTTACACTCTATTCTGAAGCACCGTTTGTACAGTTTCCCAAATTCTTAACAAATGATCTGTTTGTTTATTGATGAACGAATGAAGTTTGATGGGGAAAGTAAAAAAGAGAACTAACTTATGCCGGGTATGCAGGAAAATATGGGAGGGATAATATTTTCAAGCTTAATTGCAAGGGCAGTCTGTTTAGAATGATTACACCCCTCTCCTCATGACATCAGATTTTTACAATTTGGACTGGTATTGACTGAATTTACACAGGTATTACGCTCTACAAACAATGATACATGTATTGTCTTCGTTGTTTGTCGTAATGTCTCGCGCTTTTTCTTTTCTTTGAATATATATATATATTTACATTTCCAATGTCTTTGTCCGAGATAAAATTACAAATTGTAAAAATACTTTATTTCTACATAAATCTACTGGTTCATCGATAGGCGCGGTTAAAAAAAAAGCACGTGCGGGGCGGGACAAATAGAGACAGAAGCGGGGCTATTAGCACGGGAATTTGCAGAATCAGGAGCATGTAAATATAAGGAATAACTGTCAGATTTTTTGGATTCATGACGATGATCAATCGATTGGCTTGCGTGATAATTTTATGCATAAACGCCTTCGGCGTTTATGCAAATTATCACGCAAGCCACTCGATTGATCACATCATGAATCCAAAAAATAAGACAGTTATTCCTTAAATATATATATATATATATATATATATATATATATATATATATATATATATATATATATATATATATATATTGTTCGATCTGTTTGTTTGTTTTGTTGTTTTGTTTTTTTTTGGTGTGTGTGTTCTTTGCTTGGCAGATTGTATAGTTCTCCCAATATGGAGGCGTTTGGCAGTTGTACAACCATGTGGACATACATGTGGACCATGTGGATTAAGTCCTATTTCTGCTACTTAAACCCAACAAACTGCCGCATTCCTTGTTTGTTTTTTTTTTTCGAAATTTAAAAAACAAGGTAACGTGAGACTTCTTTTTTATCCTCTTTTTTTCAAATTTGGGCTGCATTATTATTCCGTCATATTAAATGTAACTCAAAAAATGTAATTTGTAGACCTACACACTTACTGCCTACCAAGACGGACATCAGAACACATTGCAGGGGATCCATCGTATAACAACCGCACCTCCCGGATAACCATCGTGTTACTTTGCTTTAGCCCCGATAATGATGTGGTCACCGATATTGCCTGACCTTGAGATGACTGGGTCAAGGTCACAGTGCCAGTTACTCCTTTCATTTTAATGTTTCCAATTAAAGTTGATTGCGCTTTTGTGGAAATAGCTAGAAAAGAAATCATGCATTGTTCAAATTATTTATATGCATGTAAAAAAACATCTTTGATAACAAAAATCACAATCAAAGTATGATTGATTTCACTTGAGAGATCCTATGAGAGGATGAATTCTATTCTTGTCCGTCTCTGATCAAATTTCTTTTTATTTCTGTGTCTTATCAGTTACAAATGGATGAAAAGGCAGGTCGACATACTGGGGTAGCGAATGGGGAGGGGTAAGGATCACGACGAAGTTTTCTTATTTAACTTGTTATTTGATGTTTGTATAGGAATATTACAGCATACTCATCGACATTTCACACATACATGCTTATATATAATCAATAATATTAAATGTACACAACCGACTTAAAAGTAGACGATATGATCGACAGTCAATGAATAATCTGAAAGTAACGCATGGGACGGGTTGTTAAAAATTATGACTTTTACTTGTATTATTTCTTATACAAATTCAGATGATTTTTTTTTTCATAAAAAAAGAATTACGTTTCGTCAAACCTCTATTGAATAAGAAAAGCCCTCGAATGTCAATCCAGCTACATGTGTTGTTAACATTAACATATTTATTTAGGTTTAATTTTGATATTATACATTCAATTTGAATATAAATTTATAAAAATATTAACATATTTACGACTTGTTTTGACAGCAATTTTTCGGGAAGGGGAAGGGGGATGTTCCACACCAACTCAAACAAATGTTAGACTCGGAAATTTTTTTGATTTTCAAAAAAAATGTATTAATTTGCCAAAACTTCATGAACCTATTTCAAGAGGGGGGGGGGGGGGTAAGGACAAGTTACTTACCTAGTACACGTTCTAAGTCAACTTAAACCGTATTACTAGGGGGAGTGTTTCAGAGGTCATTTTCTCGTTACTTTACATCGGAATTTAATATAACTCTGAAAATCCCAGGGGGTGGGGTGGGGGTGCAGACCTCCCGACCCTCTCCAGATCCGCGCATGTTTTGAATACGACATGTAATGGTGATGGCATATACGGCTGTATGCCACAAATTTCTCAGTTCATTAATTAAAGATCTTTGTGTTTATACAGTTCAATTTTGGTCTTGAAAATAAAATATCATTTCAATAATTTGTCTTAAACATTTTGATATTCCTGTATACAATTTGCTGCCACAACATAAAACTTCAAACATACATCTTTTTTTAGGCAAACATAAAGTGAAATGGAGGAACGATATTTAATTATAACAAGTATGTAATAAACAGTTCTGCTTCTAAAATTCTAGGCTACCTTCTATCAGGAAGTCAATTGTCAAGAAACAACTTTTTTATGTTTTGCTTTTAAAAATAAGGTGATTGTGTCATCTTTAAGATTTTGATATCATTATATCATATTTAGTTTTCGTGAAGATTTCTAGCTTTCGTGGTCTACAGAGCGAGTCATTGTATTACAGTACATAAAAAATCGGGGTGTTTCTGAAACGTATACGTTGATCAGGATATACACATGTATTGTATCTAGGAACAGGGGGACATTTTTTGCACATCTGGAGACGGTACCCTTCAATTACTATTTTCCTCAAAGTTTTGACAAAAGGGGTTGATACACCTATTTAATATCGATTTGGGGGATCTTGCAGAACTGTGCCAATTTAATGTACATGTAGTTTTACACCAAGTTAAGGGACTTACTTGGGCGTTGTTAAATCATATTTGCATTTTCAAAAAAAGGTTAACTGCATCGACCCCCCCCCCCCAAAAAAAAATAATAAAATAAATAACAACATAAAAATAAAAAAGAGAGACCCCCCCCCCATTAAAATATCTGGATTTTCTTTCGTGGACTGAAAGTGAACACAAACAACATACACATTAAGATTTGTTGATGAAAAAAGATGGATCATTAAGCATTAGGATAACATACTTTTAGGATTAATTTAGACCCAGATAAATGTTGAATTGTGTTTGGTAAAGAGATCATTTAATGGTATGTGGGGGAAATTTACATTGAAGGCTGTCATTTAATTAAATTTATAATAAAGTATAAATAAAGGGACATACAGCGACCCTACTATGTAAACCGTATTTACTCATTTCCGTTCCTTATCCTATACGTCAAGGAAATATATAGGAAGTATTGTACTGGACACACACTGTTAGTCATACTGAAACATGCTTATTCTCGGCTGACCCCCCAAAATTAACAATATATCTATTGACAACTAGTGGTAAATCTTTTATTTAATATCATCTGGTAAAATCAAAATTTACTTCATGAAACTTCAATGGAAGTGTAATCTCTCTCTCCCCCCCCCCCCCATTCATTTGGGTGGGTGTTGAAAAAAAAAGAACATGACTGTTTCTTATATTTGTATGTTCACCTACCGGGGAAATTCAATAAAGACATTTTGTTTGGCTTTCCTTTTCGTTTCAACAAGTAATAAATAATGTACATTAATCAAACGTGTTTTTTTTTTGGTCGCCAACCACATCGCGTGCAATTCTAAATAGTAAGGTATATATATATATATATATATATATATATATATATATATATATATATATATATATATATATGTGTGTGTGTGTGTGTGTGTGTGTGTGTGTGTGTGTGTGAGGGTGTGTGTGTGTGTATACTATTAAAATCAGCACTTCGATATACACATGCACTTTTTTAAAATTGCTTTTACATTTTTTTTCAATTCTTTTCTTCTCTTTTATATATTTCCTTGTTACCAGGATACAGAGACCAGATACACACATTCTACAAATTTTTTTTCTTCAAAATTATCCCTTTTTAGACGATCCGATTTATTATAAGGAAATAGAAATTAAAGTCATACATGGCGGTTTTTTTTTTTGAAGTTCAGACTAACTAAAATTAAAAAGATCTTTCTATTTGTTTTATTACTTTATATAAAGATAGGACTTTCCTGTAAATTACAAAATTTAAATCAATTACGTCTCAAAGATTTTAGAAATTTAAAACAATAACCGATTCGTCTATCGACTCCGCATTTAAATAACAGACACCCTTTAAAGTCAATTTAACTATAGAAACATGAGATTATTCAAGTTCAAAACCGGTGAAAATTTTAATGTGAACGTAAATAACATATATCGTGTTTATTACACTCAATCTCTCAATTTATTTTTTAGCTCAGATACGCCAAATGTTTAGTGCTTTATATATTATTTTTACCAAGCCTTGCATTAATCATGAAGCGTTTGAAATGTAAAATCACTTATTCTTTTTTTTATTACATTGAAAAGTACAAACAAGTACCAAATATAATGGGTTCCAGTTGATGTTATAAGGTCTTTCTATTAAACATCGGTATCTTACTACTAGGACATTGTGTACTGACCAGCGGTGTGGAAGGCAGGGGGGGGGGGGGGAGAGAGTTGTTCGACATGTTTACATGTATATCATGTATATGGATTTCACAGACACATTGACTACTCTAGAAACAACAATAGAATCTTTATAACCCTTCAAACATTATAATCAGTGGCAGATTTGAGAATTGAACCCCTTTCATAATTTAAGAAACTCCTCTGCCACTCCAAGTAGATCCGCGCTCAAGGATCGAGACTCTTCCCCACATTATCAGATGTGACAGATGTACGGGGGAGGGAAATCTTTCCGCCGAAAACCCCTCCCCTGGCTCCCATACTCCTTCTTGTAGAAGGTATATAATGCTTAGTCAGTCTGCATGTGTACCGAAAGCTACATACGTAGATGGTATACAGTAGTGATGCACAAGTTACAAAACTGCGATAACCCAATTAAAACATAAATACGACTGATTTAAAATTATTAAATAACATACGGTCTGACAGCTGAGCACGTTGTTAACGGTTTAATTAAACTCTTACCTGCAAAAACAAAAGCGGCAATCCATTGAACAAAAACTCCAGCCATTTTTAAAACTTTAATAAAATTTCGAACTAATCTTAGCTCCCTGATAACAGGCTTATCATTGAACACTGTGTTCACGAGAACGCATTCTCCTTTAGCTCCCACGGCCGAACACTGAGTGTGTATTCACGTATAGTACAGAAATCTTGGGGGAAAAGGCTGTGACACGTGACCAGTTTATGTTGTCCTGTTTGTGACTTTATGAGTGTACATAAGTATGTACATTATATGTACATGTTTATACAATCCATCATTGATAAAAGAGTGTCTGACCACATATGTAACGGAATATTTATAAACAAGCAGGTATAGTAGTTATTTATAAGCCTCGGGCGGATCTACCATATTAAAATTATGACGATGTCAAATAAAAGCGTCTCTTCTTTGTTTACGTTGTCTTGAAAAAAAATCTCATTTCCCTAAAATATAAATGAAATTCCTCAAATATAAATCAATTTCTAAAAATTAATTAAAAACAGTCCGGATCATTCATAGGTGCCATCAGTTATTTTTAATCGGTGACTTTATTTTCCTACATGGATGAACTTAAGTGAACGCGGTATGTCATCGATGTGTTATTTTTCAGAATCGCCACATGAATATCAAACAAATGATTTGCTCGAGAGTCCTTGTAAAATTTGGTTTTAATCCCTCCTTCAAGATTATTTTAAAATCAGCGAGGGGGAGATACATGCTATTCTTGCAGTTGACGTCAATATCAATGCAAACACAATCGACTTTTAAAATTCGTACATATCAAATATAATATATTGAAATGATTGAAAAATATTTAATGGAGGTCTATATAAACAACAGAAAACGGACAGAAAAAAAAACTTTGATCACAACTAAAATGCTTTACGGAAGTGCGCATCACAGAACACATTATGGTAACATGCTTGAAGAATTCAGACCTTTTCCTTTTAATTATTGAATTACGCAATATATACACTTTTTATGGACAGAACTTGCAATAGACTGTAACTGAATAATATTCATTTATCTGAATAAAAATTACCATTAATATTCTTATTTGAGAAATGAAGCATGAAGAAAAAAGGATGCTATAATGGTTAAGGGTAAAAATTACAAGGTAAACTTTCTTTTATAAACTTTATTTGAATTTCCTTTAAAGTTAAAATACCACAATACAAAGAGAGGGAGACAGATTTATTTGCACCATTAATGCAGATAAAAAAAGATTTTTTCGGAGTGAACTCTGTTACACCGAAAAGAGATAGCGCTCTAAGCATATGGACGATATCTCATACGAGTCGTATTAATTGTCAAGGAAGAAAATTGCAGTGACGGTTTAAGATCAGACGACACGTTCCTCAATAATATAATTTTCCAAAGAATTTGTCCTTGAAGTATTACTACTTTCACAAGTTTCCTCGCAAAAAATTGGGGTGCCTTACCAGGCATTTGTGCAAATAATCTTATCAAAAATCACTTGAATTGTCAATACAACAATTTAAGTTGTATTTATTTTCTAAGACATTTTAAGAAACAGTTTAGAAATCAAAAGATGATGTTATTAATGAATTTTTATTTTTATTACATGATTGAATATTTCCTATCTCTCTGACTGGCTGAGACCCAACAATGTTAGAAAAATACTATGGTATATTCACCTGCACGTGACCTTCCAAGTGAATATAAGGATTTATTTTCTCTACATTGGTCTAAAAATAGATCGGGAAAGTCCAAATTGATACAAATACTTTTGGAAAGCTATTTCACTTGCTACCGACTTCCACTCAGGTGAACATAACATTAGGGAGTATATAATTGGGGAGGGGGGGGGTTGCAGGGGACCCGCCCCAACACTTTTTTTCTTAACGTAAATTTTTACTTGCAATGTAGACTTTAAATATTCATTAAAAGGCTGGTCCCCCACTAATGTACCTTAATTCCCCACCCCTAATCCCACCCCAAAACAAAATTTAAATTTAAAAGAATTCTCTTTTCGTGGGGGTTAATTACAGATTTTTTTCAGCTGTCAGATTTTCCTAATGTTCCCCCCTCCCTTACTTTCAAAATTGATCCTATAAAAAAAACCCTAACCCTAACATTCTTTCTTTCTTTTTTATGCAACTAAAGTAGATTTTTTAAAAAAAAATCCTAATTAATACGACTGGAAATGTTTATTTAACCCTGCTTCTCTCATTGCATTTGGGTAGGACTTCAGCAAATGTAAACAAGTAAGATGGCATGAAGTGCTTAATGAGTTTAATTGTATCATTTAATCATTTAATCATATGATAAAACAATTGTTGTAGTTTTTTTCAGTCAATGCGATGATTTAGCCACTTCGAAGTACAATATTCACCTCGCCCTTCGGGCTCAGTGAATATTTTATTCCTCAGCTGGCTAAATCGTATTGACCTCAAAAACAGCAATAATTGCATAATATATCACGAAGAGAAACAACACAGATATTTGAGGAACGTGTCGTCAGATCTTAAAGATTCTAACTTAGTTTGGCGATGGCCATTAAAGGAAAAAAAAGATGTGTCAGGATGACACGAATGCCTCCGCTGATTTTCCAGATTTAGATATGTGCAAGTCCAAGATTGTGAAAATAACAATGGGTGGAAATGGCATAAAAATACCATATACTTCTGCTTTTGTTTTTTGAAATCAGTTGTCTATATCACAACATACTAAAGCTGCGTGAAATGATGATCACTTACAAGCAAAGTAATAAACAGAGTAAAGAACAAGAGGCCCATGGGCCACATCGCTCACCTGAGTACATTGGCTAGGAAAAAAAGCAAAAATCAGTACAGTATTGAAAAGTTTGCAGGGAGGTGGGGGGGGGGGGTGTTTAATTTTAAACTACCTGATGATGCTTCCATATCAATATAACAAATGGCTTTGTTGTTCTTGAGCAGCAGATTTTTTTCCCATATATTCATTTGTAAAAATTTGATCCCCCATTGTGGCCAAACCTTACCCCCCGGGGCCCTCATTTGAACAAATTTCATTCTACACTACCCAAAGATCCCTCCATATCAATTTGACTACTCATGGATTTTCTGTTCTTGAGAAAAAGACTTTTTCCTATATATTCCTCTATAAACTTTGATCACCCATTGTGGCCCCAACCTATCCCCGGGGTAATGATTTGAACAAACTTGAATCTTCACTATCTGAGGATGCTTCCATATAAATATGACCAATCATGGCTTCACTGTTCTTAAGAAGAAGATTTTTAAAGATATTTTCCTATATATTTCTATGTAAAACTTTGATCCCCAATTGTGGCCCCACCCTACCCTCGGGGTCATGATTTGAACAAATTTGAATCTACACTACCTGAGGATGCTTCAATATAAATATGACCAATCATGGCTTTACTGTTTTTAAGAAGAAGATTTTAGAGATATTTTCCTATATATTTCTATGTAAAACTTTGATCCCTCATTGTGGCCCCACCCTACCCCTGGGGGTTATGATTTGAACAAATTTGAATCTTCACTACCTGAGAATGCTTCCGTATAAATATGACCAATCATGGCTTTACTGTTTTTAAGAACAAGATTTTTAGAGATATTTTCCTATATATTTCTATGTAAAACTTGGATCCCCCATTGTGGCCCCACCCTACCCCCGGGGGTCATGATTTGAACAAATTTGAATCTACACTACCTGAGGATGCTTCCATAAAAATATGATAAATCATGGCTTTGCTGTTCTTAAGAGGAAGATTTTGAAAGATATTTTCTTATATATTTCTATGTAAAACTTGGATCCCCATTTGTGGCCCCACCCTACCCCCGGGGGTCATGATTTGAACAAACTTGAATCTACACTACCTGAGGATGCTTCCATATAAATATGACCAATCTTGGCTTTACTGTTTTTAAGAGGAAGATTTTGAAAGATATTTTCTTATATATTTCTATGTAAAACTTGGATCCCCATTTGTGGCCCCACCCTACCCCCGGGGGTCATGATTTGAACAAACTTGAATCTACACTACCTGAGGATGCTTCCATATAGATATGACCAATCTTGGCTTTACTGTTCTTAAGAAGAAGATTTTGAAAGATATTTTCCTATATATTTCTATGTAAAACTTGGATCCCCATTGTGGCCCCACCCTACCCCCGGGGGTCATGATTTGAATGAATTTGAATCTACACTACCTGAGGATGTTTCCACATAAGTTTCATCTTTCCTGGCCCAGTGGTTCATGAGAAGAAGATTTTTAAATGATGCCATTATTTTTTCACTAATTCCTAATTATCTCCCCTTGAAAGAGGGCGTGGCCCTTCATTTGAACAAACTTGAATCCCCTTTACCCAAGAATGCTTTGTGGCAAGTTTGGTTGAATTTGGCCCAGTGGTTCTTGAGAAGAAGATGAAAATGTGAAAAGTTTACGACAACGACGATGAAGACAGACAACGGACAAATTTTGATCAGAAAAGTTCACTTGAGCCTTTGGCTCAGGTGAGCTAAAAAGTAAATGATTTGATATTTTGAAAGTCTAAGTGACATGACTTTTGTAAAGATGGGTCAATTAATACGATCTTGATCTGTAAGTCATCTACATCAAGAGACAAACCAAAATTCAGCTCATTATCTACAAGCATAGCAAAATTAAAGTTCGGAAAACAGCAGGTGAATAATAAAAAAAAAAGTCTAAGGGCTTTATAACTTCCTTAAAAATGGGCTATAATCAACTCAGAACTCAACTAATCAGCTAAATATCTACAAGCATAGCAAAAATAAAGTCGGGAAAACAGCCAGTGAATTATTTACATAAAATCAAAATCTAACAGATCTAACTTTTGTAAAAATGGGTTAATCAACACAACCCAATGGTCATCTGAGTATAATACAACCCTGTAAAGGATCCATGGAATGGTATATTATAATACCCACGGAAAAAGGATGATCAGGGCTCAACAAAATAGTCTGGTAATCAACAACAACTCAGAAACTAATGCCTATATATGTCAGTGCTATTATATTCCAATAGTGCTTTTTGCATAAAAAGCAATGTTCACAGAGAGTATACAGCATAATGCCAATCCCATAATGGCCTCTCTTCGTCCTTGAATATTTTTAATGTACAAATATATTTTTGTCGTATTTATTCATCTACTATTTTTACAAATCTACCCGAGAATAAAAAAGCTACAAATGTACTTTGAATAAAATATTTTTTTTGTATAATTCTTTTATTCAATTTATCTATCAGTTGCATTATTTACATTGATTAATTACCATAAGTGAATAACAAAGGAATTAACTTCTCTTCTAGCAGATTTGATATTCCCATACATGATCATAATAGAGCCCCACCCTCAATCCAAAACCCCTTAATTAACTATCAAGGATTTTCACAGAATAAATGCATTTTCACTGTATGACCAATGCAGCCTCACCCTAACTCAAGAACCCTGACATGAATTTCACAAATCTTACAGAAGCACTCTCTACTTAGTTTTCTCTGCTGAATACTCAAAAGCAAGGAATATTTTCAAATATATGTATTTTCACTATTTGATCAAAAGAGCCCCTTTCTAACTCCAGAACCCTGACATAAATTTCACAATTTTGGAAAAAGGCACTCATGCTCAAATTATTCATGCAATTTGTTTGTCTGTTAAATATCCAGGAGCAGAGAAGATAATTTTCAAAAAATAAATGCATTTTCACTACATGATCAATAGAGACCCATCCTAGCACCAGTGCCCCTAATCCAGGGGCTATGAATTTCATAATTTTGGAAGAAGGCACTCTTTCTCAGCATAGCTATGCACTTAGTTTGTTTGCTTAATATTCAGGGAGAGAGAAAATTTTTGAAGGATTTATACATTTCCATTATATGATCTATAAAGCCCTGTCCCAAACACCAGGGTCTAGAATCTCTGACCCTGGGGCCATGAATTTCAAAATTTTGGTAGAGGGCTCAATGCTTATTACAATCATGTCAACAGTTTGACTGCTTGATGTCCAGAGAACAGAAGATAGGCCACTGGGTGGGGGGTGGGGGGGGGGGTGGGGGGGGTATCAGGCACAATAAAATTCACAATTTTTCCCCTTCACCCATAGAAGTTACATGCCAAAATTGGTTCAGCAGTTGTAGAGAAGCTTAAAATCTTCAAAAGTTAATGCACACCAGATGACGACAGACGAAAACAAATACCAACAGGTTACCTAAATGACTCAGGTGACCTAAAAACCCAAGGCTTTCTGTGTTAAGTACATTGTTTTACCTATTTTTCACTTTTTGGGGGTCTTTTCTATATCTTGTTCATTTATTTTGAGTTACTTCTTCATTTTATTGTACATATTCCTTTGTAAGTTTCAGTGTCTTTTCTTTACTCCAACACATTTCTCATTTGTGCAATCTTGGAAAATTTTTTATAGTTATTACCTGGTTTTTGCTCAAACTTATCCGATTAATGTCCATTTTAATTTTGTGCTTCCTTTTTCTAGAAACCATTTTTTTTCACCTTCAAGAGCGTTTCTCGCTTCTGCATATTGGCCTCATTTCTGTATGGAATCTGCTATCCATCTATCTATACTCGATGTATGGTGGTGCAATAGTGAACTACGTGCCTCTAAAATTTGGACCATATTTTCAGCCTTGTAGTTGCTGTAACAAGCTAAATGTTTGGGATGCAATAGTTGTTTAAACCTTGCAACCCTTTTTTTTATTCAAATATATGTATAGGGTATATGCATTGCAAACTACTAAATGAATCATTTTTTAAACATAGGTAATCGGAGATTACAGAATTCACCTCAACAAATGTTGTCTTTAAGCAAGGCAAAGTCCCACATTAAACTAATAATCTAGGAGTGTGCATCCCTAGATGCAATATTTATGCAATTTTGGTATGATAGGGCTTGCAGTTACTTGGGAATAGACTTATCTAAAAACTTTAAACTAGTCACTCATCCAGAAAATGCAAGTCAAATCCAGCATCTGAAGCAAGTTTGAGAGTGTTTGCCCCTTGATGCATCATCCATGCAAGTTTGGTTCAGATAGGCCTTATAGTTACTTGGAAATGAGATCTGCTCCAAAAACTTTAACCTGGTCACTCATCCATAAAATATAGGTCAGATCCAGCATCTGAAGCAAATCCAGTAGTGTGCATCTTTAGGTGTATCATCCATGGAAGTTTGGTTAACATAGGGCTTATGAGATGTGAACCAAAAACTTTAACCTGGTCACTCATCCCGAAAATATAGATCTGATCCAGCATCTGAAGCAAGTCCAGTATTGTGTATCCTTAGATATTTCATCCATGCAAGTTTGGTCAACATAGGACTTAAAGTTACTTGGAAATAAGTTCTGCTTCAAAAACTTTAACCTGGTCACTTATCTGCAAAATATAGGTCAGATCCAGCATCTGAAGCATGTCCAGTTGTGTGTATCCTTAGGTGTATCATCCATGCAAGTTTGGTCAATATAGGGCCTATAATTACTTGGAAATGAGATCTGCTCCAAAAATTTTAACCTGGTCACTCATCTGGAAAATGTAGGTCAGATCCAGCATCCGAAGCAAGTTCAGTAATTTGCATCCTTAGATGTATCACCCATGCAAGTTTGGTCAATATAGGGCCTATAGTTATGTGGAAATGAGACCTGCTCCAAAAACTTTAACCTGCTCAAAAAACATTAACTTAGTCATTCTTTAGCTGAAATTGCTGCATATGAAACATTGACTGGTACAATGAAACACACTAGAAGCATCCTCCATGCATCTCTGATTAATATAGGGCATAGAAGTACTTGAAAAAGAAAACTGCTCCAAAAACTTTAACCTTGGACGCCGACCCTAAGGGTATTACATAAGCTCCCCCAACTTCGTTGAGGTGAGCTAAAAATTTAAGTCTGTTTCAATACTATCTGTAGTAATTAATTGTACAATATAGGGGAGACTGATATCTGCTGAGCAAGAATTTAAAACCCCAAACCACAATTACACGTATATTCTTGCCTGAAATAGATTGATTTCAGTAAAGGTACTAATCCTGTATAATGGTTTCCTCTTCAAAGATGTTAAAACCACAAAAACTGTATAATTCCAATTTTTATATTAATTGACACCTTTTTGTCTCCCTTTAATCATTTGTTATTTGCATTACTGCTAAGGCATTAAAGGGAAAAGGGCTAGCTTTGCTTGATCAAACAGTCAAGAGCTTTCAGTGCTTTTAAAAAAAAGTAAACATAATTCAAGTAAAAGGAATTAGAAACAGATGTTAAAAACTTTTTCCTGTATTCATTAATTTCTAGTGATACTTTTTTCTCAAATATATTTCTCTTTCATTCCAAAGAGTAATCTTTGATGCCTTATATACAAGTAAATCTACAAATTAAAATGTAACACCTAAATAATACATTAATCAATATTTATTTTCATAATATCACAGCTCCAGCCCCTTTAAATATTGCCATTACATATGTATATGTAGCTGCAGAACTGTAGCGTTATGGTTTTATATTTTAGTCTACAGTTCTGTAGCTAATGTATATGCAGATGAACACGCAGAGTAGAATCTACAGTTCTGTAGCTAATGTATATGCAGATGAACATGCAGAGTAGATTTGAATTATGACTGAACATATGCTTCAACTTTTGTTTTTTTTACCATCACTGTGCTTAATTTTTTTCTGTAGGAAAATAGGACAACTTATATGAGGATACATGTACTTAGTACATGTGTACCTATCAGTCTGATGATGTAGTATGCCTCATACACTCTGTTTTTATTATGAATAAAGATGACTCCTTTCATGTCTGTGGTCAACTGACCACTTAGGAGGCAGATAGTTGGGTTTCATGGTGTCTACAAAATGTTGTCTCCATCGTCTTTCAAAATTATAGATACCCCCGTTTCTTCTGACATGTCGAAGAACAGCTTTGCCATGAGGAAAATACTCATCGTTGATTGTCCTGAAAAATTCACGTTTGGTTAGTGTACAAAGATTTACTTTATAAAATTATTTACTGTGAAGTTTCTGAGATAAGAGTTAAAACCTCCATGATTAGGATAGAATTAAGGAATTATATACAGGGTTGTTTTACATGTGATCTTTAGATGAAAACTTGTTTCATAACAAGCTAACAATCTAAATGATAAACACGTATCTCTCTTTATCCCAGCACTTTCATTATCCATGATAACTACGTAACTACAATCAAGATAAGGGCTCATATTTACAGATTAGGTTATCCACAATTGTGTACAAGAGGCCCAAGGGCCACAACACTTGTCTTAGTCACACTTTTTGCCTGCAAGATGAATTTGTAAATGAAACCCTTTATAACAAAGAGGCCCATAACATACTACTGTAGAATCATCATTGTTAGTGGGGGACCAATGTTTGTGGATTTTGTGGGTCACCCTTGCCCATGAATTTACATCCCCATGAATGGTTATTTTATCAAGGTATTGATTTGTTGAATCTACCATTAAAACATGTCACCCACAAAGCAGTAAAATTTTGCATTCCCACAAATATTGACCCCCATGAATTAAAATGTTTCCACAGTATGCTTCAATTTATGTGATCACTATATACATATAGTTCAAGGATTGATTGTATGTTGTTTTACGTCCCGTTCGAGAATTTTTCACTCATATTGAGACGTCCCTATTTACCAGTGAAGGGCTTCAAATTTTGACCTTTACCTGGCACTCAGGGCCATTGAGCAGTGAGGGATCTTTATTGTGCCAACGCCTGCCGTAACACAGGGCCTCGGTTTTTAAGGTCTCATCCGAAGGACCCACAACTTTCACTTCAAAGTGCCGAGCCCATGGCAAAGGAACAGTTGCTACCCATTTTTTTCTCAACTTAGGTCAGTTGCGGCCGAGATTCAAACTCATGACCTCCCGATCACAGAGCGAGCGCTCTACCGACTGAGCTACCGTGAATGGTATATAGTTCAAGGAAGATATAATGTCAACTTTGGTACATAGATTTCAATGATTTTTCCATCCTAATGTTTGAAAGAAAGTGCCTCTCCAATGATGTAGTCATTTATTAGAACAAATAATATCTCATATATTTTTCAACTGGTTGTGTCTTTTACAAATGCCCATCTGCAGTTTTGTTAATTGAAATTTTTATGAATAATGAACAATGTTACAGCCTAATAAACATCAAAATGTTAATCATTATTTTTATCTCAAATCCTTGGATATCTGGAAGTTTTCCCTCGGTCCTGTCCAGTTCGATATAACGAGGTTTGACTGTATTTAATTTGACAGATGCTATCAATTGCAATAAATAGGCCAGACTTCTCTGCCCAGTTCTCATGAGATATAGATAACACCTGCTTGGTCAGAGATGCTCTATCAGAAATCTTCTTACACTAAACTCATCAATTAATCTCTAAATTGACATATGCTCTTATCAAAATGCTCCTTGAAATGTCATTGCTTGATAATTACACCCATGGGGCAAGTCAAGCTTCTCTTGTTATTGACACAAAAGAAATTATATTTGTTATATACTGCTGTATACTCTACCATGAAAAAAATGTGTATTTTCTTGATTTAACAATTTTTGATAAGGTTACTACAATACCCTTACACCTGTTGGGACTGTGTAACTTAAAAACATTTTTTTAAGAATTTTACCTTAATTAAACGTCACATTGACCTTTAAGTAGGATGCAACACACACCTCCTACCTAAGATGCATTAATTGACCAAGTTTGATGATTCTAGGTCTAATAGTTTTCTAGTTATGAGCTGGACAGGATTTTGTCTTAAATGGCCATATCATCTTAATTAAAGGTCACAGTCACCTACTAAATGTGCAACATACCTTCTTCCCGAGATGTATCAGATGACAAAATTTGATTATTTTAGGCTTCATGGTATTTTAAAAGTTGTGAGATGGACATCAAAAAGCTAACAGACAGACAGACAGCCATGAAGGTCACCATAATATGTCCCGTTTTAAGACGGTCTTAAGATGGGCATATAAAAAGGAAATCAATACTATGTGAACAGCCCCTATGCTTTATAATATGTACTTCTATAGGGTAAGAAATGTTTCAGCAATTTGAACTAAAGTATGTTACAAGTAACTAATTGTTTAAATTTGTTGCTCTTGAGAAAGGGAGTAGTCCTCAGATAAGGGAAATAGTATCTTCTCAGGGAAATAGACAGTTTTATAGTACTAATTTAGAGTAATAACAGTAGAGGTATAATAAATCTTACTACATGTATTATGAAATCTAGTTCATGTACCCACCTCAAGACAAAATATCTATAAACCTAAATACAAACAGTGCAATACCATTAAAAGTCTGTCTTACTCTAAAGATGCATTAAAACAATATCCCTCCTATAATTTTACATCAGATTATGTAGGTTTGCTTATACTTACATGTATGTGTTAAATCTTAAAATACATATCAAAATTCATAATTGCATAATATAAGTGCCATTTTTGATTTGGTATCTAGCATCAAATATTTTTTTTTATTTACGCTAAGTTTCAAACATTGAGGCTATGCTTAAATAAGCACATCATTCAAAATATCATAACACAGTCCATTTCTTTACCACTCTGCATTAAGAATTGTTACCTGCTTACTCACCTGTGCTTACTGAATTTGTCAATTAAAATAAATGACAGTGGATCAGCTGTACCAACCATTAACTTTTCAGGTCAAGCTATATATATTCAGTTTATAATTTGGAGGTCATTATATTGATATAACTTAATATTTCATTCACATATTCAAGTTTATGTAAACTGGACATTCACTGTAATCAAAACCGACCTATCATCACATAAATCTCACCATGTAAAGTAAATATCCAATTTAGAGTATGATTTTAAGTTGGCTTTTAACATTAACTGTATACAAGAAACATCATTCTTTATTGACATAGTCAGGTAAAAGAAAAAGAGATTTCAGATTATCTTTCTTTCAATATATAATTGCACAGCAGGAGATGACATCTGACATGAATTCTAGAGACTTAGTAATGGAGAAATGGAGATATCCTACCTGTAGTCCATATCAGATGCCTCCTCTAAAAGTTCATCAGAGAGATCACTGACTCCATAGAAATCCTTTACTATTGTTCTCAGTGCTACCTTCCTCTCCACTGGAATTTTGTCCCTGTCCTTTTTTGACAATAAGGCCCTGTTTATGAAATAAAAGGTCAATTACTTAGTTTTTTTTTTTCTATGTAAAAAAAGAATATTGTGAAAAACAATTACTTCCTTCCCCTGGTAATGACAATTCCATAACATTAGAAAACATCTAAGAATTTTATGCAAGGTGGTTAGTATGTCTATTTTTAATACATCAACCATGCAAGTTTGGTGAAGATAGGGCCAATAGGTACTTTATATCTATGCATTGGTCTTAAAAATTTAACCTTTTAAATACTAAGAAGAAAATGTTGGTCAGATGCAGCATCTGAAGTTAGGCACAACATCCCTATATGCAATATCAACAAGTCTGAACCATGAAGGACCTTTATTAAGTACAATGTACAGTGAAATTACTTTTCATGGGGGTTTAATTTTTCAATGTTTTCGAGGTGTGAAAAGATCCACAAATTTAAATCCTCCTCAACCCTCAAAATGTAAAATTTCAAATGCATATCTACTAATCACTTCTTCAGCCAAGAAATTAAATCCCAACAAACCAATGTTTTTTCCTATAACCATGAAAACTTGATCCCAAAGAAATATGTGATTTTAAATACAGTACCCTGGAATGGACTTTCAAATGGCACGCTGATGAAGGGGTGAAATATAAGCTCATCTTGACTTTGTCAATGTGATATAAAACATGAGTGGTATATTCTTCTTCAATCCATCACACAGAATGTTGAATCCCAAACATCCATTGAACAATATACCAGAGATTTCTTTCAAATGAAATATGAGCTATCTACTACTAACAGTTATCACAAAGATCAAAGAAGTGCTGCAGCCATTATTCACCAGAAAAACACAAACATCATCAACAATTTATTTGTAACCTTTTAATCATGATTCTTCTAATTTTGACTGCTCTCACTAGGAAAAGGACTGAGGCATCCTTTGATTGTGATGCAACTTGGTGGGAAAAGGTTTTCATAGAATTTTGAATTACATCACTTTTTTCTAATGCATAAAGTGCAGATAAACAAGGAGTAGCATTCAATTGTAATATCATAAGACACTTCTGTTAAATGAGAAATCTAGCTTCTATATTTTCTCTACAGAGGAGTTTTAAAAATTCACAGTAGGATAATAGAAATCAGTAATTCTCTTGTTGTTGAAGCATGATTTTGTTTTTTATCAACAAAATCCCTTGACCATTTGAGTATATAATTCTCCAATTCCTCTGACACAGGAATTATTTCTTAAATGCATAATTGATTAGATAAATTATTTTGTTTTAAACACTTGTATTTAAGCTACCTGGTAAATGAACTGTAAGAAATATTCCTCTTTTCCCCTCTACCGTTTTCTTTAACTGGTAAACTGCACTATATGTGAATGGAAAATTATGTTTTGTTTTTCATCAGATTTCTAAACCTGAGCCTTAGAAACGTTGATCTGGTAAAATGGGTAAGAGCAGCACCTCTGAGATAAAAAAAATATTGATGTATTTTCTGAAAATTACGGTATATATATTATTCTGACCTTGCTGCTGATCGAACCTTCTGAAGATCCTTGTCTGCATGAACTTTGACTGATGACCCCATGTCAATAGGGCATCCGCTCTCCTCAGCTAGCTGGAATCGCAGGACTGTGTCAAACTGAGTGCTTCTCTGATGACAAGATACACACAGAAGGAGCACATCGTGTGAGGAGTGGTCCTTCAAAGATGTTGGGAAAAACCTGAAAATGTAAAATTTTAAAAATAGGTTGCTTTTTGTGCAATAAAATCATTATGAAATTTCAATATATTTAAAATATGCAATAAAGAAACTCCTTGACATTGATAAATTCAAAATCTACTTCTGAGTTGAATCATTTGAAATCCCACTAAAACATCATTAAAGTCAGAAATTCCTAAATAATATATAATTTTTCCCAATAATCTGTCATTGAAGTACTGCTACTAACAACTTTCTACACAAACAAGAGGCCCAAGGGCCTTGAATCACTCTTCTGATAAACTGTACAACCTATCACTTCTATTTAAAGCCTCTAAGTATCCTGTATATTTAGATAATCCCTTGAAATTCCAAAGGTAGGTCATCATGACCTACATTTTAGATGAAACACTCTGAGAACCCAAGATGATTCTAAGCCAATTAGTACCTGAGAGTTGGTCATGGTGACCTACTTATCACTTGTCATTCTCTGAGGACTCAAGATGCATCAACTAAAGTTGATGATTCTAAGCTAATTAATACCTAAAATATTTTTAAAATTATAAAAATAAAATTTCAAAAGTAGGTCACGGTGACCTACTTTTCAGATGACATACTTTGAGGACCCAAGATGTATTAACTGACAAAGTTTGATGATTCTAAGCCAGTAAGTACCTGATATATTTAAATAAAGCCATAAAATTTCAAAAATAGGTCACAGTGACCTCCTTTTCAGTCAACTAACTCTGCAGACCCAAGATGCATCAACTGACGAAGTTTGATGATACTAAGCCAATTAGTTCCTGAAATATTTAATTAAAGCCATAAATTTTCAAAAGTAGGTCACAGTGACCTACTTTTCAGTCGACTTACTTTGAAGACCCAAGATGCATCAACTGACAAAGTTTGATGATTCTAAGCCAATTAGTACCTGAAATATTTAATTGTAGTCATATAAATTGAAAAGTAGGTCACAGTGACCTACTTTTCAGTTGACCTACACCGAGGACTCCAGATGCATCAACTGACAAAGTTTGATGATTCTAAGCCAATTAGTACCTGAAATATTTAAATTTTCAAAAGTAGGTCACAGTGACCAACTTTTCAGTTGTATGATAAATGTGATGACTTTAACTTTTCAATCGTCAACTTCCCTTACTTATGCAGCAATATACCTTCATCACCTGCATACGTGGTATATATCTCTCAGTTGATTCGATACGCAAGAGCATGCTCTACATATGTACAATTTCTAAAACGAGGTAAATTATTGACAAATAAGTTGATGAAACAAGAATATCAGCTGTCTCGTTTAAAGTCATCATTTCGTAAGTTCTTTGGTCGATACAATGACCTTGTCAGCAAATACAATTTATCATTGAGTCAAATGCTGACTGACGTTTTTCATACTAATTGTTAGGCCATTATTTACACACTGAATTGTCGACGGATTTTTCCGTTATTTCCCGATCATGACAAGGAGCACACAGCGGGTGTGACTGGTCGGCAGGGGACGCTCACTCCTCCATGGCACCTGATCCCACCTCTGATGTTTGGAGGTCCGTGTTTGCTCTGCTCCTATTTTGTATTGTATAATGGACTTTTGAGCTTGAATACTGTTCGTTATCTCCATATATTTCATTGTTGTACTTCGAGGACCCAAGATGCATCAACTGACAAAGTTTGATGATTCTAAGCGAATTAGTACCCGAAAATATTAAATACAGCCATAAAATTTCAAAAGTAGGTCACAGTGACATACTTTTCAGTTGTCGTACTCCAAGGACCCCAGATTATTAATTAAAGCCATAAATTTTCAAAAGTAGGTCATGGTGACCTACTTTTCAGTTGACCTACTTCAAGGACCCAAGATGCATCAACTGACAAAGTTTGATGATTCTAAGCCAATTAGTACCTGAAATATTTAATTATAGTCATATAAATTGAAAACTAGGTCATGGTGACCTATTTTTCATGTGGGCATTTTTGAGGACCCAAGATGCATCAACTCACAAAGTTTTATGATCATAGATGTAAGTTTGGTGATAATCTGCCCAGTGGTTCTTGAGAAGAAGATTTTTTAACAACCAGTACTTTTGTTTCTATTTTCCTAATTATCTCCCCTTGTTTAAGGGTCATAACCCTAGTTTTAGTATAAATGGGAGCACTTGGGCCAAGGATACCCTATGACAAATTTGACAATAATTGGCCAAGGGGTTCTTGAGTTATGGCCCATATTCTAAAAAGTTTACACACAATGCACAAATAGCCATAGCATTAGCTCTTTGCGCCTTAGGCTCAGAAGAGCTAAAAATCGAGGTACCATATCAGGCATTTGTGCAAGACACCAGAAGGTGGTGTTTCCTATATAATCCTGTTTGAAATCACTTGAATTGTCAATATCACAATTTTTCAGCTCACCTGAGCCGAAGGCTCAAGTGAGCTTTTCTGATCGAAATTTGTCCGTCGTCGTTGTCGTTGGTGTTGTTGTAAACTTTTCACATTTTCATCTTCTTCTCCAGAACTACTGGGCCAATTTCAATCAAACTTAGCACAAAGTATCTTTGGGTGAAGGGGATTCAAGTTTGTTCAAATGAAGGGCCATGCCCCCCTCCAAGGGGAGATAATTATGAAATAGCAAAAAATTAATGGCATTATTGAAAAATCTTCTTCTCTAGAACCAATGGGCCAGGAAAGATGAAACTCATGTGGAATTATTGTCAGGCAGTGTAGACTCAAATTTGTTCAAATCATGACCCCCGGGGGTAGGGTGGGGCCACAATGGACGATCAAAGTTTTACACAGGGATATAAAGGAAAAATCTTCAAAAATCTTCTTCTCAAGAACAGCAAAGCTATGATTGGTCATATTTATATGGAAGCATCCTTAGGTGATGTGGGTTCAAGTTTGCTCAAATCATGACCCCCGGAGGTAGGGTGCGGCCACAATGGAAGATTAAAGTTTTAATTAACATAAAAGTATATAGGAAAAATCTTCAAAAATCTTCTTCTCAAGAACAGCAAAGCTATGATTGGTAATATTTATATGGAAGCATCTGCAGGTGGTGTAGATTCAAATTTGTACAAATCATGACCCCCGGGGGTTGGGTGGGGCCACAATGGACGATCAAAGTTTTACATAGAAGTATATAGGAAAAATCTTCAAAAATCTTCTTCTCGAGAACAGCAAACTTCTGATTGGTCATATTTATTTGGAAGCATTCTCAGGTGGTGTAGATTCAAGTTTGTTCAAATCATGACCCCCGGGGGTAGGGTGGGGCCACAATGGACGATCAAAGTTTTATGTAGGAATATATAGGAAAAATCTTCAAAAATCTTCTTCTCAAGAACAGCAAAGCTATGATTGGTCATATTTATATGGAAGCATCCTCAGGTGGTGTAGATTCAAGTTTGTTCAAATCATGACCTCCAGGGGTAAGGTGGGGCCACTATGAAAGTTCAAACTTGTAGAGAAAAAAGTCACAGTTAGTCAAAAAATCATGTAAGCATTCTTAGTTAGTGTAGATTTAATTTTGTTCAAATCATACCCCCCACTCCCTTTTAGGGGTAGGTTGGGACCACTTATGTATTTAAGCTTTTCAATACTAAACAGATTTTTCCTCTTTTCCTAGTAACAGTGCTCAGGTGAGCGATGTGGCCTCTGGGCCTCTTGTTATGTATTTATTTTCTAAGACATTTTAAAAACAATTAGAAATCACTACATGATGTTAATATTATGAATATTACAAGGAAAAACAATACAGAAGTTTGAGGAACGTGTCATCAGAACTGTTCATTAGTTTATAAAGTAGAAGTACCTTCTATATTCTTTTGGAACAACTTGTTTCTTGATGAGCTTCTCCTCTATGCCACAAACAACACAAATATTCTCTTTTTCTTGGAGATAATAGTCATCCCCACTTTCAGGACGACCTTGAGGTTCAAAGTTCAACTTCACTGTCAAGGGGTCATCACCAACTTTTTCTGTAAAAGTAAGTTGCAAGTTGAACATTGTCTCCTATTTCAGATATTTTTTAAAAAAATTCTTCATCTGCCCGTTTGCCTTCATTGCCAGCTAAATTCCAATGTCAAAATGGGAAAAGCAACAGAGTTATCTCTCTTTGAATACTAGCTACTATGTCTGGAGGAATTTGAAATGAGGCAAATCCATTTCAAGTGTTACAGAGTGAAACAAAAAAGGAATAAAAGTTTGTGATTGGGAAAGTTTTATACAGGGCATTAACTTGCAATTTAAAGACTGCATACTGCATACTGTAAATGTATTATATTTGGCCATGTATTCTTTTTAGAACCTTCGGCAAAAAGAAATTTTTGCTAAAACTCGTATACATCAAGTACATCACGAAATGCATTGTATATAGAAATTTATACCTAGTACATTCAGAATGTGCTGATGAGACTGTAGCTCTACTGGTCTGTATGTATAACAAAGAAAAGTAGCACTTGGATTTGAAACTTTGCAACATGCAACAATAAATAGAATTATGTATCTTAATGTAGTCTACTTCCGTGCCAAGTTATATTGAAATCAAACGAAACTGTTGGAGGAGTAGCATTTTGAAAGTATATCACAGAAATTTCTATTTTTAGTAACCATGACAACACCAATCACTGAAATAAAAAAACTGAAATACATATTATGTATCGTAGTGTATTATAATTGTGTGCCAAATTAGATTGAAATCAGACCAAAACTGTAGGAGGAGTAGCGTTTGAAAGGAATTTCACAGAAATTTCTATTTTCAGTAACCATGGCAACACCGTTCACCGAAAATCAAAAACCTATGCATTAAATTATGTATCTTAGTATAGTCTTCTTGTATGTCAAATTATATTAAAAGCAGACCAAAACTGTAGGAGGAGTAGCGTTTTAAAAGAATTTCACAGAAATTTCTATTTTTAGTAACCATGGCAACACCGTTCATCGAAATCAAAAACCGATGCACTAAATTATGTATCTTAGTGTAGTCTACTTGTGTGCCAAGTTATATTGAAATCAGACCAAAACTGTAGGAGGAGTAGCATTTTGAAAAATTGTTCACAGACAGACAGACAGCTAGGCAGACAGACGGACGGACGATGGACACCTTACTATCGCATAAGCTCTTCTGGTCTCTGACCAGTAGAGCTAAAAGTCAACCTCTGCTAAATACTGTACACACTAAATATGATATATTTACAGTATTCATAATATGAATGCTTGTGATAGTATATTTTTTGATAAATTTTTAAAGATACCAAGGAATTTTTTTAGAGGACTCCACAAACATAAAAAAAAAATATCTAAACAAGTACAGCTTTTGTTACATGTATCTACATGTTACAGTATTGGCATACTGGGCTAACATTCACAGGGGCATGTTGAGGTAAATTTAGAATGCTTTTTACATATTTTGATATATTTCTCAATAAATAATATTGAAAAACCACATCAGCTTGCACATGCATTATTATGCCTGAGGACTACTTTTGCTTTTGCAATTGTGACATCACAAGATTTTCCCATCTATCCATTCATAATGACATCACATATATGTACATTTAATGTCACCATTACCTGTTACTAATGTTGTAAGGATGTTTATGATCAGAAATACAGAGAAAATCCATTCATATGAGTAGAAAAAAAATGTATTGCATTAAAATATGTAATAAAAAAGTTACTGACTGAATATCAAGAAATATGCCCACCCTCATTTTTTGCGCGAATGCGTATCTTGCAAGCTCGGTCTGATTTACTGAGTATAAACCTTGGATAGGCATATTTCCTGATATTCCATTTATAACCTATAAATAATTAGACATAACAAATGGATGGCTTGAGTGTAATTGAGTTTATACACAGATTTTGAAAATTACATTTCAGTTTGTATTACATTTAGCTGTCAAAATAGATTACCTGCCAGTCCTTTCTCTATGTACCATTCAGCCTTTCTGACGTCACAGGTACACAATTGTTCTCCATCTGGAGCCAACAGGAGGCAGTTATAGTATAGAGGGCGCTTTCGCACTACATAGGCTCGACTCTCTTTTGTTTGGGATAGTTCCACTGGAACTCCTTTAAAGTCATCTTCATTCTACTTATAATATTTTTATGTATAGTTGATACAGTAGTGTAAACAGGTAGAAATAGAACTCTGGGGATTAAAAACCAGAAGTCTCTGATGAGACTGTAGCTCTACTGGTCTGTTTGTATAACAAAAGAAAAGTAGCACTTGGATTTGAAACATTGCAACATGCAACAATAAATAGAATTATGTATCTTAATGTAGTCTACTTTTGTGACAAGTTATATTGAAATCAAATGAAAACTAGGAGTAGTAGCGTTTTGAAAGTATTTCACGGAAATTTCTATTTTTAGTACCGGTAACCATGACAACACCATTCACCCAAATAAAAAAAACAGAAATACATATTATGTATCGTAGCGTATTCTAACTGTGTGCCAAATTAGATTGAAATCAGACCAAAATTGTAGGAGGAGTAACGTTTTAAAGGAATTTCACAGAAATTTCTATTTTAAGTAACCATGGCAACACTGTTCATCGAATTCAAAAACCAATGCAATAAATTATGTATCTTAGTATAGTCTTCTTGTATGCCTAATTATATTAGAAGCAGACTAAAACTGTAGCAGGAGTAGTGTTTTAAAGAAAATTTCACAGAAATTTCTATTTTTAGTAACCATGGCAACACCGTCCATTGAATTCAAAAACCGATGGAATAAATTATGCATCTTAGTGTAGTGTACTTGTGTGCCAAGTTATATTGAAATCGGACCAAAACTGTAGGAGGAGTAGCGTTTTAAAGGAATTTCACAGAAATTTCTATTTTTAGTAACCATGGCAACACCGTCCATCGAAATCAAAAACTGATGCACTAAATTATGTATCTTAGTGTAGTCTACTTGTGTGCCAAGTTATATTGAAATCGGACCAAAACTGTAGGAGGAGTAGTGTTTTAAAGGAATTTCACAGAAATTTCTATTTTTAGTAACCATGGCAACACCGTCCATTGAATTCAAAAACCGATGGAATAAATTATGCATCTTAGTGTAGTGTACTTGTGTGCCAAGTTATATTGAAATCGGACCAAAACTGTAGGAGGAGTAGCGTTTTAAAGGAATTTCACAGAAATTTCTATTTTTAGTAACCATGGCAACACCGTCCATCGAAATCAAAAACCGATGCACTAAATTATGTATCTTAGTGTAGTCTACTTGTGTGCCAAGTTATATTGAAATCGGACCAAAACTGTAGGAGGAATAGCGTTTTAAAGGAATTTCACAGAAATTTCTATTTTTAGTAACCATGGCAACACCGTTCATCGAAATCAAAAACCGATGCACTAAATTATGTATCTTAGTGTAGTCTACTTGTGTGCCAAGTTATATTGAAATCGGACCAAAACTGTAGGAGGAGTAGCGTTTTGAAAAATTGTTTACAGACAGACGGACAGACAGACGGACGGACGACGGACACCTTACTATCGCATAAGCTCTTCTGGTCTCTGACCAGTAGAGCTAAAAATCACACAAAAATATGAATTACTCCTGAAAAGCTCAATGATTTCATACTGACTGTTTCACTAAGGGGACTAAACTTAGTGTAAATTGAATTTTCAGGGGTTATTTTTCATGTATTACAAATGAAGACTTTAAAACTCCAAACTAAATACCTTTGAGAGGGAGTGTTAAAAAGAAGTGGATTTGAAATTCAACAGTTATATGGGAAAGATTTGAGTTGTGATTTTAAAAAAAAGCAAGGATCACTGTTTACTCTAGAGGAACCAAACATTTTAACCTTGTACCAAGTTTTTACATTTTTTCCTTTTAATACAAGGTTGTTTTCCTCTCCAGATAGCTGCAAAACACAGTAGCAACCAAATTTGAAACTGTGATTATCTGTTAATTCAAATTAGATTTGTGTTTATGTTGGGGATAATAAATGTACATATCAGTCATTATTATGCTAATCCTAGCTGATACTTTCACCTCCCTGGGACAATAATCAAGGACTTGTTGATGAAAGACATACATGTACATTGCAGATTAATTTTCATGTCAATTCAGTCACTGCTTTAGAAAATGTACATTTAAAATATTAACCAAATCCTTCATAAAATCCCCCTTTAGTTTAATTTTATTATTATTTTTAGATGATTATTATCCAATGGGCCTGTATCCAGCAAAATGTAAGGGACAGGGCATTGAATGGTGAATAAACATACTATATCATCTGTCAATCAGGTATGTAAATTAAGTGAAGCATGCAGGTGCATAATAAACTTTTCAGAATCCTATGGAAACCCCTAAAATTTGTTTTCTAATAAATGCCAAGTTAAAACTTTTTTAAAGAAGAAAAATTACCTTCCTACCTACCCACTCTAAATATTGTGGGCTGGCAACTACAAACAAAGACTTTTTACTTGGCCTTGTAAAAGTATATGCTTTGGACAAAAAATTCAAAGTCTTTACAAAGATTGTAATATCACAATGATTAAAATGAAGAATATACCTTGTTTGCTAGTTGTTCCTCTAATGCATGTGTCAATCTCTGAATGGATGCTGGTATTGAATTGCTGCTGGTTTTGTCAGCCATTTGCATAGCACCTCCCTTCCGTTTGTAAGGGAGGTCTACAATCCCCTGACACATTGACCTTGCAGTGGGCCAGAATTTGGGATCAATGTCATTTTTCAGCAGTGTCTCTTCCGATATATTCACTTTTCTTCCCTCAATTTTTGCCATAACAAGGTGAATAAATATGTCTACACCCACCAAGGCATCCTTTGCTGCATATTCTATCTGAAATACAAATTCTTGTGTAGGGCTGGAGTTCATTGATCTATATGAACTGTCTGTGGATGTTTTTTTTTCTTTGCAGGCAAATTTATGAACAATAATGCTAGTGGCAAATAAATAGCTGACCACTCTTACATTTGTTTAAAGCTTTAATGAAGCTATAAAGCAGGTGACACATGCATTCTTTGGAACACTCTAGTTCTTTTCATTTCAAAGGTTTTATTATTTCACTTTGTTGGGGATTCCCTTCAATAAAATGGACTAAAATACCTAATATTTTGAATTGACTGCAATATTTTGTCTTTAAAAATCACATTCATCTGAAGAAAATTAAAATTCTCTTGATTTTATGATTTAATTTTGTGAAGTTGTCTGATCCAAACTTTTTTGCCAGATGCATGATGAATTCATTTTATCTATGAAATATGTCCTACCTGAGCATCTGTGTATACTGGAGCTTCCCAGTTACTTCTGCGAACACCATCATGTTTGTCAAGCTCAATGTCTAATACTGCCCCAGCCATACCCTTTAGTCCAACAGTTTTACTTAATAAAAAAATTACCAGGTATAAAAAATAATAAAAATAAAATAAAAATGAAACTTTTTCCCACAATCACAATCAATATTTTGACGTGTTTTCTTGTATATATGCATATATTTTCTATATTTGCTCATGCACAATTTGCAATTGCAATTAATTTAGTACCAAACAGTACCAACTTGCGTATTTTTGTGAAAGTTGATGCATGAATTTTTTCTTACAATGTAATACAGTAAAACATGTTTATAGAAAAGTGCCTGCCTAGTGGGACAAACAATTTTAATTCATAATAATACTAGTAGTAACTCCTTATTTCTGTCAAGTTTAAAAAACGTTTTAGAACCATTGGAATGAAAATCACTTCACTGTAAGCATGAATTCATTATAAGCATGTTCACTTTATTCATGTTTTACTGTATACGGATATTTCATTTAATTGGTTCATTTGAATGAAAGAGAAACTAATTAGAGCAAATTGCATTAGACCTAAAGGATTTCACTGTTTGTGACGTGCTGACGCTTTGCTTGTCGAGAAGTTTAAATACTACATCACATTGTTACCACATCAAAGGAAGTAACCGAGATCGCTTCTCTCCCAGGCTAAAGTCGGTCAACTGCAATACAAATCGCCGATGTTTAACGGGTTTATAAAAGGGGACAACAGTCCAACCATCCTTTTATCGAATATTTCTTGCACAAATCTTAAACAATTGAAAATAGAGCAGTATGCTTTTTTTAGAGTCCATAATAATTGAAGTAATGCCATTGTATATATGCCACATAAAATGTTGTGCCTGATCAAGCTGGATGTATCAGTCCTGGTCATTCTGGGATTGTAGTAGTTTGTTTCAAATCACTGTTGAAAATAATGATTTTTCTTTCAAAAAATATAAACCGTGTATGCATTAAACCATGAACTGGCCTGTGGGCCATAAAACTTAGACGAGCTCACTTCTGATCTCAGTCTCAATTTTCCACTATTAATTCCTTTGGTAAAAGTGAGACTGAGATCAAAAGTGAGCTCGTCTAAGTTTTATGGCCCCGGACTTTAGAACCAAGTACATATACACATCATGTATCTACATGTATACCCCAAACAGCCTTATCATGCGCGTATCTAGAGGGGGGGGTCGGAGGTGGTCCGGAACCCCCCCCCCCTGGAATTTGCAGAGTTATCAAATTTATATACTTAACCACATAAAAAGCGGATCTGTGTTAAGTTGGTATGGAAAGGTACAAACATAAGAAATAAGAAGTCAACGACTACCCCCCCACCCCACCCCACACACGAAATAGGTTTTTCACGTTTGGGCGAGTTTACGTTATGAATACGTTATGAATACAAGAAGGTCATTCGTATTCATAATTGTAAATAATTATGTCAAAATGCTAAATTAGTATTTGTACATATCTTTGCTTAGCAGTCTGAAAAGAAAAACCCATGTCTGATAGCTTTTTTCTTCTCTCTCTCCCTTTCCCTCTCTAAGAAAAGGTTTCAGACGCTGCATACAGTCATGTATTTCACTCTACTGTATCATTATTGTGTGAAAAATAAATATATGATCTAATATTTTCATTTATTTTGATATTATGTCAAAATGGTTTAGCCTAAGGTCTACATGTCATATACACGAATCAAAAATGAAATCTCCGTGGGAAAATCGTTTTGGGGGGAGGGGGGAAATTTGGCACTCTTATTTCTTTTATTAAATAAATTACAAATTAGTTTATCAGTAGGTAAAGTTTAAGCCCATTCTCATTGCTTATAAACGATAGACTCCGCAGGTTTTTTGAGAAGGTTTTTTTTAAAACAATACTGTGCATTACGTAAGAGAGACACATTTCCGCAATCCTTTATAAAACTGAGAATGACCACAATACGTACTGAGTACTGCGTACACAGAGATTTTGCAAACATTCTCCATTGTGTGTGTGTGTGTGTGTGTCTGTGTGGTGGTGTGGGAAACAGGTGCGATTTCAGCAACTGTTGGACAACTTTATCATATATTAATAAAGTGTTTAATAATTATGCGATGCAATTTGTTTTCTTAGATCTTATGCGTCTTTTCTTACTTTATATGCTTGAATTAACTAATACGACGTTTACAGACTATGGCTTCCTAAATATTTATCACCAATTTGTACTTGAAATGGAGTATTTCTCTTGTTTTAACTCAATCAGACTATGAAAGCCATTTGATATTATTCCACATCTTTGATGTGTTACATACAGCATAGACTCGAGTAAAGGGGGGGGGGCTCTCATTTCAATCCGATTTGTTTTTATAATATCCCTTCAAGTATGTAATCAGGCACATAATATAAGAAACCCCTCCTGGCAACTTTTTTTAAGGAACTCTAAATGGCAGTTTTCTTTAGCCCCCCCCCCCTTTCACAAAAAGTTTTTTTTTCACTGTTATCATTTTTTTTTATGTATTGAAATTTTCATTTGGAGGCTTGTTTCACCAAAGCCCCCTCCCCATCATTTCTTTACAGTCCAATGTAAGCTCTTCCATGTTATTGTGCCAAAAAAGTGACGATTATGAGAAAAGAAACCCCTTCTCCGTCCAATTCTTAATTTCAAGTTCTTTGAAATTTCCTATTTTTAAAACTTATTTATGATGATAACTATTGTTCTAATTTTTGAGCTTGTCAAAGTCTTTTTAGGCTTTTTTTTTCTGCCAGCTATGTCTTCACTACTCTTTGAAATAAAAAAACTACGTATCTGGAATGAATCGTGGTTTTAAAAAAGTAGATTAAAGGAGGGAAGCGGGAAAAGTGAAAGGAAAAAAAGAAGCAGAGACGATTGTTCCTTGTTATAGCCTATATAATATATACATCTTGAGGGAAAGGGCGTAATAAGTTTTTTAGAACTTGTGCCCAATCACTTTGTAATTAGAAATTACAATAAAATATGTTCAAACCAAACCAAACCATACATCTTGAGAAAATAATACACTGCATGTCCAATTAGGGGACGACCATTTGATTTTGAAGGAGGGGGGCTGGCAAGAGTCAAATTATTTATTTTCATATCATCATTTCAGTCAAGGACAGATTATTTATTTTCTTCTTTTCTTCTACTCTGCAATAAGGTAAACAAGCAAAAGAAAAAAGGAAACTCTATTTCGGGGTGGGGGGTGGAGGGGAGAAGTACTAGTCAAGGACAGATTTATTTTCTTGCCGGTCAAGGACAGATTATTTATTTTCAATATTTTCGAGGACAACTTATCTTTTTCCAAAATCCGCCTGGCCCCTTTCTCAGAATCAAGAGGTGCATTTAAATATAGGCTTTACATTCTGTCCTTCGGTATTATTTATACTGTGAATACAAAATGTATGTATTGAACTTCAATCGATAAAATTTGAACGTAAATGTACATGCCTTGCCTCTTTACTATCTCTTTCAAATATACGCGTACAGAGTGGGCTCCATTTTTCAGCAGTAATTTGTAATAATGGGCTCCATTTTTCAGCAGTAATTTGTAATAAATTGCTACAATCTCAGAATGCATTACCTGGATTGATACTGATAAATCAAGTTAATCATGCACTACTTTTTATACGCAAATATGAAAAAGGTAAAATATGTTATGGAATAAAATAATCACCTCAACTTCAATTTATTATGGACTCCTAAAAATGCATACTGCTCTATTTTCAATTGTTTAAGATTTGTGCGAGAAATATTCGATAAAAGGATGGTTGGACTGTTGTCCCCTTTTATAAACCCGTTAAACATCGGCGATGTTTATTGCAGTTGACCGACTTTAGCGTGGGAGAGAGGCAATCTCGGTTACCTCCTTTGATGTGGTAACAACGTGACGTAGTATTTAAACTTCTCGACAAGCAAAGCGTCAGCACATCACAAACTTTGAAATCCTTTAGGTCTGATGCAATGTGCTCTATTCTCAAAGAAATTAGGCAAAATATTTTGAAGAACACCATAACAGTAAGAGATACAATGCAGGCCATATTATGTAAATAATCATCTGACATAATCTCTACTCTGGAATCTTAGTTCATAAGGGACCAATGTTCATGGACTTTGTGGGTCACCCTTATCAATGTGCATCGCCACTAACAAAATCAATTAAAAGGATCTTTTGTATATACAAGTTACCACTGACATTAAGTCCCAACAAACCAGTAAAATTTTGGCTGTTCCTGAACCTAAACCCCCATAAATTTAAAATGATTCCACAGTATGTTTATACTTTAATATTTAAGATAATGGCTGCTGAGTATTTCAGATCTAATATTGCAAGAAAACTACTGAAACTGACTACAAAGTCATTATAGCACACTTCAGTGATTTATCATGAGCCAGTCTATGGTCAAGACTTTGATTTTCTTGCTATCAAAATTGTTAAAACATTTCTCCTTTTTTATGCATGTTTATACTTACACATGGTAAATTCCTCTCACACGTCCCAAAACATAACGCAGGTCAACACAACCTTGAACTTCAATTCCATAGTCTTTATGAAGTTTGTTTCCATCATCAATGCAAGCCACACCTACTTTCAAGATGCTGCAAAAAAAGCATTTAATATATTCCAGGTATACATATATTAACAGAGTATCTAATAAATACTGGTACACAAGACACTAGTCTCCTTGACTGAAAACTTTTTTATGCACTTTTTAAAAAACTTTCTTGCAAAAATTCCCATAGTAACTGGTAAACGTGAAGGATGTGTACAACTTACCTTCGATCCTGCATTATTCTGCGCAGTGAGTCTGGAATTTCGGACATCTGTGACAGACGTATCAGTCCACAGTCTCCTTTAGAGGTCGCCACTTGTAACAGAGACACAGGAAGGGTGTGTCTTCCCTGCGTAACCCACTCACAGTCTATTCCAAGCACCTGCAATGACACAGCACCTCTGACCACTTTTACATTGACAGACATTTCATGTGTAAATCTTGGTGGCATTATTTATTTGATACAACCTAATACATGTATAAACCAACTTTTATTAGCGTGCGAGAAATATTCACGAGTTTCGCGACCTACTTTAACTCGCAAATTTTTAATCGCCACAAACCATTTATTTTGCTTTGTATTTGTAGAGAATGTATGTCTTTATATAATGTAAATGTTACTGATTTAATACATATAGAACACTCAGTAAATACAGCCACTCATAGTAGCAGTGACTTAATTATATACCTCCCTGTAGGGACTTGTATAAGCCCCAATCTTAAACCCCATATAAAACAAGGAACATAACCTAGCAGAATCTAACTTCCCTGATAAACATTTAAAAAAAAAACAAACATCATTAACAATGATATTTCAATGAAACTTCACTCCAGAAAATCGACATAATATTCTTTGGAAGGAAAAAAAGTTACAAACTTACTTTTGTACTTTGTTCCTGTAATTTGCTATAGAATTCCTCCCAGGACTTTGATGAGTCAATCAAATATACAGCCTTATTCTCTCTGTACTTCACTGGTGTTTGTATTAGTCGTCTAAGAAACCTTGTGAATCTGCTATATTTTCTTAGTTGCAGAAACAATAAAACACCCATGCCTATGAAAAACAAAAAATATTTTGAGCTGTTTAATAGGCAACTATTACAATAAATAAAAGTATAAATAAACAAAGTCTGAATGTTTGCAAATTTTCAGCAATATGCCTAAAAACTTACTAAAAACTTACTTACTAACTCAAAACCTAAGAAATTTTCAGCAATATGCCTAAAAACAAGAATTGTCATCACAAGAACAAACAAAAGCTATTTTGCAAGTTAAAACCCCGAATCAGCCGAGACAATCACTGAATGCAGGGTCTTTATTGCTGTTATCATGGGTATGGTCACTATGGTGTGGTAAAAGGCTGAAAACAAATAGCATCTGAAACAGTTCTACACATGTCATTACCAAGAAGTCCCAAACATAACAAACTTCTATGCGAGATCTTTAAATCTCATAATCATATTCATAGTAAGCACTCCTGTATGCAGAAAATTGTTGAAATATAATTTAATGTTAGTAAATTAGCTCAATAGTTTGACAGAAAAAAAGGGATATGCTATCAATAAGGAATTATATTCACTTATAGAGCATAAATTTCATTTATTTCATATATCATATATCCTATGGTTTACATGTGGCCACAAAGTTCAACCAGGGACCTATATACTACTAGTACATATGTCCCTGGTTGGTAATTCTACATTTTGCACCTGAACACCAGTACAAAGAATATAAGAAAGGTCATGAAGATAGGTAAAGGGGGAGGTGTCATCATGGTAAAGCCAACTTATGATTGTAAAGACTGTCCAGGCTCTGGGGCCATAAAACTTAGACGAGCTCACTTTTGATCTCAGTCTCACTTTTACAAAAGGAATATATAATGGAAAAGTGAGAGTACTGAGATTGAGATAAAAAGTGAGCTTAACTAAGTTTTATGACCCCAGAGCCAGATCTTGATCAAGTTAACCACAGATAGGAAGGATGAGGTCCTATTTGGAACTTTACTTTTAAGAACCAATAGTTGAATCAATATTAATATTTCAACAATCATTGGACAGAGGAGAAATACCCCACTGGAAGAATGTAAACATAGTGCAAATTTACAAGAAAGGAGATAGAACAACACCTGCAAACTATAGACCAGTATCACTCAGAGCAGTTATATCCAGAATGCTAGAGCACATCATAGTCTCTCAGATCATGGACCATCAAGACAGAAGAAACAACTTGCTGCATTCTTGCATGAAAATCAACATGGATTTCGAGCTACACAATTATCCAAACTGCTAATTACAACTGTCAGATGGCATCGCCAAACACCTAGATCAAGGAAGACAAGATGATATGGAAATACATACTAGACTTTTTGAAGGCCTTCAACAAAATTCTACACATACAACTGTAGAAGAAACTCCAATATTACAGAATATACACATGTAGCCATCATGTATGATGTATATACTGGGAACAACACATATATGGATCAATAATTTCTTGAAAGACCATCAACAACAGGCAGTAGTCAACAACTCAATGTCTAGCATGACAGCAGTAACATCCAGGGTCCCATAGGGAGCTGTGATTGGGCTAACTATATTTCTCATCTTTATTAACAACATTGCAGACATCACTTCTTCTATCTGATTTTCCCAGTGACTGTGTCATCTATAGTCCTGTACTTTTCCCACAAGACCATGAACAGTTACAGAGGGACTTGAACACACTACTGGACTGGAGCTACATCTGGCAAATGGAATTTAACACCAAGAAGTGCAGTTTGGAACTCAACAAGAGAGCCTACAGTTACCAGGTTTTTTTTCAGGTTTTGATATTAAGGGCCTGGGTCTTTCCAATTGGGAAAAAATAGCAACATTTACTTGAAATTGGGGGAAAAAGTTTCATATAAAGAAGTAGAAAAAAAAAGAAGCCTAAACTAGTGCATTCAGGTATAATTGGACTCCTTCTGACTTTCAATTTGGCCAAAGCTTACCTCATTTAAATATGTAGAGGCCAAAATAAATTATGTTTACCCCTACCAGTTTTGAGGGGAAAAATTGTAATCTGCAGGCCTGTGAAGGAGCTTTATGAACAATAAGAGCACCCTGCTTTTAATTTTTTCATTGTTTGGGAATTTTAAAGCAAAAATTGGGAAAAATACCTGCTTTTTAGCATTGGGAATGGGGCCTTATTTTGGCACCCTAGAGACCCTAAAAAAACCAAATACACCATGAAAAGGGAGCAACGCGAGATAACAGATCACCATCCATATCTAGGCATTGAACTCCGTGAAAAACTTGAAGTATGGTACAACTTACACATAGATAACATCTGCAGGGTGTTGGGATGATTTCTGAAGCACAACCTTCGACTTTGTCCACCAAAAGTCAAGGAAAGAGCATATCAGAGCTTAGTTCAACCAAAGTTAGTGTATGCAACAACAATATGGAATCCACAGCAAAAACAGATAGAACAATTACAATGTAATGCAGCAAGATTCGTTAACAACAAACCTTACAACTCAGAAAAACCTGACAGCATAACATCTATGATGCAGGAACTCAAATGGAACACCTCTGAACAGAGATGCATTTGGACTGAGGTAAAACTCATGTACAAAGTAGTCAACCAACTCATAGCAGTCCCAACAGCATACCAACCTTCTCTAGCAACAGTATGAGGAATTAAGAACAATCAATGCCTGAAGTTTGTACCATACCACTGTTAAAAAAAAATCTACCTACATTCATTCTTTTCAAGAACAATCTAGTACTGGAACATTCTACCAGAATCAGTTGTTCTATCACCATCATTGGAGCAATCCATACCCTCCAACTGTAGTCCACTTATCCTGCATACTAGATACCAACAGTGTCCTGTACACTGGTGTATATAATTAAATTATGGTAACCATTTTTACATCTAGACACTGCCATTCCACTACACACAGCCATGCATGTAAATAGTTTCTTCATCGGTAAATGTCCACAATGGATATTGATGAGTACTTACTTTGAAGTTAAAGTTGGTTCAACTTATAGTCTAGAACCTGTCTAGAGTACACAAGGTTTGGGGTTCAACAGATTCGGATTCATACATCGATATCGTGATTGTCTCTGAAAATTCTGATCTGGTCCATTGTATTTTTCCTTCTTGTTAGCTCACAAGAACTGATAGCATTCTCACAACTTATGATTTTTAACCACTGTTTCCTGGATGTATAGGTGTGAAAGATCAGCGACTTCAATCTGTGTCTACTTAATTTTTAATATTTAGACAGAGGACACAGAGGTGGGTAAATGAACATTACTTGAGTCAGTTGAGAATATTTTATATATGCAAAGATATTTGCTACGAACATTAAAATATTTTATTTTTACAATTATGACCTAAAATGAATGCCCGAAAGTGAGAATTTCCTCGTATATCTACTACTTTCGTGCGTGTCTCGTCCAATACTGTTAGTAATTACCTCCAGCCAACAAGAATCTGAAGGCTCTCGATTCTGATACTCGTGCTGTCAATTTGAGTGACATATTTAGACGCTTTCTTCACTTTTTACTTGAGATACTTATTGCACAACTTTGTCAACATGAGCGCATCCATATTTGAAGTCCCCGGATGTTAACAAAAAGTTAGAGCGACCCTTGAAATATTCGAGGAATACTGAACACATTCATATAAATTTATATATTTATTCCCCAATATCGTAAATTTCTATATCATGAATATTATGTTTATATAATAGAAAAATAAGAAATTTATATTGTTTTTTATCCTAATTAAACTGGAGAAAGTTTGTACTGCTATTAAAACTTTAATAGTTTCTCTCTTACTATCAACTTCTCAAGTTTATTTAAAAAAAAAAAAAATTAAAATTTAATTTTTAATTAGTTTTCATAAATCTGTGGTTTAAGTACAGAATTTATATAAAACCAAAAGGAGTAAAATGTGGCAACCTTACCAGGATTACATGTAATGCTACTAGAAATGAAGAAAAATGTACGAGCCTAATCTGAATTTGAACACTGGCCCGGTTCTTTGCTGCACACACAAAGAACCTTGGTGATTGACCCATCACATTTATCTACATGTGCAAATTCATTTATCTGATTTTTATTTTGTTTTTTCATGTGCATCATCAAGAAAAATCTCATGAGTGCTAACTTCTCTATATCTTGTAACTGGAGAGGAGAAAAATATTGACAGACCAGACAGGGATTCGAACCCAGCCCCCTGAACATAGTCAGGTGCTCTACCAACTGAGCTAGCTGGCCACCAGACATCCTCTGCTTGTTGGCAGAGGCAGAGAAACTGTTTCATGTGGCTTGCTCAGTTCCTTCTCCGATTGAAAAGGATAAAAATTAGAAGAAATTATAAAGATTTCATGCTGTCAACATTTACAGAAAAATAAATTGCTAGACCTTTTGATAAATAAATAAAACTTTTTAAAATGAGAAAAATTTAATCATGATTTTTTACCATACTAACACATACATACACAGAGTACATTTTTGTTTAAAATCACTAATGGAATGTCAGCAGTTTGGACAATGTAAATAAGAAACAACAAAAACAAAACTTGGCACACAAGTAAAATATTATATCCCAATTAGTGATTCGGTTGTATTTTAATCCAAAGTTAGCAAATTTATTTTTTTTCATATATTTTGTTTTATATAATTTTACCAGAATCAATCAATTTTAATAAAATACTTAAGTGAAGAGAAAGTATAGTTACATGTAACAAAGTAAAATTCTGACCAATCAGAATCTCAACTGCAAAAGAAGTTCAGGTATAAAAAAAAAAAAGATCCCTTGTTACTGGTAAAATTCAAAGAAAACTTTTTCTCTTTTTCAAAGTGATACAAAATATTGATCTTTTATTGATCTTTCCAAACAAAGGAAATTCAACATTTACACAAAAATATTTCATATTAAAATCATAGATAAATACCTTAGAAAGTGAAATATCACAATTAAATTGCTTACAATAGCACTGTTATTCATGCAAATATGGTTTAAATTACCCAATGACAAAAATCTGATGTAAATATTTTATCAAAATTAAAAGTTGGAAATCTAGCATTTGTAATTTCCTCTATCTATGAAAATTTTTCATCAATGATTTTTAGGGTGTATTGTTTCTCTTGCATGAAATGTTTGAAATAATTCAATACCAATATGTAAACATCAAATCTCACAAAGTGCAACTTGCAACGAAAAACTCCCCAAAACATTTGTCCATGTGTGCTTCAAATGCTGCCCATGAATAATGCATTCTTTGAGTGAATGTTTAAATATTCAATAAATCCACAACATAAATATGCATTGCTATAAAGCAAATACATATACTTTTAACTCATTGACTATTTCCTTTTTGGAATGAACATCAACATGATGAAAAAAAAAAAATTATTCCAAATGTATATTAAAGAGTATTTTTGGTATAACAAAGCTTAACAACATATGTAAAACCTAATGTGTAAATGTGCACACTGAGACAATGGACGTACAAATACTGTCACACTGACACAATGAACGTACAAATACTGTCACATTAACAACAACTGGTTATTTAGCACTATGGTTACAGCTCCACTCGTTATCCCTCTACCACATAAAGCCTGTCCTTGAGGTAAGGCACTCTTACACCTGTTGGAGTTCTGTGTTTCCTTCTTTGGTGACCAGTTTGACTAGACTACCATTCTCTGGACGGGAAGACCTGTCAGAGGTCCATTTCATAAACAACCTAAAAAACAAGACACAAAAATTTTCAAATTAAAAAAAACAAACATTTTAATTGAAAATTTAACAGGACATAACTGTTTAAAACTGTACACGACTGTTTAAAATTCAGCTATTTCACTTATATCACAAAATGTTTAACAGTAATCCTCAAATGAGCCCTTATTTAAAAGTACATGTAGATTAAAAAAAAAAAAAACTAGAAATATGTCCATAGGACATGAATGCCCTGCCGAGGTTATATTAGTAATGCAACATGAAAATTTGTAATAGTGTATGAAATTTGATGAGAATATCTTGAATAGTTTCTTTAAAATTGAAATCTAAAGTTGGATATAGATGATAAATTCTTGCCAAATTATGTATCAGTGCATAAACTTGCATAAATATATCTTAAATGGTTTCTTTAATATTAAGCAAAATTCAGATCTAAGAAAAGTGAGGTCAAGGTCACAGGAAAGTTCAAGGTCAAATGTTTTGATGCAGTTGAATACTTCTCACAAATACATATCAGCATATTTAAGTTTTGATAAAAATATTTTGAATGGTTTATTTAAAACTGAGCTAAACACTAATTTAAAATAAATGAAATTAAGGTCAAAGGAAAGGTCAAGGTCAAAAAATGTTGATGCAGTTGAAAAGGTTACATCAGTATGTATTAGCATATGAAGTTTGATAAAAATATTTTGAATGTTTTTTTAAAAACTGAGTTAAACACAAATTGAGAAAAGTGAGGTCAAGGTCAAAGGAAAGGTCAAGATAAAAAAATATTGATGCAGTTGAATAGCGTACATCAGTATGTATCAGCATATGAAGTTTGACACAAATTCAAGAAAAGTGAGGTCAAGGAAAGGTCAAGGTCAAAAAATATTGACACAGTTGAAAAGCTCTCATCAGTATGTATCAGCATATGAAGTTTGATAAAAATATCCTGAATGATTTCATTAAAACCACAGGAGATTATATATTTGTCAATTTAACCGAAATTTTCAGTAAATAAAAAAAAAAAATACGTAATACCTATAATAATAACACAAAGAGTGCAACCCGTTCCAGGTCACCGGGGAACCCCTCCGTTAATATCGAGGCTGCTGCGCAATCAATTTTCAATCGAAAATTATAAAACACAAACCATTCTTTTTGGAAGGAACCATTCTTTATGTCTGTTAATGCATATGATTTGAAATGCCTGTTTAACAACAGTAGCAGTGACATTTCTCAAAGACTTCGCTCAAACGTTGGTTGTCCGCGACGCCATTACGTGACGTAATACGGGCGCGTCGCTTTACCCAAAAGGAACATATAATGCCTGAAATGAACAATCATATACAATATGATACCAGAGTAAGCTTTTAACTTGTAATACGAGTACTTGTTTGTCTATTGTGAAATATATATAAAATATATGAAACATTTTACATAATAAGTTAGCAGTGGTATTTAAAAGATTTGTGGGGCATTAGGCGAGGGAGGGGGGGATCAATACACAACTTACAGTTAATAAATCTAAATTTTTATGTATAGATGGAAAAATATGTGAATAATTTGGGGGGATGACGTCATTTTCATTTTTATTCTAAAATACTACAAAAAAAAAAAAATTGCCCGTGAATCTTTATAATTGATTATTAACTTAAGTACATGTATACTAAAGTACTCCTTGTTGTCTTGACCTTTTAGACATTGAATGGGTATATGTTTTCCAACCCTTATTGAATTTATTCAATGTAGTATGTTAAAAATTAAGCATATATTAATACTAGATTACGTTTAAGGTGTTAAAAAAAACTTGAAAGCAGGAAGTAGAGGGGGGGGTTTCCAATCCAAGTTAATGTGTCTTCAATTTTGGCGAGGAAATCTTTGACAAGTAAAAAAAAAAAAGGAAGAACGAAAAGATTATTCAACAATTGTATACTTTGAGAATTTAATCAGTACTATTGCGGAAGATGGCGTACCCATCAATTGTAACGAAATTTTCAGTAAATAAAAAAACCTATTAAATACTTATTTAAAAAAAAATGTAACACTTATAATTTGTGCTCATGCTCACCTAAGCATAAGGCTCAAGTAAGCTTTTCTGATCATTATTTGTCTGTTTTTTTTAACAAGAAAAAAGAGGCCATTTTATAAGTATCTATATATGTGGGATGTATTTACTATGTTGACGTACAAGTTGTCCGGGGGGGGGGGGTCGATATTCAAGTGTTGTTCAATCGCTGGACGTGCGCTTCCATTTTACTTTTATTTATTGGGAGGATATATGATTTTTTTTATTGAACTTTATCACTCACAATTTTGTTCACATGCATGCAGTGTTACATTATTAAATAATTCATTTTACACATACGTGTACAGACCCTCGCACACTTCATGCAAGAATATCAAAAAGTGCCCAAAGCATTTTCTGAAATGATGTTTCAAATGTCAAAAGGAAATGATAATTATCTTTTAGGAGAAACGCACTGCTCAAAACATTTCCCTGTTACGTTCAAATCATTTGTCTACTGGAAGTACATGTAATTCATTTTGATTTCTTATATGTATCATTTTGTACATTTGTATTCTTCATATTATTTACACCTGTATGTAAAAACGGAGAACTGTTGAACTGGTTTGTAGAAGTTTCATATCGTACATGACCTTAAATTATCTAAATTTCCATATTATTATTCATCTCTGGCATTTTTTTTTCTTTTTTGGGTAAATCAACGCACCCATTATAACGTCACGTAATGGCGTCGCGGACAACCAACGTTTGAGCGAAGTCGTTGAGAAATGTCACTGCTACTGTTGTTAAACAGGCATTTCAAATCATATGCATTAACAGTCTTAAAGAATGGTTCCTTCCGAAAAGAATGGTTTGTGTTTTATAATTTTCCATTGAAAATTGATTGCGCAGCAGCCTCGATATTAACGGACCCCGGTGACCTGGAATGCGTTGCACTCTTTGTGTTATTATTATAGGTATTACGTATTTTTTTTATTTACTGAAAATTTCAGTTAAATTGATAAATACGTGAACTCCTGTGATTAAAACTGAGCCAAACACTAATTTAAGAAAAGTGAGGTCAAGGTCAAAGGAATGGTCAAGGTCAAAAAATGTTGATGCAGTTGAATAGCCTATATTAGTATGTATCAACATATGAAGTTTGATTACACTATCTTGAATAGTATCTTTAAAACTGAGCAAAACACAAATTTAAGAAAAGTGAGGTCAAGGTCAAATGGAAGGTCAAGGTCAAAAAATGTTGATGCACTTGCATAGCTCTATCAATATCTGTCAGCATATGAAGTTTGATAAAAATATCTTGGATAGTTTCTTTGAAACTGAGCTCTGAACAGAGCTAAGCGTAAAGTGTGACGGAAAGACAGACGGAAGGACGGAAGGTGGACATGACAAACACTATATGCCCCGGCCATATTCATGGCGGGGCATAAAAAATTGGCTATTCAATTACTCTGCTACAAATGCTAATGGTGTCCATGTTGAAAAATCAGCCTCGGACATAAACTTCCTGTTCATTGGAGTGTCAAGAGTGACTCTACAATAAAGCAATAACTCAAGATCATTAAAGATGGTAGTGGTCTGTCATAAAATCTGAAATACTGAACTCCATTACTTCATCAAGTGAGCTTAAAAATACATGTAGTTGTATAATTCTGATGTTTTTCATAATAATTTTTATTAAATATATCAGAATTAAAAGTTTGCCAAATTGTGAAAGGATCTGAGTGCATTAACAAGTATAGGCTTTATCTTACGGCAACATGGCAAGTGCTGAGCAATCCACGGGTAGGCCACTGCCTTTGGAGGCCAGGCTCTTCACTAACTGGTGGACTGCAGCTTTAGCCATCCCATATCCCATCATGCCTGTAAATCAAAGGAATTCTGACTGAAAAATTTTGTACTTCAAATATATATTTTTTTTAAAGAAAGAAAACCCCAAATCCTGAATTCTAATTGAAAGCACTATGTATATGTAAATGCCAAAAATTACCGGTATATACACTGCTTGCAGACCACTAGTAATACGAAATACAGGTGACAAAGCTTGATAAATTCTTATCATTTATCTCTGCATTGAAAGTAGACTTTTAGGAAAATATTACTTAAATATTACTTTATAAAGGTAAATTGTAAATACCTGAGGTGCCTTTAACACAGGGAGCTGCCCCAGGAAGTGTGATAATCCCTCCTTCTTTAAGGTGTTTAGCTGCCAGGGCTGCTGCAATGGAACTGGTCCAGACGCTCTGTTTCCACATCATATCAGCATTCTTAATAAAATCTGAAATAAATGTACAATGATATTCTGGACATAGTACTTTTTTAAGTAAGATTTTTTCCCTTTGCATACACTTCACTTTTTTAAGTTATGTACAGAAACCCACTATATGCATAAGGATAAATCTTTTGTGCTCTTACAATATCAAGCCCTCAACTTTTTTCATAATGACTTACTCTGACACCAGACATGCTAGAGTTTTCATCAAAGAAGACACTGAGGTCACAAATGCATTTCATCATGACTTACTCTGACACTAGACATGCAAGAGTTATCAAAGAAGATAGATCACAACTACAAACAGAGAGACAGACATATCTCCTTCATATGTGATCTGAAATAAGGCAATGGATTCTATAACTTAATTTTTTTTTTTTAACTTTTACAACCATTATCAGTGATTATCTGAAAATAGATTAAGGTTTGGTAAGAGCTTATTTACAGAATCAACTTCAGTGCCATATTCCAGCAGATATTTCATCATTACAGTAAAATACATAAAGTACTGTAAAGGTACTTTTTTCTGAGGAATCATAATTTATGTTCAATGTGCAGGTAGAAAGTTTTGCAGATTTCTTAGATTGCCTCTGAATGCTTTAAATGTACTTTAAGTACACTGCCACAAATTTCTGTGGAAAATTTGTGACAAAGTAAATTAATACCATGTGGAAAAAAGTACTTCTACAGTATTTAAAAAAGTACTGACATCACTAGTTGGTATGTTTGGTAGAAGTAATTTTTTGTTTCTGATTATTCCATTTACCTTTGGAGGCTGCATTTCCTCCTGCCCATCCCCCCGCCACACACAGAACTGCATCCAGTTTCTCACCCCCGATTATACTTTCTACCCCTTTAAGGACCTCTTCTTCCTGGCTTAACCATGATTCACTTGGTTTTACAACAACATTGGCATCAGCTTGTTCATTCGGCATCAAATCAATGGAACCAACCCACTGAAAAAATAAACAAAATTGGTTGATTGAGAGAAACTTTGATTTTGTGATGCATTTTAACATTCTTTAAATGGGTTCAAGTTTAGAGGCATTTTAATATACCTGCACTGTTAAGACTTAGTTATAAAAATGCAACAAATATATTTTGTTGTGATGTCACAGCTTAGACCAATTGAATTACATCCTGCCTTAATCTTTCAAACGCAACATGCTAAATGAAGTCTTGAGATTCCAAGTTAAAATGTATAATACATGTATATTAATTTAGGTTTTTGGTTTTAAATACAACCATGTCATACTGGGCATTATGGTGTAGAAAACATTTTTTACTGATATGACTTTCAAAGCCTCCTTAATTCTTTATTTTTAATATAATGTAAAGTTTTTTCCCAATGTATTTAAGCCACAACTGTTTTAACTTGATCACTCAAAGAAAACTCACTAAGTTGACTTCCAAGATGGGAAACAAGGGGAATAACTCAGATGGAAAAATATGTTATACAAAAGGTATCTGTTGATATTCCATTTTTAAATGGGGTCTCGGGACTCTGTCTATTATTTTACCATCGGGTGAGGCTTCAAACAGAAGCCACCACTGTAGCACCTCAATTGAATCTACACTTAAGAAAAGAGAAATTCGAACTCTAAATCAAATAGAAGAGAGTACTATGAGTATTTTCTACACAAATAATTAATGATGGTAATGCATTTCGATACTGTAATATTTTCAAAATCAAATTACAATTCATCAATGACAGACTGGTTGTTTACTTCCAGAAATATCAGTTTAATTTGAACTTGTTTAATTTGAACCATGGTATAGAAAGTCCCACAACTATAAATGATTTTTTTGTTTACAATTCTAAATAAAATTCCATGATAAGGATTTTCAATGCTGCTCCAAATTAGCTATAAATATCAAATTTACCTTGTAAATCAGCAGAGCTTTATTATTAGATGCTACTTTTCTTTATAAAATATACAAAACTTATATGCAGAAATTAAAATTTTGACCTGTTTTCCCATAAGATTTATTTCTCTGATTTGACCCTGTCTTTCAGTACTATATCAGGTCCATTGATTACAATCACTAAATTTAGCTACATAGCTTCAATTATCTAAGTAGCTGTATTCAAAATAGCTTCATTTTAAAGCAGTTTATCACAAGCTTCCTTTTTACATGTTTTATTTCAGAATTTCCCAAAACCAAATATTTCCATCAGTTATTCTGACTAATACTAAGTGTGTTCTACCAGTCCATAGCAAATTCCATCAATGTGAATAAATTTTAATATACATAATTTATGTTGTACTTTTTAAAAAAAATGGTGCTGATCTGGACTGGTCATGTCATTTTACTTGAGAAATGCAGAACATCAATATCATCCTTGTACTCCAATTGAATGGCTAAATATCTCTGCAGATCAGTACAACACAGACTGGGGGACATGACAATGGATCAGAGCACAAGTGCTAAGTAGAAAATAAAAAGTGTACTGGCTAAAGCGTTTTTGAGATTACAACGAAAATACAAAAACTTCCTTGGTACAACAAAAAATTCTGGATTGTCAAGGCATTGGTCATGCAGACTGATAGTATAGTAAATTTTTTCAACATTTCTTTTTTCTTTCAGCTTTGGTAGTAGGACCAATGGTTTCTGGAAATTGTATTTAAAATACATTTGACAAAAATTCACAATTATGTCACTACTACTATTTGCACTATGGAGTTTTTAAAAAAGTAACCCAGAGCATATATAGTCTAAACATTGCTGCCTGTAATTGTTAACCATCTTGTGTGCAATGAGGCATAGATACATATGATTTAGGGCTGTGTCAATATATCGAATATTCAATACGTATCGATATTCAGGACTGTATCGTATCGAAAAAATAACTTCCAATACGTATCGGACAGGCAGTTTTCCTTAAAATTCTATAAAAAAGTTGGGAATTTCAGTTACCAAAGATTATTTTAACTGTTTTGAATTAAAACTGGTTAATAATGAAATAAACATTAAGGAGATAGCACATCTTAAATAACTATTACAAAATACATAGACAACTATATTTTAACATGTTATGTTAGACTCACCCAGTTTTTATCAAATTTATGCATTAAATGTCATTTACAAGACATTTTTGAAAGACTTAATAAATAATCCAATATATCGCATATCGCTTTATAAAATATCGTATCGTATCGTATCGAAATATTTTGCTCAATACACAGCCCTAATATGATTACTTCACATTGTGCCGAATTGTAACCAATTAATTACCACGTTAACCAGAATTGGTCTCCTTTGTTATATCATTCAAAAAGTAACTGTTCAGTCACAAATCAACTGTTTTTTTATAGTCCCAAAACTTTTAAGAACTTTGATTGCAATTGTTCTAAAGGAGAGACACCTTGTAAAGCAGTTTTTTAAAGCATTGTTTTCAGAACCATTCAAAGTTGAAAACTATCACTGCATCAAAGTGTGACTGTTTCTAAATGACGAAAAAAAATGCTCACTACAAAAATATGTCTGATAAAGTAGCTAAATAAAGCTACTCTGAATAGGTAAATAAAGCTACGTAGGTATCATATATGTGATAATTTTCAGATCCAAATACTGTACAGGAGCCTTGAAAATACTGGAGTTTAGGTGAAAATACACTGCTCATCAAAAAATTGTACAAAATTGGCCAAAAAAATCAATGAATACAAAAGGATTTTTATTATTAAATTTTTAATTAACGAATGTCCACAGTACAGTGTACCATACGAGGCCGGGTCTTTGTCACCAGTCATCTTCATTTTTCTCATGTCAGATATCAAAACTCTGTATTACAACAGACAATACATAATGGTCAAGCAGAGCAAACAAGTATTGGATTAAATTTCAATTTATGTTATTGTCACACAGAGTTACTCTGATTCTTGTTATTTTCCCTTTGAAACATCTTTCTACGAACATAATTTTAACAAGTCACAAAACGAAAGCCCCTAATAAAACAATTCAACCTAAGAGAAGTTTTGATAAGTCTTAATTACATGTAATTATCATAGAAAATGCTTAACACCTTTGATCTCGATGTTTTGTTTACATTAACCAAGCACGGTAAGTCTTGTCAAACGAGATTCCCGGTGTTATAAAATGAGCATTAAAGAAAAATGGCAGTTTCTGGTAAACAATTTAAAATACATGAAAAAATTTCCTTTCCCGTGAATTTTGGTGTCCTGCTGTGATCCTGGGGTAAAAATGGGGTAAAAAAAACGTCATTTTTTGTACAGCCAGTACATATCACATGTATGAGGTGATTCAAGCTACATAGCTAAATATGGCAAGAAATTGGTACTGCGTTTTAAGGTGCTACTTTTGTACCCTAGGGTACTCCCTTATAAAATGTATGGACAAAAGGTTACAAAAAGGGTACACTATAAATTCCTATTGAAATCGAAAGTATATGTTTCCCAGTAGTGTGGTAGCTTAATTTAAGAAAAAATTAAACAGGGTACAGTGGTTACAAAGGTTACACTTGGGTACAGCGGGTTACAACACTATAAGAAATGGATACAGGGGTTTAGAAGGCTAAATTAATCCAAGTTAAAATTTCAATTAATTGAGCTGATGCACAGAGTACAGTGGGTACACTTGGGTATGTCCACTTATAGCCATTGTATCCACTGTACCTTGGTGACTTAGAGGTACTTTGGATAATTTGCTACTTTCATTTTCCAATGGTTTTGTGCTGTGCCCTTTTTGTAACCTTTTGTCCATACATTTTATAAGGGTGTACCCTAGGGTGCCAAAGAATGTCAGACACCTCGGCCCAATGACACCTCGGCCTCGACTGGTCGGCCCAAAATTTAAGACACCTCGGCCCAAGCAAACTTTTACTAGGAAGTCCAATCTGCGACTTCAATAAAATTTTGACCGAAAAAAGTAAACTATCAAGATTATTTTTAATAATAAAAAGACCTTCCACAAGCTACATGATTGACGATAATCAAGAAATAAAAGGACAATTAATTATAATTTTGAAAGTGCTAACAGATAAACAAACAAGATGCCGCGGCGCATCCTTTGGGAGTCTCCAGTGCGTGTCATATTGGTGGAAATGATCGAGGGAATAATTACGAGCAGGGTTAATTGTGAGACAGTCATTCAGAACATTTACATCCATTTATTTCTTAAGAATTCCACTTACATTAAAAACTAGTTCGAACCCTGATTTTTTAATTTTATTTTATTTTAAGCTATCTGTATCAAACTATGATTTTCAATCAATGAACATGATGAAACATACGATAAAGTTCAGATCAATAATGCAATTATCTTACATATGTAAACTATTATTTAATATGATTATTTATACTGACATAAGTATAAACAATAAAATGTCCTTCCTTTTTTTTTTTTTTTTTGTTAATTCAAGATTAACGACCGCAACCATATAGCAGAATTTCTGAATTTCTTCATTTATCCGATTTATGCAATTTTCCTGCAATATAGCTGCTATTGATAAATTATTGCATTTACAAAAATGTTACTGTTTAAATGAAGTCCATATATATCTTTTCACGAATTATCAACCCATCTCAGATCGTCAGAGAAGTAATGCAAAATGAAACGATAAAATTCCGGCAACTGATTCTTATACATAGTCAAGATCATAACAATGTTGATATATATAATAGTTTCACTTAAGTGTATATATTGGGGATTTTCCACAAGAGATAGATGTTAGTAAACGTGCTGATCTGATTTGCTTAGGGAAGTGAACCAATTTTCTATTATAGACCCCCCCCCTTGACTTTTATTTTAAAAAATCGTTTAACCGTCAAAAAGGATAAGTAAATAGATAATAACAATTCAGACACTGGATTAATTTTTTCATCATAAAACTTCTCCTGGGCCGAGGTGTCTTTTATATGGGCTGACGTGTCAATAATCTTGGGCCGACCTGTCAGGGCAGAGGTGTCAGACGTCACAGGCCGAGGTGTCGTTGGGCCGAATCCGGGATGTTTCACGCCGATTCTGTTTTGCACTGAGATGGTTCGCGCCTGGATGATTCGCGCCGATTTAGGTGCGAAACATCTCACGATTTATTTTAAATATTCCATGACATTTTTATCCATTTTAAAAAATTGTTTATCAATTATAAGATATACATATATAGATGTTGTGTGTTCAAATGCATGACTTAATAATACATGTATGCACTGCCAAAGATTAGGGATCGTGTTCATCAAATATTCCATGAGGATTTAATTGTAATTAGTTGTAGATCGAAAGGTGAGAATTTATTAATTGTCATGTTGGTAGTCAAACCAGCAATAATTACTTAATTAGATGGCGGTATTATAATTAGCATGGTGTTAAAATAATACATAATTATATGCTATGTATACTTCAAACACAGACATAAATAATTATGTCTCTGCTACAAATATAATCTTCTTGAATTAAAAAAAAAATGTTTCAAAAAATATCAAAATTTACACCATATAACATGTTTAAAATCTAAAATTTTGTTAAACGAACTTCAGTAGGCTAGCACATATTTGTGCAACAATGTTGGGCGAACCATCTCAGCGCGAAACGGAATGGTTGCGAAACATCGCAGCGCGAACCATGCTTAGGTGCGAAACATCCAGTTACCGTTGGGCCGAGATGTCTGTCTACCGTGCCAAAGTATCACCTTAAAACGCATGTACCATTTTCTTGCAATATCAGTTCTTTGCTTCTCTTTTCAGATTCAATTCCAAAATAAGGCACTGTTTGAGAATACGTGGTAGTAATCATCAGGTCCGTCACAATCTCCTGATTAAGGTATATAGCTTGATTTAGCTATATAGCTTTATTAAGCTATTCAAAATAGCTTGATTTAGCTATTTTATCACACTTTTTTCTCAAAAGTGTTATTTTCCAAGTATGTACAAAAAGTCGCACCTTGGTGCAGTGATGATATTCAACCTTGAACTCTTATGAAAATAATGCATGTAAAAATCACTCATCAAATTGCGTCTCCTTAAGAGACTTTGTACTCAAAGTTCTAAAAGTTTTGGGGGCTATATAAAGCAATTGATACAGTTACCTCTTCAATGAAATTATAAAGGAGGCCAATTATGGTCAACAAGATAATTGATTGGTAATAATTCAGTACAATGAGAAGCAATCATACTTATCCATGCCTCAACTCACACAAGGTATTGTACAGTTACCCAAACAATGGAAATTCATCTTTTGCTTAAAAGTATTCAAATGCTGCAATGTTAGAACTATCTTTGATTTGGGTTGTTGATTTGATAACCTATATTACATATATGAATAGTCAAATACTTGCGACTTTTTGTCTATTTTGTACAAATAACATTTTTGTGAAAACCTGCATATAAATAGCTTTATCAAGCTATTTTGAATAGCTTAATAAAGCTATATAGCTATTTCAAGCTATAAAGCTTAATCAAGAGATTGTGCCAGACCTGATCATGCAGAAACAACTAACAATTTTGAACAGTAAACACATGGTAACGAGCCAAATTCACCATCGAAAAAAACATACATAGTTTTGAGCCTTGAATGTGCTAACGCATGTGGAGCCTAAAGCACCTTTGCCACCGTAAATTAAAATTCTACCGGCACAAGACATGCTGCTTCCAAGTCGAGTTTGTCCCTTGCAGGTTCGATTACCGATGAAATCGATGTAGAATAAAGGCTTGAAACTAAGTTTTTTCAGAATTTCGATCCCGATGTATGATTCTAAAAAAAAATCAACTGCTTCAACTTGCAGCATCATTTGATGCAGTCAGAGACATAACTTAGCATTTTCTCTCCGCAACATGCACTTTCTTATTTTCTTACTAAATCATAATCGACATACAGTGTACCAGTAATATTTGTTGCTGACTTAAAAAAAAAAATTATTATCGGGTTTGTCATTTCTTTAATTTTAAAATGCTGGAAACGTTTGAAGAACTTAGATTTCCTTTTTTAAAAAAAATGTTATTTGATAGCAGAAAAATAAATTGATATAGCTATTAGGTTTGAGAAATGTACAGGGAAATGTGCTAGAACAATCTAAAAAAAAATTCCAAAATATTTTTTTTTACATGAATATGTCTCGTGCTTCAACGAGAAACTACGTGACGTCATCATAAAACCCACTTGCCAAGAATGTAACCTTGGAATTATCTGAATTAAGCTTCTGTTTGATTTACTACAATCTTTTTTAATTGTATCTGAGAGTAAAATCGTCAAATAACAAAATTGCATTGGTCTAAGAGGCCTTTTCCCCGTCTCAGTATAGAATGTCTCGTCATGAGGGTAAGTCATAATTTCTCAAATATCCAAAATGGCAACTGCACACCGAACTTATGTTTCCTTGTAAGCTGTTACTTTTAACGAAAAATGACTGAACAAAAAAAGTTATGAGTAGTGATAATGGAAGGTTTATCGATCGAAGAAATTGAACGAACACTCTATATATGATTGCCAGTCTCTGAAATTGTGGTATGAAAACGGAAGCTGTAAAACGAAACTAGTACACGACAACCCATTGCGTAGTTGTTTTTATTTAATGTAAATGTATTTATAGACCTTCTGAAAGAAAAAAGAAGGATTTATGGACATTCGTTAATATCCTTTCATGTCTTGTTGCTACTTTAAACATGTATCTTTGGGTCATTATTGTTCTGTTTAACTACATAAATGTCACATTTTGACTGATGTAAAAGAAAAAGGCATCCCAGCCATATATATGTAAAATTATATGTTGTTAGCCTTTTAATCCTTAGAGACATTGGTCATGTTTATGTATTATTGACTGAATATTTGGAAATATGCCCACCCTCAGTCTTTGTGCTGCATCTGTGTGAAGACTGAGGGTGGGCATATTTTTCCATATTCAGTCTATATCCTTTTTATTACATATTTTAGTGGTACCAATACATTTTTTTCCAATTCAAATGAATGGAATCTCTCTAAATGTCTAGTCATAAACATTCTTGCAACATAAGTAACTGCCATTTCAACGGGGGTGCGTTAAACAGTGTAGCTGCTAGGTAAAGCGGAAAGCTAGTCTAGCCACTACGTAGGAAGAGCTAGCATAAATATTTATTTCTAAGTACCAAATTGAAGATGGCCTCCTTAGTTACAACTTCATAGCTCACTAGGTTTTAATAGTATGGGGAATTATTTTCTACATCTTAGTGAATTAAATGTAAATTTACATACACATTTTTGCTTAAAATAAAATTTTTTGTTCCAAAAATACATTTTTACTGTTATTTTGTTAACCCAAATCTTAGAGTAAGACTTAGCAGTAGGCTACTGTCTGTACAATAGAGATAGATATCTATCACCTAGCTGCTAGGTTAGCCGCTACAGTCTTGAACGCAGCCCAGATATTTGTGACATCAAATGTACATGTACTGTATATACTCGCCTATAAGTCGGTCCACCTGTAAGTCGGTTGTGATTTTTGAGTTATTTTGGAGGGATTTGCCATTGACCCGCCTATAAGTCAGTACAACTTTTTGCCAGAATCGGTGGACAATTTCAAATCAATGCTCTAATATGTTAACATGTGTTTCAAATAATATTTTGAGAAATTACACCGATATTTTATCTCTCTTTTTTTCTTCTCTTATAAATTTCATATCAATACTCTAATGTATTTACCTGTGTTCAAATAATGTGTTAGGATATGACATCGGTAATTAATATTTTTATTTTTCAACAAATTAAACCACTATCATTTTAGTTTTCTTTTTATATTGTTTTGTTTAAGCGTTAAATCCCTTGTCTTCTATATTTCATACACTGATCTCGATCATAGGCAGATCTCGGTCTCTTTGTCATGGTGATGAACTATGTAACGAGTCTACCAACATTTTGATGATATTTAATTAGGAGGTGCTTAATGTCCAAGCCATATCTATAGTTTTTAATAACGTTGTGTTTGATCTATTATTGGCATTTATTGTCTCTTAATTACCTGACAGTGTATCCCTTACCTGACACCGTGTTTATTTAGTGGCACGCGCCCCGAGAAAATTGTGTACCCTACTTGGGAAGCATTTTCATAAACAATCCAGTTTTAATAGACTTCAGAATAATATTCTAATATTCTGAATTATTTTTAAAGAATATTATATCTATTGTCAAAAACATTGCAGACGGTACATATAATTATACATTAATGCTGAACGTATTATATCGGGTTCGCAATTCAATTTTACCGATAAACGATAGATCTACAGTAAGTCACAAGTTAATTAAAGGAATATTTTTTTAAATAATTAATCAAATAAATAATATACACTTGAGATCAAAATAAAATCATTAACATGTATATATTCAGAAACTTCTGACACCAGAATAAGTGCAATTTTCTAAGACATGTAAGATAATAATAATTAACCAAAGAAAAAAGCTACTGGGATTATGCAAGGATATTAGGGTTGAGTATGGATATAAACAACAAAACATATCATGATATATTGATATTCTGATTGTGTAATATGATACAGACTAATATGTAACATTTTTTATAAAAAGTTTTTAATTACAAGTTATCACTGTAATACTGTTAGGTATAAGTGCACATTTTTAATTACATTAGGATTTTAGAATCAATAGTGCAATACATGTATTTCATTTCTCATTCTGTACTGATTGACCTATGACCATAATATATTTTGACTTTATTGCAGTATGATGTAACTTTTAATTTCTTGCTTTTTAGGGGTCAGCTGTGATTCTTGCCTGAAGGGAAACTTTCGAGGTCGTCGATATAAGTGTTTGATATGTTACGACTATGACTTGTGCTCAACCTGTTACGAAGCTGGGGCTACCACCACCAGACACACAGCTGACCACCCCATGCAATGTATTCTCACCAGGAATGACTTTGGTAATCATGATTTATCAGCTCTGCAAAATCAGTTTTTTGTGGTGTCAAGCAAAGCTCAAAAGCCATTTAGGATTGTCCAATAGGATGTTAAAAAAATTATGTAACCAAAGGTTTCAGTCCTTGTATCCACAAAAAATAGAATACATATGTGTACATAACAATTTCTGTTGAAAATGAACACAGTCAATATTAACTTCAAAATAAAAGGGCATCAGTTATAAATATAGATCTACAATTCATTTAGCAGGCATGGGTTTTTTTCACTTTAAAGCGGAATTCCACTACCGGTATTCAGATTTGCTTATTCCGCTCTAAAATTCGTATTTCTTTTTTTTAAGTCTCTCGATATTTTCTGATCATACCGTTTTTGTCTGTGTTTGCTTCACTTTATCCCTACTTTATTGATTAAAAGTAACGTGCAATTTCATTGGTTATTGGATTTTAGAAACATAAATTCAACCAATGGTTGGATGTTTTACTAGAAGCATCGATCGCATGGATGCGAAAATTGTACAACGTGAATAAAGTCTAGAGAATCAAAATTGTTAACGTGGTTAAAGATGTCGTTCGAAGTATTTATTCAGCCAGTTGTTGGAAGTTTTATTGGAAATGTCACTTGTTGTAACAGATGATATTGATGAAATAACAGATGAAAGATGATGTGAATTGATTAAAAAAAGTGTCAAAGACTACAGTAAAATGTTGGTAATAAGTAACATTTGTAATTTTTTTCCTTAAAAAGAAGATAATTTCAGAGTGAAAACTAATTGCCACGAAATGCTCAGAATGCAGGATTTTGTACCATTTACCCCAGATCTTCTGGGGGCTTAGGTAGCCCCCAGATCCCTGGCCTATTTGAGGTGGTCTATAAATCCGCTTTTTTCATTCGACTTCAGAATCATGTCAGATTTATTTACAAAACACTGATACAGAACAGGGCTTATAATAACCCTGCATCCTGGTAAAAGGACCCTGTCCCAATTGAAAATTTGCTCTTTTCCCTCCAGATTCAGGTAAAAAAAATTCCCAAATTACAAGTTGATTGAAATTTTCATTGCTTTTTATATTTTAAAAAATTGAACTTTAAGGTTTTAATGATTCAGAAAGATGTGAAAAGGGAATAAGCCTTCATTACAACTCTGTACTCAAGAGTAAAACTTAATAAGACATCAGCATTTCTAAATTTTTCTACCATTCTCGATTTAAATTTCCTGATAAACAGTACAGGACCCTGTCACAGACAACAGAAAATTGTCATCTAGCTGTGGCCATTATTACATGTTTAATAATGCATGGCTTGTGGAAAAAAAAAGAATATACAATTTTGTATGAAACAAATAGCAGTAACCAGATACAAAGCAATGCACAATTTTTAAGTTCTTAAAATTTAGAAAGTATTTTATTTTCATTTTTTGTTTGGTGTGTTGAATAGAATCAGCAGGATTTTAAAAAAGTAGAAATTTGCATTTTTTTTTCTGATTCCCCTGGAATTAGGGTCAGCAGTTCTGTAATCCAAGAAAAAAAACCCAAACAACAACAACAAAAAACAAAAACAAAAAAGGCCCTGAATATATAGAGAGAAGCCTTTCAGGTAATTGATTTACATTGGGTAAATCCTGGACGGCCCTTATCCAACAGAATAATTACAATGATCTATTTTTAAAGTATTTGGAATAAATATCCAATATATAAAATTTTTATTAAAATGTTAAATAGCAGAGCATTAAGAAAGGTAAATTTTAATGGATCACACTAAAAAAATTACACCAGCCAGTATTGAAAAATTATTTTCATCCAAGATATTAATATTTAGTTTACATGGTTTAGTGGCAATTAGTGCAGTTGTATACTGTGGCTGAACTCTAAATGAATTAACTGTTACAGTTCTATTAATTGAATTAATAGTAAATTCACTTAAAGATCCTAAAATGTTTTTTTTTTCAAGGTACAGTCAACTTGCATTGCACATTCACAAATAATTTATGCAAAGCATAACATTGCAATATATTAGTGCAATATCACAATTAAAAACTGGTTGTAAAACAGATTTTTAAAAAGATTTTAATTACTTCTAAGTATCAGGTGGTAAAACAATATGATACCAAGTATTAACATGATTAAGAATGTAAATAATATAGGTTTCATTCAATTTGTATACATACCTTGTGTGATTTGTGACATTCCGTCCTTGTTGATTTATATTTTGTTGCACAGATTTTCTAAAGGATGATGTGACATATGGCCCCCGGTAAATTGACAAAAAATTAAATATCTAAATTTTATTCTAATTTTTGCATGCATTTAATCACGGATATGTATACCCTCATAAAATACTACTTTTACCGAAAATAGAAACATGATTTGGAAGATATATGTCTTTATTTTGAGTAGGGGTACCATGTTTACATCCAATTCCCATTGAATTTTGGCCCCGCCCCACTTTGAAGCCCTTAAAATATACGAGCGCAAGTAGGTACATTTTTCTCCTTTGGCTGGTCACTGTCTTTTATTGAAATCTACCTATATGTGAAAGGAGAAAAATGTACCTAACTGCACTCACGTGTTGTTTTTAAAAAAATTGTAAAATCTAGCTGGCCTTTCCCATTATGAACAGATCGCCGAAGCTATTTTTTCTGACATAAGAATAAATTCATATGCTTATCGAGGCACTGGCGATACTTTCTAACTGACCAATCAGCTAAATGAGTTGCATAACTAGTGAGTACCACAAAAATACTAAGGACATTTTATGCTTGGAAAAAAGATTGGGTTTTTTAACCTGCTTTCCGATAAACATTTTTTATGCATTTGAGTCACAGATTAGACAATTTCCCAGTTCACATTTACAAATAATTGATTTATAAATATACATAGTTAAAAGTTTTGTAAAGCGTTTGGTGGGCAATTCGCTAGGTCTACACCATATTCCCTAGAATCAGTGAATAGAAGTTTCATTCTTGATCCTAAACGGTAAACACTGCGGTTCCATGCGTATTTTTATGTATAAATAGCCTTGGCTGACCATTAAAAGTTTGAAATGTAGTAGAGATATTGTGTAAATTGACCTAAACCAGGTGTCAGTGATAAAATGTAAACATGTAGTAAACCAGCATGTTTTGTCGTTCTGTCATTGGATTGGACAATTGTTCTCGGTAAGCGACTATGTGCGAAATAATAACAATAGCCATATAAAGTAGATTCCTCAAACATGCATATCCCGCTATTGTTCTAGGACCCGCCTATTCTCTTTTCATAAAAGAACGTATTGTCACAAATAAGGCCGAATTTTGCTGTCATAGGGTCAAAAAATTCATAGATAATGCAGTAATCCTTATAATTAAAATTTGTCGGAACTATTGAAACTATTCAAAAGGCGTTGTATTTATTCACTCATGTATGAAAACTATCAATATCGTTGTAGATTAAATATAATTCGTTGTAGAAAAAGGGGCCCCAGATAGCAGTTATGTTACATCATCCTTTGTTTTGTTGAATCTGTCAGTATGTTTTAAGTGACAAATATTGATGTTTCTGTTACAGACTTATATTATGGAGGAGAAGCTTTAACAGCAGAACAACCTCAGTCTTTCACTTGTCCCTATTGTGGGAAGATGGGATACACAGATGCCACGTTACATGACCATGTCACTTCAGAGCATGGAGAGGCATCTACGGAAGTGGTCAGTATCTGAATCAAACTGTTTACCATATATTTACTGTTGACTTCAGAATAGCAAATAAATGGATTTCTGATAATTACATTTTTATGCCCCACCATGAATATGGCCAGGGCATATAGTGTTTGTTATGTCCATCTTCCGTCTGTCCTTCCATCACACTTTGCGTTTAGTTCTGTTCAAAGCTCAGTTTCTCAGAAACTATACAAGATATTTTTATCAAATTTCATATGCTGATAGATATTGAAGAGAGCTATGCAGCTGCGTCAACATTTTTGACCTTGACCTCACTTTTCTTAAATTAGTGTTTAGCTAAGTTTCAAAGATACATTCAAGATAGTGTAATCAAACTTCATATGTTGATACATACTGATGTAAGCTATTCGACTGCATCAGCATTTTCTGACCTTGACCTCACTTTTCTTAAATTAGTGTTTAGCTAAGTTTTAAAGATACCATTCAAGATAGTGTAATCAAACTTCATATGTTGATACATACTGATGTAAGCTATTCAACTGCATCAACATTTTTTGACTTTGACCTTTCCTTTGACCTTGTCCTCACTTTAATATGGCGTCGACCGAAGGTCGAAAGCCAACTAGGGATTGTCACTGGCTTTACACAACAATCGGCAATCCTCGGTTAATTCCATACAAATGTACAAGGTACGAGCAATGCGAGGAGCTCCGATTGTTTTTAAGCAACCAAAGGTGTCAGTCGATGCATCCACAAAAGAAAATAGAACATATCAAAATGAATTCAAAATAGAATTGCATTACGTATATCTACAATTAATTATGATAAAAAATAGAGATACTGTGTTTATTGTAACAATAGAAAAAGTGGCCACCTTCCTGAAAGTTGCTGCGGATTAATTTCTACACATCAAGTATAGCGATGCGTCGAATTACATGAATCATCGAAAGCCATGAAAAAAAACCGGCAAAGTGGTAAAATAATCACGAAACTATTTTAATGGACAAACAAGAAGTTTAAACTAACTGACTTTTAAAGATCAATCTTTAGCCTTACAATTTGACAAGCAGCAAATTTTATCATAAACATCGAAGGGTTGAGCTCCATCACTGGATATACCGTTATACCGATCGTATTTCGTAGCTAACTTGCAATCACTGTAAATATGTTGTGTAAGCTAAAACTATTAAAATAATGATGCTTATAGACATTGGCAAGTAGAATAGTAAAAAAAAATAAATCTTTTCTAGCACTTTATCAAACTGAAAAGAGATTAAAGCCCCCAAACTACATGTATAATTGTGATATTATATGTTTACAATCTTTTAATTTCAAATTTAATTCAAAAAGAACTTTTGAAATTGATTTTAAATGTTTGACGCCATTGAAGCCTTTCAGGCTTTTGATCTTAAATTAGTGTTTAGCTAAGTTTTAATGAAATTATTCAGGATATTTTTATTAAACTTCATATGCTGATACATACTGATGAGAGCTATTCAACTGCATCAATATTTTTTACCTTGACCTTTCCTTTGTCCTTGACCTCACTTTTCTTAAATTAGTGTTTAGATCAGTTTTAAAGAAATTGTTCAATATTGTGTTATCAAACTTCATATGATACATACTGATGAGAGCTATTCAACTGCATCAATATTTTTTTTACCTTGACCTTTCCTTTGACCATGACCTCAATTTTCTCAATTTGTGTTTAATTCAGTTTTAAAGAAACCATTCATAATGTTTTTATCAAACTTCATATGCTAATACATACTGATGTAACCTTTTCAACTGCATCAACATTTTTTGACCTTGACCTTAACTTCATTTATTTTAAATTAATGTTTAGCTCAGTTTTAAATAAACCATTCAAAATATTTTAATCAAACTTAATATGCTGATATGCATTTGTGAGAACTATTCAACTGCATCAAAAATGTTTGACCTTGAAGTTTCATGTGACCATGACCTCATGACCTTTTCTGAAATTTGCATTTTGCTTAATTTTAAAGAAACCATTTAAGATATATTTATGTAAGCTTATGCACTAATACATAATTTGTTGTGAATTTATCATCTGTATCCAAGTTTTTAGATTTCAATTTCAATTTTAAAGAAACTATTCAAGATATTCTCATCAAATTTCATACACTAATACAAATTTTTATGTTGCATTACTAATATACCCTCAGCGGGGCATTCATGTCCTATGGACATATTTCTAGTTTTCTGAAAATTTTTTAACCTTAAAAACCCATATATGTAGTTCATATGATGTAGCCAATAAACTTTTTTTTACAGGTATGTCCCATTTGTGCGTCACACCCAGGAGGAGATCCTAATTGTGTGACTGATGATTTTGCAGAACATCTCTCAATACAACACAGAACACCAAGAGAATTTATATCCTTTTGAACATAGAATGGGTTATAGAAATCTATTTATCAGAGATCATTGTGAGATTTTTTACCATGTGAAATCATTTTGAGATTTTTACCATGTGAAAATGAAAATTGATAAGAAAGTATCTGTATCTTTGGTAATTTTTCCTTAACTTAACTTACGATGAACCAGCAGGAATAAGACATGTCCGTAGAATACCACATCCTGGCCGAGGTGTTAGTGGCACGAGAACAAGAAGAGCTAACATGCATTTTTCATCAGGAGGTTCCGCACTGTCTGGTTTGTCTCCTGGCACCCGTGATACCATGGATCCAATCGCTGAGCTTCTGTCTCAGTTGTCTAGTGTTCGAAGTCGTGCTGCTGCAGCACAGAGTGTTTCTTCACAGTTACAACAACTAGAGATGCAATTACAGTCCACTAGGTATGGATACAAAGTGTTACTAAAGCAGTTACTCATATATTGGTTATTTTCTTGGTGGTTACCCTTCTTTGGATTTGATGAATTCTTTCAATAAAAGACTTGTCTTTTATTGATGCATTTTGGCAATGGTTATCAACCAGAAGGAAAGATATCTACTAGATCATAAAATATTATAATTTTAAACCTGTTAAAGTATGAGTGTTTCAGCCAAATATTTTGAAGTGCTGTTTTCTCCAAAGGGGAATTACCTTTGTTTTTAAAGTTGTGAAATTGTTATTAGAGTTTACTTATTGAAAAATGAAGTTCTACATAGACAGTACTTATTATTGGGGAAGTAGAGGGAGTGAAATCCTACATAACTTTCAATTCTGACTGTAGTTTGGAGAGCTCACAACACTCTTATCTACCCTACAGACAACAACTAGAGAGACTTCCAAATCGTCGTCAAGTGGAGTCCAGTAAAAGTAATGTGACGAATTCAGCTAATTCAGGGAGTTCCACAGATAACCAGGGAGGACAAGTTCAAGCCAGCAGTAGCAATGCGGCAAAGTCAAATTCTCCATATTTATTGGTCAGGTGGGTAAAAAAAATGAGTGATTTTAATTGTAGTAAATAAATGTCAGAGCGATAGTTTATGTTAATGATAATCTTTTATAACTACATGTAATTGTTCCATAGTCTTTGTATAATATAGTATTAAATCATTTGACATTATCTTTAGGTGTATGGAAAATGCTGAGAATTCTAGCAAGAGTGTAGGCCAGGAGGCATATGATAGGAGTATATTTGTACAAGAACTGTTGTTGTCAACACTGACAGAGCAACTTCATGTGTTAGAGGAGGCATCAGTTTGTTTAGAGGAGGAGGGTCCCCGATTAACTCCCTCAAATAACGAGGCGCAAGAGAGTGTATCACCATCAAATCCTACCACACAGAACAAAGTTCCCACTACAAAGCCATTGCCCCCTGAAAAGAGTAGTTCCACAATAGTGGCCAAGACGCAGTCAGCTGGAGGAGGTGGTGCTAATGGATCGGCAGTATCAGCATCACGCGGGGGGTCATCTCAAGGAGCCACACCAGTTCGACAAGGTCACAGTTCTCATGGAGGGGTATCAATGTATAATTCACACCCTGGGGCTAACCCAGTGTCTGCATTAGCAGGAGCCAGCATGGGGTCAAATAACCCTGTACCCCTTCCTGGGCGACCCATGTCAGGTGGACAAAGAGACAATAGAATGAACCCTGCTGCTGTTAAGAAAGCAATGTTTAAGCCAATGCCAACATCTCAAATGTCTGATCGTGAGCCACCTCCACATTGAAGCAGGCCATACCGTTTGACCTTTATTCAGAATTACTAAATCCAAAAGACAGTGGATATGTGTTAGTATAAATAATATTTATTGCTTGTAAATGATTTTTTGTTTCACTGATCTATTAATTCATTGAAAGTTTTAGTGTTACTTGTCATTATTGACAAAATTGATACACTAAGTTCTTGTATGAAACTCTTAATCGTGGCACATGGTATTTCATTTGCTACAGTGTTTTTTTTTTTCTCTAAATGTGTACAATTTATTATATCATGAGAATTCTTGTTCCCCAATATTGGATTTGCCTATCCGCTGTGATATTATAGTATGTGCTATCCATTTATGCTACATGTAGGAGTCCAGTACTATAAGGCCATTCCAAAGTTATGTTCTGTTTTTCAAGTAGCAAGAAAGAGAAGTATGTGATTTATAACCCAAACCATCAGTGCATTTGTGCTCTGCAGAACTATTTTTTTTTTACATGTGTATATCTTGTTCCTCAGCTTAATTTTTTTTTCTTTTGAGGTAAAAGAAACCTTATTGATACTTGCAATTCATCTTTGAAAATGAAAATGTAAATTTTGTTAAAAGTTCCACGTTTTTTTTTTTAAAATTGAATAAAGTATAGTCTGTACACAATTTATTTGTGAGGTCATGCTTACATATCGCTTATGGAAAGTAACATAGGATATGATTTAAAGGAGACCAGTTAATTGGAAATGAGGAATTTTCATAGATTTTTTAAAAAGTTATTTGCAATTACATATTTTACATAACATTACGGAAATGTTTCCAAAAATGATCTAACATATAAATCTATAAAATGTAAGAAACTGGAAGAAGTACTAGTAATTTTTTCTTACATACAGTGCATTAGTTGATGGCATGTATTTCCCACTTTTCATTAATTCCTACATTTGAGATACTGTAGATGACAAAATTTTAATGACACCTTATTGGGTTTTTATAAGGGAGACAAAATGTTGATGTTTTTTGATTATTGTATATATAAGCTTTTACGAAACAAAAATATGTGAGAATAAAATTTTCGCAAGCATAATTAAACAAAAATAAAGTTCTCCTGAATAAAAAGTGATGTACAGTATTTTTTAAAAAAAAACCCTCCATCCTTTTAGTAAGAGAGCAATGAATTCCTTTGGCATGTAAGTCAAACAAATGACCTTAAAATATTGAATAGTCAAAAGTATCAGGACTGATAGATCTTTGGACTGGCATAAGTACTCTAATAGTGTGTCAGGCATAATATCTGACAGTTTTAAAAAAAAATTGTGCTTCACTACAAAGAATTGTACATGTTGTACAGTTAAAAATGGCTTTTCATAGATTTTACAAACTTGTATAAGCAGGCAAGAGTATCTTGAAAATTAAAACAAAAAATAGACATATTATTAAGAAATCAATTTAAAAATTTTCAAATAAAAGTCAAATGTTGCCTTGAGAAATTTTTGATCTAAGAATACACACAATATGCATATATCAATGTGTGTTGATTATTGTTGCCTGTGATTTATAATCTTGATGGCTTTTTCTATATGTCATACACAAGGGAGATCATTTATTGTACCTATAACCCATGTTGTTGCTTTATAGTTACCTTGCATTGACACTCTTTTGTCAGCAACCAATATACATTATACAGACACATACAAATAGGCCGAACGCCAACAATGAAATCAAAAAGTTAAACCATTCAACTCTGACTATTGCTGATTGTTAAATTTGCTGGACTTCAAAACTGGTGTTATCATTGTAAAGGTAATTGTAGGAAGGTTTGTTGAAATCTTTTAGGCATATTTCAGAGCACAAGTCTTTTTTAATGAAAAGTAGTCATCAGGAATCTGTTCTGTACTGTAGACTGATAGCATGTTGTCTTGGGGAATAGTATTATAAAGTTACAATGAGCACAAATCTTGTGTCTGGGTTTAGAGTCAGTTGTGTACGTAAGTGAGTGAGAATTTCAACTGAAATGGAATAAATTCCTAATGTAAAATTATTATGTGTTGTCTGTTTTTCCACCATGTAAAACAAAATATCGGGTTATGTATGAATCTCCAGTTCTTATTTTTTCTGAGTCCCACTTTGTCTAAACAGTGACTTTGTAATGGAGAAGCATTGATCAATGTTTATATCAAGAGGGCATGGATGGACACAGAACCATGCAGGTGTTTTTCAAAAACCATGATGAAGGGAGGGTAAAACAAGTCTTCATTTGATGAAGTTGATACATGATTCATCCTGAATTTATCCTGAACATTTGTTGTTAATAAGCCAATTCCAAAACAAAACATATTGACATTTGACGGATATTTATTGGCTTAGAATACATCAATATATTTCAAACGGTAAGCGGCTTAGGATCTTCAAACTGTCAGTTGATGCATCTTGGATCCTTGGAGTACTTCAAACAAAAAGTCGGTCACTATGACCTACTTTTTGGAATTTCACACTTTTATTTCAATATTTAGGATAGTAAGAGGCTTAAGTCATCAAATTTTGTCAGTTGATTAATCTTAGGTCAACTGACTGAAAACTAAAAAATATGTCACATTCACTTACTTTCGGAATTTCATGGCTGTATCTCAATAGCTAGAGTACCAAGAGGCTTAGAATTATCAAAATTTGTTAGTGGACTCACTTGAGTCTTTGTATTGTGTCAACTAAGAGGTTAGAATCATTAAACCTTGTCAGTTGATGTATCTGGGGACCTTTAAATATATTCATAAAAAGTAGGTCACAGTGACCTACATTTTGAATTTTGCAGGTATTCATTTTTAGTGTGCATATTTTAGGCACTGTGAAGACTAGGATCATCAAACATTGTCAACCGAACAAGAGGTCACGGCGACCTTCTTTTGAAATTTCATGGCCATATATAAATATTTTGGATACTAATTATATAATGCTTGAAATCATTGAACTTTTTCACTTGATGTATCTTGGGTCCTTCAAGTGTGTCAACCAAAAAGTAAGTCACTATAAGTGAACTACTTTTTAAAATTTCATGGCCATATCTTACTACTTTCATTGGATACCAAGAGGTTTAGAATCATCAAACTCTGTCAACTGATGCACCTTGGGCATCATATACACCCATAGTACTTTTGTGAAAACTTAAGTAGTTTTGACCAATGTTTGAATTCGAATGATCATTGTGTGAGCTACCCTAACAAACGTGGTGCTTTATCTTATTTTACAATGAATATGTATAAATAAAAAAAGAAGATCAACTTTCTTGGAAGTATTTATCTTAATTAATCTCAACTGTAAGAAAAAAAGTGAAAAGTCCAATCAAGAGTGATGAATGAAAAGGAAAAGAAATATGATAATACATGTAAATACAAGAAAGAGGAAACACCTACATGTTTGTGTATTTATCAAAATCAAGCTACCGGTATTGTATGTATTATTGAGGAATCATAAAACTCCATTATATATACAAGCACTTGACATGTATTTATCTTATCTCAAAAATATATATACACCCCCATTTAATAATAATTTATTTATTAGAGAGGTTATATTTTTCGTGATAAAACATATAACATTAAGTGTCTGTGATAATATATACATGTACTACAGATTCCTTATATTTCATGAGTACATGTACTTACTAATTCTCAAGCTTGTATTAATTTTTGAAAATATAACATAGCGAGCAGTTTCCTGGGAATTAGAATTTGCAACTTTGATGCACAAGCATATTGTTACAAAAATTGTCACCTTAAACATCACCTTAAAAATAAAAATCAAAAGCCTGAAAGGCTTCAATGGCGTCGAACATGACAAACAATGCATGTCAAAAGATCTTTTTGAATTTGAAGAAAGCAAAAGTCAATTGTATGATTCAGGTAGCCTAATAAAAATTTTTGTAAACAAAATGTCAAATATCATAGTCTTAGGCCTCTATGTCATGATCCGAATAGAGCTGGGTTTGAATTCAGACCAGACACCATTCGACATATCAGACAGGCAGGCCAGTCTAAAATTCATTCTGAATATCAAACTCATCTCTTTCCATGCAGTCATTTGTAGAACTAAGAAGAATTTATATATTATTTTATAAAATTTATATAATATTTTCCTAATTGCAAATTTCTAAGCGCTGTTTTAGTAATTGCATCTATACAACCTAACTCTGTTCTGTTACGATTGAGCGTACGTGGTATATGGGTATACTGGGAAATGGATAAATACAGTAAAACAGGTCAATAACTTCAGTTTTAATGATAAAATTGGTCATTAGATTGTAAAAGCAAGTTCAGATTTTGAAATTCATTATTTAGGTCTTCTTGTATTCGTGTTTATGTAATTTTGTGAATGTTTTACCGCCTATTGGGTTGTTATCGTTCCGAAACCTTATTCATGTCATTCGATGCGCGCTTTCTTTAGAAATTCATCTGCAACAACTATCATGTTTTTCTTGTGTGAAAATAAACATAGTATCTTTGTTTTGTAACAGAATTAATTGTAGGTATAACTGATGCAATTTTATTTTCAAGTTATTATCAATTGTGAGCATGCATTTTCAAAGAAATTGATTTATAGCTACATGTTTTACTATTTACTTTTGCTGATGCATCGACTGACACATTCGGTCACGTAAAATTCGATGGCAATTTTGATCGGGGCCATAACTAGATGACGTTCAAGCTCTAGAGCTCCACGCCATAAAAATTACCTACAGTAAACAATACTGGTAGTCGGCACAAAATAATAAGTTAAATACTTCTCTTCTCTTTGTGTTGCAATTTCTTCTCTGACAATCATTTAATTTATGCATTACAAAATGACCACTCTAAATAATTTTGCCTCTGATGTTGAACGTCCGAATAAAGACAGAATTAACTACATTGTGTGTTGGTTCTAAAAAAGTGAACAGAGTTTGAGCTAACTCTACACTGTCATAAAGCACACATTTAATATTTGTAATAATTTTTCTCACTAATTCTTAAAATCTGTACTAAACATAATTATTGATAGAAATAAAAGTGAGATTTAAAATAGATTTCATGAGATGTGCTTCTTGCGATACATGTATTACTTCAATGCTTATAATAAGGAATTCACAGTATACATTTAGATGAACAAATATCAGAGACAAACTAAAGCTAGGATGCTTCCCAAATGTGCATTCATCTAGTGACTCAAGAAAAGTACACAATAATTTCAAGAGGATCTAAAAAATAATATATTGTGTATTTCCAACATAAATTAGTGAATAAACCCATTGATAATGGTACTGCCACCACCGTTACTTATGTTTCTGAAAACTTCAACAATTTATGTCAGGAACATTGAGAATTCAATATAAATGCATTATGAATGTTTTTCTTTTTACACTTCCTATTTCACACAAGAAAAAATATTTCTTTTTCTTTTAAAATGAACATTGCACATGTCATTGATATTGTGACAGTATTGGACATACCATAATTATTATTCAGATATACATGTACTGGTAATAAAAAGTAATTAATCAAACGGAAAGTATTTCTGAAGGTACATGTAGATAGCCATCTTCTATGATATCTACATGTAATACATACATGTATATGTCTTGTAAATAAAAATTCTAAAACTATGAAAATCAGTAGTTTACATGTCCTTGCATAGTTTCACATTTATTTTCATGGAATGAAAGACAAACGGTATCAATAAAAAAATGATTGTTTTCCTACAGTATATACATGTATATATACAAGTGTAGCATGTATTCTAACTAGGAATTAATCTTTTTCCTTAAAAATACTACACTGATTCATACAAATGCAAAAATTAAAAAAAAAGGTAATCATCTTTACAACTTCACTTTAGTAACAAGTTTCCGACTGCAAATAAAAAGCATTGGATTAACACTCAACTAAACACAATTTGCTCTGTAAAAACTAAGTTACATTCTTGAGGAAATGTAGATAAGGATTAATAATAATTTAAGAAATAAAAATAAAATTGCAACGATATGTACTTCCATATATTAATTTGTTTATAAAATAAAATTCTTCTGGGTCTCTTTCTTATAAAAAATACTTGTATAAAGCAGTATGGACCTCTATACAATGTTTCCTTTTTCAATTTTATCCAATTGAGCAATATAGACCTTTTTCATACTGGATTAATGTTACATAGTATACAAGAAGATGTTGAATGTTTTGTTTCACTTCATTCAATAATGAATCTGAAATCATTAATCCATTCATTATGGGTTTAAACACACCTATAAATCTCACAACCAACATGAACTCATACATCTGTCAGATCACAAAAACATTTCAGGCTTTACATAGAAAAGTTTTAAAGATGGACGTGTAAAATAAAACATGTACACCACATACCAATGGATCCTAATCACTTAAAAAATTTCCTGATTTCTTTTTTGCATTTCACATAATGCTGCATCAAAAAAATTGGCTTGATAAAAGACACAAGAGTTTGTGGACATTGTCCAGATTTTATAAATATATAAAGTGTGTGTGTAATTGATACTACAGTAAAACTCGGTTATAGCGAAGTTTGTTGACCTACAAATTTAATTTCTAATATCCGTAATTCATTATATCTGTATAACAAATTTATTATAAAAGTAGACATAGCGAATTCACAATATAGATTTTATTCATGCAAGTATGACTACCAAATGTATTTAAGGAAGTATAAAATACAAAATTTATTTTGAAGTTGAAAGTTTTCAGATAAATTGAGTTTCAATATAAATTCTTGCAAAATTAATGTCAGATCACTATTTTAAAAAATAAAATCTTTTAGAATTTGCTAAGATGTAAATGTCATTACTTCTAACTTCTATGGGACACAAAATCAGTTCTAGGGATGGGTATCGCCAAAAATTTCGTATCGCGATATATCACGATTTTTTCCCAAAATATCACAATAATATCATGATATTTTAACAAGCAATTTTTGAAATGATTTTTTATGAATATTCTTAATTTTTCCGAAAATATGCTGGAAAATATAACTTCACTTTTTTTCATTTTTTTAATTTACATAATATGAAGCAATTTTGGAGGTTTCAACATTTTTTACACTTCCTTTCATTGTAATTTGAAAGAATGAACAAATAAATGAATAATTTCTGTAATTTATAACTATGTACCTAAATACCGATATTTTACTCTCCGTATCACAATACGTATCACGCAATTAAAAATCACGATATACAGGTATACCGATAAAAGCACATCCCTAATCAGTTCGCTATAACCGTAAATTCACTATATCCAAGTTTGTTATATCTGTAAAATTTTATAAGAAATTGTAAAGAATTTTTCCAGGGATTGCAAAAAAACTTTGCTATATCTGTAAATTCACTATATCCGTGTACGTACTAAACAAGTTTTACTGTAATACTTATTTCTAATGTATTTCACAATCAACTACATTATATTGCAACATAAAACCAGAAGTCTCTGACGAGACTGTAGCTCTACTGGTCTGTACCGGTACATATAACAAAGGAAAAGTAGCACTTGGATTTGAAACTTTGCAACAAGCAGCAATAAATAGAATAATGTATCTTAATGTAGTCTACTTGTGCGCCAAGTTATACTGAAATCAGACCAAAACTGAAGGAGGAGTAGCCTTTTAAAGAAATTTCACAGAAATTTCTATTTTTAGTAACCATAGCAACACCATTCATTGAAATCAAAAACCGATGCACTAAATTATGTATCTTAGTGTAGTCTACTTGTGTGCCAAGTTATAATGAAATCAGACCAAAACTGTAGGAGGAGAAACGTTTTAAAGGAACTTCACAGAAATTTCTATTTTTAGTAACCATGGCAACATCGTTCATCAAAATCAAAAACCGATGCACTAAATTATGTATCTTAGTGTAGTCTACTTGTGTGCCAAGTTAAATTGAAATAAGACCAAAACTGTAGGAGGAGTAACATTTTAAAGGAATTTCACAGAAATTTCTATTTTCAGTAACCATGGCAACATCATTCATCGAAATCAAAAACTGATGCACTAAATTATGTATCTCAGTGTAGTCTACTTGTGTGTCAAGTTATATTGAAATCAGACCGAAACTGTAGGAGGAGTAGCGTTTTAAAGGAACTTCACAGAAATTTCTATTTTTAGTAACCATGGCAACACCGTTCATTGAAATCAAAAACCGATGCACCAAATTGTGTATCTCAGTGTAGTCTACTTGTGTGCTAAGCTATATTGAAATCAGACCAAAACTGTAGGAGGAGTAGCATTTTGAAAAATTGTTTACAGACAGACGGGCAGACAGACAGACAAACAGACAGACGGACGGACGACGGACACCTTACTATCGCATAAGCTCTTCTGGTCTCTGATCAGTAGAGCTAACTAGCAGTGAAAGCAGGTTGAACAGCTTTATCACAGATCAATGTCACATAAGGAAGAGAGAAAACTTGATTATTCTGCTCAGTAAGAAAATAAGGGTAATTGAGGACTGTCTTATTTGACTGGGACTATTATCACCATAGTGTCCAGGGGGGTTGTTGATTCATCATAAGGGGCATCCCTGTTATGTTGAATGGAATGTTAACGATGGCTCCATCCATTCTGTACTTCTCCAGAGTGGCTTTAATCATGTAGCTACAAATAGACAACTCATACACTTAATACAATATGGCCTTAATCATATACTTACAAACAGACAACTCACACTTAAAACAGTGTGACCTTAATTATGTTCCTATAAAAAGGCAACAAGCACTTGATACAGTGTGGCCTTGGTAATCGTGCCTAAAAACAGACAAATCACACTTAAAACAGTGTGGCTTTAATCATGTACCAACCAAATACAAGAGGCTTGTGGGCCACAACATTTACCTGAGTAACTATGGCCCTTCTGTTCTTCACCAGCAGATTCTTTTCCCTCTATTTTTATGTAAAACTTTGATGATATATTTTTGCCCCACACTACCCCAGTGGGTCATCATTTGAACAAACTTGAATCTACATTAACTGAAGATGCTTCCATATACTGATTAAATGACTATTCATGGCTTTGCTGTTCTTGAGAAGATTTTTGAAGACTTTTAAAGATTTTTCTTTACATGAAGATTCCTAAGTAAAATGATGTGAACAAAATAGAGTATCTACACTACCTGAGGATGCTTCCATATAAATATGACTTTTGTGGCTTTTCTGTTCTTGAAAAGATTTTTCCTATGTGTGTGTGTGGAAGGAGGGGGGGGGGGGGGGGTCATGATTTGAACTCGAATCTTCACTACCTGAGGATGCTTCCATATAAATATGATTAATCATGACTTTGTTTCTCTTGAGAAGATTTTTAAAGATTTTTCCTATGTCTTTCTATGTAAAACTTTGATTGCCCTTGTGGCCCCACCCGACCCCTGGAGGCAATGATTTGGTCAAACTTGAATCTACTCTACCTGAGGATGCTTCCATATCAAAATAACTAATCATGGCCCTGCAATTCATCATCAGAAGATTTTTATAGAATTTGCTCTATACATTCCCATGTCAAACTCTGATCTCATTTTGTAGCCCCACCCTACCCCCTGGGCCATGATTTGAACAAATTTAAATCTACACTATGCCAGGAAGGTTTCATGTACTTTTCATCTTTTCTGGCCAAGTGGTTCTTTAGAAAATTTTTAAAAGTTCACCAATTCTTAATTTTCTCCCCTTGAAAAAAGGGCATGCTGTTCACTTAAACAAACTTGAATTCCATTCGTCCAAGGGTGTTTTGTGGCAAATTCGGTTGAAACTGACCCAGTGGTCCTTGAGAAGAAGTAAAAAATGTTAAAAGTTTACAGACTGTTGAAGAGACAGACAAACACAGATAAACATATGGAAGCCCGACAATATGATTAAATGTGATCAAAAAAGCTCATTTCAGCTTTCAGCTCAAGTGAGCTAAAAATGGAAAATTTGTTTAAGAATATAAATACCTGATAAAACATATCAAGTAAACACTTAAAGTTAATCAATAAAAAAAATATAAATGTAAATGAAAACAAGAGGCCCATGGACCACAACGCTCACCTGAGTTACTTTGGCCCTGCTGTTCTTCACCAGACCCCCCCTTGTAATACTTATTGCTGCCCTGTCCTACCCCCGGGGGCCCTGATTTGAACAATTTAGAATCTACACTACCCAAGGATGCTTCCATATAAGTTTCAGCTTTTCTGGTCCACTGGTTCTTGAGAAGAAGATTTTAAAAGATTTTGCCTATGTATTTCAATGTAAAACTTTGATTCCCTATTGTGGCCCTGCCCTATCCCCAGGGGTTTGCCCTTCATTTTAACAATTTAAACTCCCCTTCACCCAAGGATGCTCTGTACCAACTTTGGTTAAAATTGACTCAGTGGTTCTTGAGAAGAAGTTGAAAATGTGAAAAGTTTACAGACGGACCGACAGACAGACAGCTAGACATACGGACGGACGATGAACAACAGGTGATCAGAAAAGCTCACTTGAGCTTTCAGAATATTTAAAAATTTAATTTAATTTTTTATTAAATTTAATTTTAATTTTAAAAATACCTTTACTTGTTAATATTTTTAAGTCATTGGATAAAACCTTCAAGTACAGTGATTTATCTAGTTATTTTATTTGACTACCCTTTTCATGTAAAGAGGGAAATATAAGAATGATTGCTCAACATTAGCACTTGAGGTCTGAATATACTATAGCAGCTGGGTGATGCCTCCCCCCCCCCCCCCCCCTTTTCAAATGTACGATATGTTAAATAAGGAAATTCTTCATCACAAAAATGGAAATTTTAAACTTTTTTTCCAAACCAGTAGTTAAAATTCCATTGATAAATCCCTGAAGAAACATTAAAAAAAAGGGACATAAAATTGCAGAATTTGAGAAAAATTACTGACTTTCATCTTCAAATTGATTACTGAAATTAGTCTGATCAGGTGATAGTAAGTACAGAATCACCTACCCATCCTTGCCCAGTAAGAAGAGACTAGGGATGTGGACCTCTCTTTCCGTGCCATCCTGTACCATCTGTATTTGTGCTTCGTCATTCTCAGCATCGTTATCGGTGATTAATACTGCCACAGCCCCGGAATTCTCGGCATTGATTGTTTTGGTTACAAAAGAACAGTCACTGCAATCATTTTAGGGACTGATTTACAACTGTAATTATATACACAAATAGTGAAATAAGTTGATTTTTAGACCATCTATGCTTTTTGATTCTGTAAAATTAATTTACAAATTACAGTTGAACTTTGTTATCTGGAACTTCGATATCTTGAATATGGGGTGTAACAATGCACTGATGTATAGTGATGCAGAAGGAGTCAATATGATACATGGAAACATAAAATGAAATCAATTTTTTTATACTTCTGGAAGCAAGTACATAATATGCATGTTTTGATCTTAAAACCTTAAGAAAATCAGATGTCTTTTTTCGTTATTATAGAGAAAACTTCAAATATTTATTTCACTTTAATCTTGGTTTTACAAAGTACTAAAGACCATAAGAAAAATTTGCAATATTTTTCTGAAATATCATGATATATTGTGATGCTTTTTTCCCTTATGATATATGGTCTTTCTTGAAACCATTTTAACCTCGTTATCGTGATCAAAGCATTATATATCTCCAAAGTTTTATTCTCAGTCCAACTGGTTTGACATAATGAGGTTTTACTGTATGTCAAAGTTAGTATATGCTCCTTTTTTGATCTCTATTGAAATTATCATCCCATGACGTGAAGTTCCCATTCAGGAATTGTACTAAGACTTTAAAATCATACTGTACATCAGTCAACCATTAATGCTCTTACCCTCTCTGTATTAGCACCACTGCTCCATCAACTTGTCTCTGATTGGCCAATTTACTACAGCCATTGTAAGGATCAGCAACAACAAGGGGTATGTGATGGTAAACTTTTTCCTTGAATAAACACAAAATCATTGATTTCACTGATTATGCATACAAGTATTTATATCATGCTACATAATAACATATCGTGCCAATTTGAGTATCACCCCATTAACACCAAAGAAACTTTAAATCATTCTTTCAACTTTCAATTAATTCTGGCTTTATGAACATGGTGAAACTGGTCCAAGGTTATAGCAATTTGATAGAACTACTGATGTACAAATCATTTGTTAGCTTCAACAACAGTTTATGTGAATTACGATGTGCTCTAATTGTTTATAAACTCTCATTAAAAACAAAACAAAAACAAAAAAGTTACATTTAAAATACTTACAAATTCTCCACCAAAGTTTTTGGCTGGTTTAATTTTGTAGATGTAGCTTATTTCTTCTGGTTCCACTATTTGCATGAAAAGGTTCTCAGAGGTGTACAACAGATTAATGTCTGGGACAGTGGCTAACTTAACATCTGAGCTGCATGCTGCAAAACACAAATGTATTGTACATAATGTGTAGGAATTTAGGCTGGACTGAGGACATCGCCTGGATAGCTTAGTGGTTAGAGCACCTGACTAGTAATGCAGGGGTCCCGGGTTTGATTCCCGGTCCAGCCATATGTTTTTCATTATATATATATTTCTGAATTTTCAATGTATATTAACTCATTCCTCCTTTCCATACTACAGATGGTGCAGTGGCCTACATGGACCTTGTTCAGGCAATATAATATGTATATGTAATTAATGTTAAGTCCTGACAGCGTGAACTTGTGTTGTGTCTTCAGGGGCGAAGACTATTTAAGGAGGGAGGAATGTAGGAATTTAGGCTGGACTGAGGACATCGGCCTGGATAGCTCAGTGGTTAGAGCATCTGACTAGTAATGCAGGGATCCCGGGTTCGATTCCTGGTCCAGCCATATGTTTTTCATTATATATATATTTATGAATTTTCAATGTATATGAACTCATTCCTCCTTTCCATACTACAATGTAAAGATTCAAGATTGTCAAGAAGTGATATCTCTAGTCTAAATATTTGTCAACTATGTAGTTTTTTTTAGGAGTGTATCTAGATACAACTGTCATGTTTATCATTTTAACAAAATCACGCAGCAGTTTGTTGAACTTAGAGTCGATCTCTGATTGATATGATTGAAAGGGGGGGGGGGTTACTAAGTTTATGTACTTACGACACTGTTCATTGCAGTTCCTGTTTACACACTACTGATTAAAAATATCTTTGTCTTTCAAAATAGCTTAGTATCAGAGTGGTCAAAATGTATATAAAATATTATTTGCGACCTATTAATTCATTTCGCCAACAGGGAGAGAGGGTTTGCTACCGGCTTATATTCAGATATATTTTTACATCAATACAAGTTTGAACTATTTCTATGATTTGCTGCGCTTTCGATTAATGATCGTCAGTACTATTGAACTGCCTTCTATAATTTCCAATTAACTTTCATTACCTATAAAACCAGTAACTGCAAAGGTGAAAAACAAACTTAGGAAACTTTTTCTCGTCATCTGCATCTGTCACCATACGTGTCCATTACAATATATTGGAGTTATCTCTCTTTGGGCTAAAAATTAGTTCGTGTCAATTTGTTTCGTTCAAATAACATAATTGTACTTAAGTTGAACAATGATTCGAGGAAATGTATTTAAGTAAACAAACTACAAATCAACCAACTACACTATCTTTGCTGTGTAATGTAATTCTATATTTACCAATACCATCAGTTGACGAAGAAATAAGGTTGAGTGATATTATACAGTTAAAGTATATCATTGAGGGAGTTAGCAAGATTCCAGTTCCCCAAGGCCAGGACTATTTCCCGAGGCGAAGCCGAGGGAAATAGTCCTGGTCGAGGGGAACTGGAATCTTGCTTACTCCCGCAATGATATACTTTTAACTGTTTTATTATACCGATACAAACGTAAGATTTAGAGGATTCAGATAGCGTGATTTCAAAGCAGGGTTTAGCTCACTGAACTAACACACGGGGATTAGTCCATTCGCATATCATACCAATGTAAAAGTAAAATCTAGAGGATTGCGGATAACCGTGAATTAGCTTCCGAAGCAGGGATTAGCTCATTTGACTAACACACAGGGATAGTCCATTCATAATGTTTTCTAAGGGAATTAGTCACATCTAACGATCTAATGTTATAAAAATCAGTAGAGGTATAATAAATAAAGATAACGAACAGTATATGGAGATAACGAACAGTATTCAAGCTCAAAGTCCATTAAAACAATACAAATAGGGAGCAGAGCAACCAAGGACCTCCAAAAACATCAGAGGTGGGATCAGGTGCCATGAAGGAGTGAGCATCCCCTGCTGCACGGTCACACCCGCCGTGTGCTCCTTGTCATGATCGGGAAAATCCGTCGACAATTCAGTGTGTAAATAATGGCCTAACACTTAGTATGAAAAACGTCAGTCAGCATATGACTTAATGATAGATTGTATTTGCTAACAAGGTCATTGTATCGACCACAGAACTTACGAAATGATGACTTTAAACGAGACTGTTGATATTTTTGTTCGAATATTAACTTGTTTGTCAATAACTTACCTCGTTTTAGAAATTGTTCATACGTAGAGCATGCTCTTGCGTATCGAATCAACTGAGAGATACACACCCCATATGTAGCTGAGAAGGGTATATTGCTGTATAAGCAAGGGAAGTCATCACGTTGTTGTTAAATTACCATTAACCTCTTTTTCTAGTAAAATATATCCAAATATGAATCAGATGTGTCAGACTTTGTGGTATCTTTTATTTCAGGCTCACTGGGATATATCATGTCGACATATAAATGGAAATAACTATTATATTGTTAATTGATAAAACGTCGTTGATATATCTAAATGTCGAGTTGAAGGCCGGAGCAAGAGATTTCTCTTTCTCATGCACTGGCGGATTTAGAAGGGGGGGGGGGCAGGGGGCTAGTTACAGCCTTGAATATGTGATAAGCAATATTATTAATAAAAAAATGCTGTTTAACAAATTTCTTTAACAAATATTTTAATATCCATGGCCTTAACTGAAAATATTTCCTCAGGGACTAGAGACTATCGTCAGATACTTAATTCACTAAACTAAATGTGCAGTCAGATGATACATTTTTTAATTTATCGTGGAGAATGGTTGTATAAGGAGTTGAAAAGTCGTAAGTTTTTATGTTATTGATTTTGGTAAAATTTTGTGATTTCAAATTTTCCAAAAGTTCCTTAGAATTTTTTAGTATCCAAATACACAAATTCTCGAATATATTGTTGCACAGTACTCTAGCTTGAAGTTCTCCTTCACTGCTGTTAATATTTTAGTGAGGAGTAAAGAAAGAGGCTTGATAGAACTGGAACCCTATGTATCTTTGTTTGTAAGGATTTTTTTAAATGAAATTATGAATCCAATATGGATATGGTAATTCAAATTCATTTTGGTTGTTGGGAATATTAAAAATATTCAAATCTGATATATGATTTTGAAGAATTTCCTCCTTAGAAAGGGAGCTATGGGTATAAGTTCCATTACCACTTGTAGAATTAAATCCCAGTTCCTCTAAAATACAATTAAAATAATGAGCCTTATAAACAAAAACATAATGTTGTTACCTGCTTTATCAGCTGGGACCAGTACATGCTGATCGTGTAGTCTATCTAAATCTTTTTTCACTTCTGAATAAGTTCATTGGAAAAACAAAATTGTGAGCAGAGCGAACACGGACCGTTAAAAACGCTAAAGATAGGATGATCAGGCGCCATGGAGGAGTAAGCATCCCCTGTCGACTGGTCCCCCCCCCCCCCACGTGTGCTCCTTGTCAGGTCATGATCGTAAAAACGGAAAAATTCCGTAGACAATTCGATGTGAAAGTAATGGCCCAACAATCTGTATGGAAAACATCATTCAACATTGGACTCAACGATATATTTTATTTGCTAACAAGGCCATTGTATCGACCATAGAATTTGCGAAATGTTGACTTTAAACGAGACCTTGTATCATCAAATTATATTTGTCAATAGCTTGCCTCGTTTTTAAATTGTTCGCACCTAGAGCCTGCTCTTGCGTATCGAATTGGGAGTCATTAATTCCATATGCAGGTGATAATGGTATATTGCTGTACATAAACACGGGACGTTGACGAAAGAGAAGTTGAAGTCATCATGTTCATCATTAAGTTTTGTTGTAAGGATGCCACTAAATAATGTTTTTTTTTTCTAGTAAATATCCAAATATGAATCAGGTGAGTCAGACTCTGTAGTGTCTTTTATTTTTAGTTCAAAGTGATATATCAAATCAACGTAAGAGTGAAAATGAATATATACGTCGACGTATCTAAATGTCGAATTGAAGGTTACAGCAAGAAACTTATTCTTTTCATGTAAAAGTTTTTGAAAAAAAATTCTACTTCATATGAATACAAAAATAGGTTTGCTAATAACGGGACAGAATTAGTACCCATGGTAATTCCAACAGATTTTTGGAAGACTTACTGGTCTCCACTTAAAAAACTACACAGATATTGTCAATCAGAAACTCATGCATCTCTTTTATATCAACTTCGGAGAACTTGTGTCTACAATCAAAATGTTTGTTAAACAAAATAATTTTGCACTTGACCATGTAAATATGAGATTTCATTTTTATTGAAAAAAGAAAGCTTTCTATGATATCAAAAAGTCTGGACTTTAATTTGTCGTGAAGAATGGTTGTATAAAGTGTTGAAAAGGCGTACGTTTTGATGTGATTGGTTTTGATGAAATTTTCTATATTTTAGTGCATGAGGAGTAAAGAAAGATGCTTGGTATAACATTCACCTGTGCAACTGATGTAAATTTTTTTCGGTAACTTTCCCTTCTGCCGTGGACGGTCAAGTAGGGCGCTCGCTTCGTGATCGGGAGGCCTGGGTTCTTGTTCACCAAGCCGCGTCAAACCTAAGACGTAAACATATGTAGTTACTGTTCATTCGCAAAGCGCCCGGGGCACTAGAAGTGAAAGTCACGTGTCTTTCGGTGAGACCTAAAAAATGGAGGTCCTGTGTCACGTTAGGCGTTGGTACACAATAAAGAAACCTCACTGCTCAATGGTTCTGCTCTTCACCGGCATACGATGACGTTTCTATATGAATGAACAATTCTCGAATGGGACGTTAAACAATATACAATCAATCAATTTTCTACCGTGAAAGAAACACGATGCACGCAGTTACATGTGCAATAGCTATGTAGAATACATCCGTTCACACCGGTGAAAACTGATTACACCGAACCATGACAAAGTGAACGGCTTATATAGGACCACACAGGTAACGAAAAAATGTAGAGTAATATGGCGGGAAAATATATATCTCTGCCTTTTACGAATAGCGTTCAGCTTAAACTCGCTATTGCAATAAATATAGCACATCTCACCCTAAATGACCCAAACGCTTTAATATTGTTGAGAACTATTTTATATTTAATTTTGCAAAATTTAAAAATTTCCAAAATTAAACTTAATTTTGTTTCAGTCTACGGCAATAGAAGCGTTTTGGAAATTTTAAAGCCCAGAAACACAGGGAGGCACTTGCATATCAATATTACTACAATATGCGTTTAAAATACCTTTAGAGGAAAAAGAGAAATCCCCCCTCCCCCAAGTTTCATTGAAAACAGACCGAAAATATCGGAAGAGTCGTGGTTTGAAAAAAAAGTTGGCAGAAAACAAACAGCTAACAGACGGATAAACAGATGACGACATTAATTCTCTGGTGTCTTACCAGTATAGCTAGAAAGACGCATCATATCAAGGCGATTTTCATTTCATTTTTTAAATTAACTAATTTTGTAATTAATTTAAAAAATTTCAAGGCTTGACTGTAGACATCTTGCCTTTAAATTAAAGCCTATGTAATAGAGATAAAGATAATGCATTTTTGAAACTGCCTTGTGATATACAACAAGAAAATACACGAATGAACGTAAGAACAAGTAAGCACATAAAGGGATTACACGGAATCCTTTTTCGGACAAATCCTTCCAAGGATATTATGACCCTTCCCGTGAACTTATTTTTTTCTCTTTCTAGCTTGATTGCTGATTTAATTTCTGAAAGTCCGCAAGGGGACAAACTTATGTTAACAATTACGGAAAATGACGTTTATGAGTTAATTGGACTCATTATATAAGCATGTTAACAACTGAGCGGGGACATACGGAAGGCAATTTCTCCAACTCGGAATCCTATTATATCCTATTATAAGCAATCAACAAATGGAGTATACTAAAAGCTTCAAAATAAAAGCCTTATTCAGGTTCATATTGAGGTCGGTCGAGGTCAACATCAGATTCTTTTCGTCGCAATAGAAATTGAATTCATTTCAGCAAAAGATGTACTAAAGACGAGAAAAGTTATTTAATGGAAGGGAATATTCCATTCATTTCCGATGAGGAGTAGTGTAAGCCGCACCTCGCGTTATCGTCTGAATAATCTCTGACTGTGTCATCTGGCGATAAACTTTCATTTTTTGGCCTCAGTTGGGAATATTGGCGATGAGAAGCAATT